GGTCAGAGCATTCGGCATTTCTGCAGACGCTCTGGCGCAAAACGCTCTCAAGGTTGGCACAAGGCAGTACACTGAGGACCCCACCGAGAGACCCGACGATATGGCCGATCAGCTCGTTGACGGATCTGAGTACTCAAACAGCCAACAGCTACTTGCTGCTGCGAAGGCCATGTTCGCCGAAGAGCTCGCTCAAAGCCCTCGCATGCGCAAGCTGCTTCGTCAAAACTTTTACATGGATGGTGTCTTCGACTGTTTCCGTACTGAGAAGGGTCTGAGAAGAATCGATGAAGAGCATCCTTACTACGAGTTCAAGTATCTTCGTGGAAAGGATCTGAGATCAATTGTCGCCAAACCTGAGCTGTTTTTGCGCATGCTGAAGGCTGAAGACGAGGGTCTAGTTGAGGTCCGTGTTCGCATGGAAGTCTGGGACAGGTTCAAGGACAGTCTCTACAAGAACATCATGTCCGACAACTTCAGTGAACTTGCCGATGCTTGGAACGCCTTGCGCAGGGAAGTCTTGGACATGGCTTTGGAGAAGCTCACCCGCACAATCGTCAAGGGTGTCAAGGAGAATCTCAAGACAGAGTGTGAAGCCCAAATTGCTCGCGGCTGCAGAGAGGAATACGCCAACAAGCTTGATCAGGCTCCTTATAAGCCTCGTGGCATGGTTCTTGGCACTACTCCCAGAGTATTGGCTCTTTCCAATGGCGCAGGCAAGCGCAACGATGCGATCTGTTGGGCATACGTTGATGAAAATGGACGTGTGCTTGAGAACGGCAAATTTGTCGACATTCGTATGGGCAACAAGGAGAAGTTCTTGCCTGATGGAGCCGATGTTGGACAATTCGTCGATCTTGTTGAGCGCAGAAAGCCTGATGTTGTTGCTGTTTCTGGTTTCTCCGTCGAGACTCGCAGACTCTACAAGGACCTTCAAGAGATCATCGAGAGTCACGACCTGCGCGGTACACCGTATGAAGAAGAAGATGGCTCGGAGCAAAGCGACAAGCTTGATATTGTCATCACGAACGACGAAGTTGCCCGTCTCTACTACACCAGCGATCGCGCCACCGCCGAACACCCTACTGTTCCTCCGCTTACAAGATACTGTATTGCCCTCGCAAGATACATGCAAAGCCCTCTCAAGGAGTACGCCGCTCTCGGTCGCGACATCACTTCAATCTCCTTCACCTCAAACCAAACACTCATTCCCCAAGAAAAGGTTCTGAAGCATCTAGAAATGGCTATGATCGAGACAGTGAATCTGGTCGGTGTCGACATCAACGAAGCCGTCTCCGATACATACACTGCCAACCTTCTGCAATACGTCGCGGGTCTGGGTCCTCGCAAAGCAGCACATCTCCTGAAAATTGTCAACTCTAACGGTGGTGACTTGAACACTCGATATGAGCTTATCGGCGTCTCTGACCGCAACAGGAGACCAGCGGTTGGTGCCAAGATCTTCGAGAATTGCGCTAGCTTCTTGTACATCAACTACGACGATTCCGAACCGGACTCTGACTACCTGGACAACACTCGTGTGCATCCTGAAGACTACGAGACGGCGAGAAAGATCGTGGCCGATACTCTTGACATGGATGAAGAGGACGTTAAGGCTGAGATGGACGAGGCTGGCCCTAACGCTGTCGTTCGCAAGCTTATCAAGGATGATGCTCAAGACAAGCTTAACGATCTCGTGCTTGACGACTATGCTGAAGAGATCCTTCGCAAGATTGGTCTCAAGAAGAAGGCTACCCTGGAGCTCATTCGTGGTGAATTGCAGCAGCCATATGAAGAACTTCGTCGTAGCTTCTACTTGTTGTCAACTGATGAGGTCTTTACTATGCTCACCGGAGAAACCAAGGAGTCGCTGACCGCGGGCATGATTGTACCTGTGTCAATCAAGCGTACCTTCCCTGACCACATCGACGTCAAGCTAGACTGTGGTATCGACGGCTCAATCAACGAGCAAGACTTCCCCGGCGGTGTCGGTAATGGTGGTGCAGAGCCTCGTCACGTCTGGCAGACCCACCAGACTGTCCAAGCCAAACTGCTCGAGATTGAGCCCAAGCGTTTCACAGCACGTCTTTCGCTCAGAGAAGACGACTTGCGCGAACCCTTCCGCCGCGAATTTGACCATGAGCCTGGACAATGGGATGAGCAACAAGAAGCTCAGGACAAGAAGGAGGCTATGCACGAGAAGGACGCCAAAACCGGTAGAGCCCAACGTGTTATTAAGCATCCTCTCTTCCGACCATTCAACTCGGCTCAAGCAGAAGAATATCTGGGTTCACAAGCACAGGGTGACGTCGTCATCCGACCATCATCAAAGGGACTTGACCACTTGGCTGTTACGTGGAAGGTTTCGGAAAACGTGTTCCAACACATCGATGTGCTGGAGCTTGACAAGGAGAACGAGTTCTCTGTTGGTAGAACTCTCAAGGTTGGCGGCAAATACACATACTCAGATCTCGATGAGTTGATCGTTCTACACGTCAAGGCCATGGCGAAGAAGGTTGATGAGATCATGACGGACGAGCGCTTCCAGAAAGGCTCGAGAGAAGCGACCAGTAAGCATATCTATCCTTCCCATGCATCATACTACTTCTTACTAACATAAATCACAGATGAATGGCTCAACGCCTACACAGAAGCCAATCCCATTCGCAGCATGTACGCTTTCTGCATCAATCCCAAGTACCCAGGCTACTTCGACCTTTGCTTCAAAGCTGGCGCCTCGGCCAAGGTTGCAGCCTGGCCCGTCAAGGTCATTCCTAATGCCTTTGAACTTCAACGCCATCCTTACCCCGACATGCGCGCGCTCAAGAACGGCTTCAAGCTCTTGTTCTCCAAGGCCTCTGGCGTGGCTAAGCGATAGAAGCGTGCTTGTGTTGGCATGCTAATGGACGAACCTGATGCCAGACGAGGTATGCTAGACTTTGTGTTTAAGAAAGGAGGATTTCTGTCCACCGCTCTTCGAGCCGCAGAGCAAGGAGAGGATGAGGTTGAGCGGGGAGAAGCGTTCATGGCAAGGTTCACCAGGGAGTGGTATCAAAGCGAGTTGGACCTTCTGCCTCAGGAATTGCGAAAGCTTCACAATATGCATCAACGAGGGAAAAGCACCCAACTCAAACGTGCTGAAGGACACAGGAGGAGAAAAGATTGGTGTATTCATAAGAAAAGTAATCCAGGACACCGAAAAAGAGTTTTCATTCCATTGGTTTCTGTGCTTGATTGAGTTTCTTCTGCGCTTGATAGAGTTGCGATGCAGCATGCAAGATATTCCCACACGCGAAGCATCGGACTCGCCAACACGCACTTGCAAGCATGTCTCACTGCTGGCACATTCAAGTTGGCTATCGGCGAGTCGTGTCTCTCGCTTGATCAGGTAGTCAGTAGGATGTTTATGATCTGAGCCATCTACAACTTGCAAAGAGTTGAAAAAGGAACAGAACGAAGAGGGGCTCTTGAACTCTTTATTGATAGGCGCTCTAGAGGTGCTTCAGTATGTTGCATTAACAAAGCTTTGAGAGCGTGCTGCTTTTTGCAATTGCATTGAGAATCTTCGCCTTGCTGCCGCATTGTGTCTCTGATTTTAATCTGTAAGATGGAGATTCTTGGGATCGGATTAAGGTAGTTGTGATTCAGACAGTTCTTGCCTCGCGAACCGCAGCTGGGCGTTCTTCAGCTCATGGCCGTTTCTTGTTTTCGCTTGAAAGGATCCCCACTAGAGACTGGCATAGGCTAGATCCGATTCATTAAGCACCTGGCCACTTCACATTCAAGGTTATACGAGCTGCCCTAAACAGCAAGAGTATAGGGCCAGGTAGACAATTGACCAGAGCATATAGCTAGGATCGTATGGCCTCTATATGGAGACGTTATTACCAGCTTCTTACCTTATGTCAGTCCTATGAACTTGTTTCGAAAAGAACACTCGTTAGGTGCTGCTATATCATACTAGACAAGGGCACGAACAAGAAGAAAGGTTAGTAGAGAGGTGTTCGCGAGACAAGTAATCTGACCGGACCCATCTTCCAAATTTCTGGCCAAAAGTCATGGCTCGATATGATGACGCGTAGCACCCGCGAGCAACACCTCGGCCCTGAGGATAGCAAGGAAAACAACCTTCACTTACCCCGCTTACATCTTCGAGCTCAGATATATCATAACTGTTCAACTCAATCGGACCTGCTGCAACATCTTCATCAAATACAACACTACACTCCAACGATCATGGCTTCAGGAAAGTGTCTTTGTGGAAAGGTTGGCATTGAATACAGTGGAGAGCCCGCGTTGAAGGTGAGTTCGAAGCATTCAATAAACACTTCTACAGAAGCTGATCTGTATTTACCACCAGNNGCACTCTGTCATTGCACCGACTGTCAAAAGATCAGCGGCAGCGCCTACAGCGTCAACAATGTCGTCTCTGGTGACGGTTTCAAAGTGACCGGCAACCCCAAGAGCTTCACCAAAACAGCCGACAGCGGCAAGAAGATCACCTCCTACTTCTGCGGCGACTGCGGATCTACCCTGTACCGTGATGGAGAGAACTTTCCGGGTATGAAGATTGTCAAGGCTGGTGTTTTGGATGGCAATGTCTTGAACGAGAGCAAGCCCAATGTCGAGTTGTTTGCTCCTACGAGACCAAAGTGGGTTGCTGCGCTCGATGGGGCTGAGCAGAAGGATACCATGTAAGATTGCGTCAGGACGAATTGATGGATCGTGACTTGTTGGAAGAGTTGCAAGGCTCTACATTTGGATGATTTGGATGACTGCCTGTAGTCAGTATCAGAGAGACTTGAAAAGACTTGCAGTTCCTACTTGGTGTGAATGGGTAGTTGTGTCGTCAGTTTTAGACTCGGTGTCCATGGTCGTGTTCTCATTATTTGAAGTTGATGGGGCCCTGTTGGAGACTTCTCGCGCACCAGACTTTCAGGAAGCCTTTGTACAGTGGAACCCTTCCTGTGATAGATTGCTGGAGCGACTCTCAGGTCGTCGCTCTACTCGGAGCTCGAGTCCTCGGCCTCGCGAACGGTGTCCTTGAGGGCCNNTGTAAAGCTGTCAGTGGGTGCTGTGCGATATGACGAGGGTTTGCTTGCATCCTTGAGCTTTTGCTTGAGCTCATCGAGCTTCTTGGTGTTGATTAAGCAGGTCTCGTCATCAATGTCTTCGGAAATGTAAAGACCGCCATTCTCTTCATTAATTTTGCTGATGATGGCCTTGATAGAGGGGTCACACTGAACCAGGGTACCTAGGATGTTGTCAAGTTTTTTCAAGGCTCGATAGACCAAGGTAGATGAATAGCGACGAGGTCAAGGGGCAACAGTGCAGATGATGATGACGGGCGCGGTCTTTGGACATGAGAGCTTACCGGCGGTAGCACGAGGCATTTTGGATGAGTTGAGATACGACGGGTCGAGGAGATGATGGATACTTGGATGTTCAGTTGATTGTGTTGGATAGCAAAACCTTGATGGATTAATGGTTGACGTGCTCGACGGGAAGCTGCGGCTCCGCGGCGTTAGACGTCGATTTGGACATGTTCAAGCAGCTCCCTTCGTCCTTTCCAACACCACCCTCGACTCGGTCACGCACTCAGTCATGTCGCCTGCCTTTCTGCTCTACTCGTAACGCTCCGTGCACGGCGTATCACCATCGACATTCCATCTCAGCACAAGCATCGCTTCGCACAAAGTCTTCCACCTCTGCGAGACTCCTTCGTCGTCAAGTCCCGAGCTATCCGCCCTGCACTACTTGACTCTGACGACCCCTCGAAGAGCTTGTAGCTCCTCGGCATTTTTCATGACCTTCATCGACCATTCGCTGTGACGACTCACCCTTGAAAACATACCGCCACATCTACAACATGGCCATCGTTCCATACACATCAGACCCACACACCACTCTTACGCCCATCCTCGTCTCCCGATCCGATGAATCCGACGAGGGAAAGAGCTTCGGAAACCTATACCAGAACTACTTTGCCTTTGTCGCCGTCGCCGTCGTTGTCGCCCTAGTCTGCGCCTGCGTCCTCTATCGCCGCAAGAAGCGCATCGTCTACCAAGCCAACGTCTCACGTCAGATCGCTTTGACCCGTGACATTGAAGATCAAGGCTTGCGCGCCAACAGAGGTTGGGGTTGGGGAGCTCTGTCACGCGACTATTCAAGTGGTCCCGCTCCTCGTGGTCAGCCGCTTGGTGTTCTTTCTCCCTGGCGCCGCAGAAGAGAAGAAGAGGGTCTGAACGAGGCAGGAGAGGCTCCTCCCGCATACAAAACTGCTCCCGACGACAACGATACCGTCCTCGAGACTGCTCAGCCCGCTTCTCCAGCCAACCCCACCATACCAGCTGTGCCTCGCCCGACCCTGGCCAGAGAGAACACCGGCCTCAAACCTCCAGACTACACTGAGACCGTTGTTTCGTCTCTCGCACCTGGGAGAGCTTCTTCGAGTACTACTATTCCTACCTCGACTACCACACCCACAAATCCGCATACCGACTCCCAGTCGAATGATCTTCCCACTTACCACGACTCTCATGAACGCGGATAGATTCTGCTACGGTCTTTCATTCTGTTCTGTTCTTCCTCGGGCGTTCCTTTTCGATCCGGCAGCATAGCAAGGCGCGTGGTGTTTAGGATTCAGGTTTGGGGACATGACCGGACAAAGGCGTTGTAACATTGTACTTTTATACCCAAGGGACACTTTCGCTCGATAGCTTTTTCATATACAGTTGTTGATCATGATATTTCACAAGTTTCTTCCATCACACCCAATGCCATCTTTACTTCTCTCCACTGCTCCACATGTACGGAAGCGGCCCTGATCTTCCGCCTCTCGCGCAATTTGTGGAGCAACTCCACGGATGTCTTCCTTGGCATGAATCTGGTTATCATCGATGCTTGAACTGTCCTGACCCTCTACTTTCTTATCGTGCAATCAAATCAGTCATGTCGAGTACGGAATTCACACCAGAGCATCTCAAAGAGATATATGAGTTTGCGGTGCAGCTGGCCAAGGATGCGGGACGCATGTTGATGGACGGTGTGGAGGCCAGATGCGGCAACGACACTGTTGCTGGCGTGCAGCAGGAACAGGTCGAGAAGGACAGTTCTGTGGATATTGTCACGCAGACTGATGAGGGTATGTGATGCACCCTCAATCTCTTCTTGTGGCATCTTTGAGCCCTAGCACGAGAACAATACATGCCATCGAGTCAAGGAGAGATGAATCATCATATACAGAGCATGGCTAATCAAGCATCACAACAGNATGTCGAAGCCTTTGTCAAAGAGCAAATCACAAAAAAGTATCCCAGTCACGAGTAAGTCCAGCAATTGCATCTCTACCACACCCATGAACCACTCATCTAACCGCCCCTCACCCNNAGCTTCATTGGCGAAGAAACATACTCCAAAGGCGCCTCGAAAGACTACCTCATCACCACAGCACCAACCTGGTGTGTCGACCCCCTGGATGGAACCGTAAACTACACACACCTTTTCCCCATGTTTTGCGTCTCCATTGCCTTTATCCTGGACTCCAAACCCACCATCGGTGTCATCTATGCCNCGTTCCTCAACCAAGTCTTTTCCGCTTGCAAAGGTCAGGGAGCTTGGTTGAATGAGACTAGACGTCTTCCGCTGGTGAGAAATCCAGTGCCTCCGATGCCTGAGCAGGCACCCAAGGGATGTGTGTTTAGCTGCGAGTGGGGAAAGGATAGAAGGGATGTGGAAGACGGTAATCTGTACAGGAAGATTGAGAGTTTTTTGAACATGGCGGGGGAGCTTGGGGGAAGAGGGNGTAAGGGTGGTATGGTGCATGGCGTGAGAAGTCTTGGAAGGTACATTTTCCCATTCCTTCCCACTTTGTTGATTGTCTCTAGAACTGTACTGACAGCGTGAAAACNNAGTGCAACCCTCGATCTCGCATACGTGGCCATGGGTTCCTTCGATATCTGGTGGGAAGGCGGGTGCTGGGAATGGGATGTAGCAGCCGGCATCTGTTTACTCCAAGAAGCAGGTGGACTGGTCACTACTGCAAATCCTCCTGAAGACCCTGCTACAGCGGCGATCGGAGATGTGAGGTTGGGGAGTCGACTATATCTCGCCATCAGACCTGCTGGCCCTTCTGCAACAGAGACAGGCAGACAGAGCCAGGAGAGAGTGGTTAGAGAGGTTTGGAAGAGAGTTAGACATTTGGAGTACTCGAGGCCCGGTGCATAGAGGTTAGATTGCTGCATTACAGCGACGAGAAGAACACTCAGGATTCGGTCGAAGGAAAGAGACGGAAATGTTCAACATGTACATAAACACATCACCAGTGCCCTCTTGAGAGGCAAGGCAGTTCATAAACCACATGCAATCAAACGCAGTGCGTACACCTTGCTCTCTATCCCTCTCTACTGAGCCCTGACGAGACACCATACATCGGACATCTTGCCGAACTTCCATCATACGTGCACAACATGCAACCTCAAATCACACCGCCTGGTTACGCGTACGCATGCCAATATCGTGATAATCATGATGGGTGCATTTGCCGGCTCTTCCGCACGAATTAAGTACAAGAATAAGGCTCGGGTGTGAAAGCTTGAGAGCATCAAGAAATGAAGGGAAGGTTTGGGCGAGAAAATGACGACACGATTTTGGTTGTTCTCTTCGCGGAGGTTTGTTTCTCCTCGCGGCACCTGCAGATTTGACAGGTACTCATGTATATTTCGACATCACGTCTCGCTTGCTTCCAGGTCATGGCGGCTGGCGATTGATTGTGATACATGAAGCTAGAGATATTGTGTACGACGACTTGAATTGATCGGATCAGAGGTGCTCTCTATTGTTCGAGCCTTGCACAGCTTCAATTGTTTCACTGTCAGAGCAAGGCTTTCAGTGCTAACAGAATCGATTCTCTTGTTCGAAGATGGCTCTAACAACTGTCAGCAATATCAAGGTGCGGCTTGTACCGCCACCATCAAGATGATCAGCCTCGGGCTAAACCTCCGTGACCATAACCACTCCCGAACAGTCAAGTTTGGCCTTGTCTCTCGGCAGTTTAGCATGACCAATTGCAATAACGGCAACATACCGCAAGGTTCTCGATTGGTCACACTCGTCCGTCACAAACGATCTTGTTACGCTTGATGCATAGCTTCCGCAACTTTCCCATAGCGTTGTGCAGAGGTCACTATCATGACGACTATTTACCATGCATGTGTACGCCTGTAGCCGAGTCCGCAGGGTTTGCTTGTGCTACTGATATATAAGGTAGGACACGGTACCTGAACTTTGAGGCGAAAGCCACAGTCTTTTTCAATCCCACACCCATCATGAGGACAGGAACTTCCCTTCTTGCGGTCTCTGGTCTGCTGAGCTCTGTTTTTGCTGCACCAGCTCCAGCACCCAACCGCGTCAAGCCTCGTCAGGAGTCCGCAGTACAATTCTTGGACAACACGAATAACCCTACCGCCACTCCATTCGGACCACAGGGTGCATCTGGCTCGCTGAGAGGAGGATCTGAGCTTCTGGGCTTCAACCCTACTAATGTCATCAGCTCGTACGACCCAGCTGTTGTCCCGTCAAGCGCTTTCAGTGTAGGCCCTCTTCAGACTGCAGATGCAGATACAGGTTTCTACCTTGACCTTAGTAAGATTGAGAACCCACAGCCCATCCGTGGCGAGGGAGGAAAGTCACCTACGGATCCTGGACCGAGGAACGAGTTGTTGGAGAAGCAGAACCCGGACTTGTATATTCCTCCGGTACGTTCGAGTATACTCTAGGTTTACAACTCCGGCTGATCACCTCATCTACAGGGTACCGATGCCGGTGATGTTTCGAACGCCAAGTGGCCTCTTGGTCTTTCCCACAATAGACACGGGTTGAATGGCGCGGGATGGGCAAGACAGCAGAACGTCAACCTTCTACCTGTGGCTAAGAACATGGCTGGCGTGGACATGCACCTCGAGCCTTACGCATACAGAGAACTGCACTGGTAGGCGATGCAATTTTTGTGTGCATTTACACAACAATCTAACAAATTCGCAGGCNACCAAGCCAACGAGTGGTCTTACATCATGAACGGATCAGTCAGAATCAATGCAGTCAACGAAGACGGCGAAACCTTTACCGATGACCTATCCGCAGGAGATGTCTGGTTCTTCCCTGCCGGCATCCCTCACAGCATCCAAGCTGGACCCACTGGAGTTGAGTTCCTTCTCGTCTTTGACGAAGGCAGTTTCAGCGAGGACAACACTTTCCTTCTCTCGGAACTCTTTGCCAGAAATCCCAAATCTGTTTTGGCCAAAGATCTCCGCGTAGACATCTCGGCTCTGGACCACATCCCCCAAGACCAACTTTATATCTTCAATGGCTCGGCATACCCAGCCAATGTTTCTGACCCCCTCAACAACATCACCGGTCCCGCTGGTGTGATCCCCAACTCCAAAGGCTACTCCTACCATTTCTCCGAACAAGCACCTTACGAAGTCCCCGGCGGCAGTGTCAAGATTCTCGACACACAGACTTTCCCGGCAGCCTTTGACTTTGCCGTCGGTCTCTTCACAATAAAGCCCGGAGCCATGCGCGAATTGCACTGGCACACCACCAGCGACGAGTGGGACTTCATCCTCTCCGGTCAAGGCAGACTGACTCTGTTCCAAGCACCTCAAGCCTCTCGTACCTTTGACTTCCACGCCGGCGATGTGGGTTATGTTCCCGTGGTCACTGCACACTATCTCGAAAACACTGGAACCGAGGATTTGGTTTACTTGGAGGTGTTGCAGGCACCCATCTACAATGATGTCAGTGTTGCGCAGTGGTTGGGATTGACTCCCAAGCAAGTCGTCAAGGAACATTTGGGCTTCAGCGATGATACCCTGAACCGCCTCCCGAAGATTAAGCCGTTCATCTTGCCTGGAGACACTGATTTGGGTCAGACTAACTTTACCTCCGAGGCTGAGTAAATGTCGATATTCCATTAGAGGTTCGAGTAGAGATCAATACCCAGTGTATCGCAGACGGGGTCCTAATCATTGGATATAATTTGCTCATGGAAAACATTTAGTGGTGATGTGTATAAAAAATACTGCATACTACGTAACTCCGGCTATGGAAAAAAGAACCTTCCTTTGACCTGCTAATGATAATCTCTGCCAAACGCCTATCAAGTGCATCTCTATCTATATCCCTTGCGTCTCATCATCACTCAAATCCACCACCCACACTACCCAATGCTCCAAGTGCACCTCCAGCCTTACGTCTCAACCCAGCAATCTTCCTGACATTCTCCTCTCTCCTCTTGGCCGCTTTTTGCACAATCTCCTGCCTCTCCGCCTCTCTGGCCTGATAATTGATACTGCTCTTCTTGCTACCTCCATTTCTGATCCCACTACTGCCTTCCCTGTTGAGACTAGGAGGAGCTCTGTCCCCACCAATCGAAGAATTGTTGACGGTGGCCTTTCTGAGCAAACTAGCAGGCTTAAAGGAGAAACTTCCCTTGGCTTGTTGGGACAAGGACGAGAATGCGAGGTTTGCGTCTGCGGTCTCGGCGATGGAGGAAGAAGCTTGTTTCTTGAGTGTCAGGCGGTCGATGATGGAGTCTTTGGCGGGGACTCTGCGGGCGGATGCAGGGGCTCTGGGTTCAGAGGATACGGCGCGGACTTCTCTTTCTTCGTCTGACGACAACAAAATCTCGGAAGCTAGTTCTTCGTTGGAAGGGTCATCGATCAGGAAGGAAAGCGAGTCGCGGACTTCGGCGAGAGATTTGGGTTTGCGGAATGTGTCGCTGAGGCCAGAGCGGCGAAGAGAAGATACTGCCGCAATGGACTTCTTCTTTTGCAGAGGTTGGGCTTGTTGAGATGATTGGCTTGGTTCGAGGGCGTCGGCTGGTCGTTTGAGAGTGTTGGACTGCTCTTCGTCGCCGCCAGCTTGAGAAGCAGTGGGTTGAGACGCAGAAGGTTGTTGTTGTGAGTCAACCATTTCCGCATCGTCATTTACATCAAGACCGTCCAGGAAATCAATATCGTCGGCTTCGTCTCTGTCTTCGATTGCACGAAGGAAGGCCTCTTTCTTGTCATTGCTGCCGAGTTTACCCAGCGTCTCATCTTGAAGCAGAAGTTTGCGCTTGCGAGCTTCTTCGCGTTGTCTGCGGCGCCTTCTTTCGACCACCTGGTCATCTTCATCTGAGTCGAGCTCGAAGGCGTTGTTTCCACGCTTACGGCGAAGAGCACCTGACATGAGGTCCTTGTACAGCTTGCTTGTCTGAGCTTCGTCTTGCACACGGGACTTTTCAGCATAGAGAGCAGCGAGCTGGCGTTCGTTGACCTTGACATCAGTCTCGTCAATCATTTGCTTGTCTTCCTCATCGCCAGAACCAGCGTCTTCGTCGTCACTTGCACCTCCAAGACCGCGGTACTCGTCTTCGGATTCCTCGGCTTGTTCATCAACCATACCCTTAGCGTTACTCTTCTGCTTGTCAAAGTCAGGCTGGGCGGGTTTCTTCGCTGCTTGACGCATGACGCTGAATGCATCCGATGGCTTCTCGACAGCAACGGGCGCTGAAGACGGCACTGCTTCTTCGTCTTCTTCTTCCTGCTGGTCGACCTCAGAACGTCTCACCAGACGGCCACGGCGCTGAAAGACAGGAGACTCTGGAACACCGAGCATGACAGTCTCGACAGTAGATGAAGGAGCACGAACTCGGTCAGCAAGAGGAATAACGTTGGGGTCGAAGCCGACATCCTGAGACGGGTCCGGGATCTGAGAGAACTGCGACATGCGATTGACTGCAGGCGAGTCAGTAGAGGGCTGAGGAAACTGTAGATCCATCTGCTGAGTGGGCTCGTTTGCCTGAGTCTGAGTAGCGTCAACTTGGCTGTCAGCCACTGCATCCTGAGAATCTTCGAAAAGAGGCATCGAAGGCATGGGAGCAGAAGGAGGAAGTTGACGAAGCATCTCGAAGGAATCTTGATCCTGAGAAACTGTTCCAGATGCTTGAGTATCGTCCATAGTTCCTGCGAACATCTGAGACATGCCCATAGGAGCGGAAGGGGTTCGTCCGAAGCCGAATGCAGCGGCGAGCTCATCATTGATACCGTCGCCTGATGTTTGTTGAGTTTCCGGTTCGTCTTCGTCCTCATCGTCGTCGATAACATGTTTCCTGCGTGTCCTTCTGGATTTAGGCAATTGAGGTTCATCGTCTTGGGGTGTCTCGTCTTCGGCCTGTTCTTCTGTCTCCTCGGGCTCTTTCTGATCTTCTTCGCCAGCCTCGGCATCGATCATGTCATGGTCGACAGTGTCCTCCTCTTCAGAACCAGAGAGCTCAATATCCTCTTCCTCTTCTTCTTGATCCTCCTCTTCTGCCGGGGCTTTGGCTTCTTCGTCACTGCCAACATAGTCCTCGTCCTCACTCTCATCAGAGCTNGATACCAACGTCCTCTCCGTTCGCTTTGGCAGTGGCCTTTTCTTGCTTGCGCAACTTCTCGGCTTCTTCTCTTGCCTTGCCCAGCATGTCCTCAATCTGCATCTGCTCCCTCTCACGTTCTTCNNCTCGGTCAAGATGACGATACCCTTGGCACGCAAGTCGGCGAGTCTCGCAGTACGTTCTTGATTTGCGATCTCGCGAGCGCGCTGGCGGAGCTGAATGTCGAGTTGCTGAGGTGATATCGAAGGCTTTTGTCCCCTCTTGCTGCGAATTCTGTCGCCGTTACCAGTGAGCTGAGCAAGGTGGCGGAGCATTAGCATGGTTCGTCCTTCTGGCGTCTGCGTTTTTGGGACTTGGTTGAACATGGCGAGGGGATCGTGGAGAATCTCGAGGTCATCATCGTCGTCGTCGTTTGATCTGTTGAGTTTGCTGTGTTTAGGGATCTTGACGCGGACCTTGCGGATTGGTATCGACTTCTGTTCGATGAGTGGTTGGAGCATAGGAGCTTTGCCGTTATCGACAGTCTTTCTAGGTTGTGTCAGGATTTCTTGGAGCGTTGGCAATTCTTCGTCGGATTCTTCGACAGTTTCTGTGCCCATGAGCTGCTCAGGGATCATTTTGAGAGAGTCATCAACACTTGGAGGGCTTGATGGTGGTGTATCGCGGTCCTTGTCCACACCAGTCTCCGAGAAAGGCTCTGGCGGAGGAGAGGAAGAGGTAACATCTGCAGCATTTGTGACATTGGCAAGACCAGACGAAGTCTTGGGGCGGTTGAAGGCTGACAAAAAGTCTTGGGGTGTGAATCTCTTCTTGACCTTTGCCTGATGCGTCAACTGCATGTTTCTCTTGATTCTTTGTGTTTCCCTGTTCATCTCTTCCAAAGCTCTCTTACTGGCTTTACGTGTAGGTCTTGCAGACTGTGTGAGTCTTCGCTCAGTAGCTTCATCCCTTGTATCCTCGTCGTTGAACATGTCTGACAGTGGAGCCTGGCCGGTAGCGGCACGTTCTTCCTCTGCTTCCTTCTCTGCCTGCTCTCTTGCCAGTCTTTCGGCGCGGCGACGGTTGACGAGATCACGGAGACGAGAGGGCGCCGATGGGTCTGCAGGAAGGTCAGAGTCCGAGTCGCTTCCGTGGTTCGAGTTGTCGTCAATGGATCGTCTCTGCTCGGGAGCCGGTGACATGAACAATCCAGGACTTTCTGATCGGGCAGATGCTGCCGGAGTCGAGGCTCGATCTACGAGTCTCTTACGAGGAGGACTGGGTTGAGGTGTTTTGGTGCGAGCCATTTCGATCGAGTGTGTGACTCTGGCGGGAGATTTGTCTGCAGAGGGAGCCCTCTTTGAGGCCATAAGGTCTCTTTTGACCTTTTGGTAGACATCCTCGTCTTCTGATGACGACTCTTCCCGGATTGGAGGAGCTGCACCTCCCATCCTGGCAGCCAGTCTGCCTCTAGGCTTGAAGACTGGCTCATCCTCCTCTTCACTCTGCTCGTCTTCATTATCTTTTGACGCGTTGACGGTACGCGTCGTGCTTGCTGATTGTGTCGTGGAAGTTGACTTCGTTGCTGGTCTGACAGGTACGCCGGCGTCATCGTCTGACTCTTCGTCGAAAGCGGCCATAAGCTTCCTCATCCTGGTTCCTGGCGACTCCAAGGCCATGGACACGATCGACGAGCTATCATCTGCTGGTGTCGAGGCGCGACTCGAGCGCGTTGAACGCGCCGGAGAAGACATTGTGATTGATGTGAAGTATGTTGTAATGGTCCTAAAGAAGTTTGGCGTTCGTGGACGACTGTGATATAAGGAATAATACGAGTTCAGTCGGCAATTGATAGGGTATGAGAAAGTGGTGTGGTAGAGATGATCAGATGCTCCGGATTGAAATTCCGCAATGGAGACGACGCGTCGCGATCGCGCCAAGGCTTTTGATTGAATTCCCAGCCTCCTCTTACACCACATTGATCGGCCAAAGTTCAAACCACTCAAGAATGTTGACGCGACAATACACGGCAGGAGACATCAGCTTATCAAAACGTCAAGTCATCCATAGTCAAGAAGAGATCAAAGTATGGACATTTGCTTTCGTGACAAAATAACGTGCCAAAAATGCTACATCAATGCATGCTTTCTAACAAAAACAATAAGGGCGACTCGAGGAGAACAGATACGCAAAAAACAAACCACACGCCCTATCCTGATCCCACTCTACCCAGGCATATCGTGTCAAAAACAAACAAATGAGATCCGACCCAGAACAATACACGAGAGAAAAAAATGCTTTTGCAGAGCCTCATCGCCAAAAATCACAAAGGCCTCGCTCCTTAGTCTTTATCCTTGTCCTTATGCTCGTTCTTTCGTCGTAGGCCCGTGAGGCCGGGTATAAAGTCCTTGAGTCGTCGTTCTCTTTCTTCGCGCTTTGCTTTTTCTTTCTTTTCCTTTTCGCGCTCTCTTCGTTCCCGTTCGCGGGCAAGGCTTGGTAAGGCTGTTGTAGTGTCTGTTTCGCTGCTGACGACGCTGCCACTCACGCTGCCATCGCGGGGGCGTTCGGTAGACTTGCGCTCGCGGTCCCGTTGAGGGAAATGCAGGTTCAGGCTTGCAGAGGTGAGGTCGCGTGGAAGTGCTGCGCTGTTCCCGCTCATGAATCCAGCGCCAATGTTGTTGCTGTATGAGCCTGATGCCGAGACTGAGGCGGTCGACGTCCCGGGTCGTACCATTTCGAGACTGGTCTTGTCGAAATGACGACTATTATCGTGACTCAGAATACTGACAGCTGCTGTCTGAGCACCTCCATCGCGGTCTTCTTCCCAAGATGGTGGAGGAGGACCTTCTGTGTCTGCACTGTAGCGACCAAGCCCGACGCCTCCAACACTGAACCCACGACCCCTTGAGTCAGTCTGAGCAGCCTGGCTCACATCATCAAAAGAATCGCGGTTTGGTACGTGGTCGAGAGCATCATCAATGCGAGCGCCGTTGTCTAGCAGTGATGTGGTTTGCAGTTGGTCGATGAGCTCCTCCCAGCGGAAGCTGAGCGCAGAATTAGGACGCTCAGCACGCTCGGCACGAGATAGACACTCCTTTGTCTGGGCATCGAGGGTTCTGCAAAGTCTGTGGAAGGTCAAGAGATCGCCATCTTCTTTGCCAATCTGCGCTGCCAACAACTCTGCTTCGCTTCCATTTGTCGTGCCATGTAGCCAGAGTTCGACCAAGCTTGCAATCTCACGACTTTGGTCGATAAGGTATGGTAAGCTTGGGAAGCCCTCACGACTTGTCATCGGAAGTCGAGACTGGATGGCCAAGGGAGTGGAGTACGAAGTAGGCTTTGCACCAATCATGCCATCAGGAGCAGAGATCGAACAGATGTCGTTGATAAAAGTCTTGAAAGCTTCCCGGTGATCTGTGAGGAAGACATTCATGGGTTCCATCCAGTGTTCTTTGCTACCAAACGAGGCCATGTTGGCAAGACCTTGCAGCGACTTTGCGATCAACGTAAATGTTCGTCGTGCGCGAGGTTTCGGGTCGTCCTTTAAAAGACCAAATAGCTTGGGGTTCAAGACTGCGGGGCAGAAGAAGCGCAAGAACAAAAATCCAGAAACACTGCTATAGCTGACACTTCTCAAGAAGTCGCCATATCGGTCTTCGGCACAAGCTCTGATGTGTCTAAAGATGACTCTCAGCTCCGAAGGTGCATTTCTGGCACTGACTTTGATTGTGTTCCAGACAGATTTTGTGCAGTTGATGAGCCTGTCCCAGTTCTTCTTGAGATCATGCTGATTTGTTACTCGGTTGGGATCGACTTCGCAATCAGGATCTTTCTCGTTGATGTCTCGAATAATTGGACCAAGGCATTCGAGAAGATACTCNCTGCCTACCCTGCGCATGTGCGAGTCCAAAGACTTGGTGAGTAGTGTATTTCCACGGAACAGCAAATTCGCTTCCAGTGTAGCGTTTTTGTTCATGTCGCGGACCATCAGCTCTCTCTCGCTGGCAGCAGTAACGTTTGCGTCTGCCTCGTTATTGTTGTTTGCCATACGACGAGTATACCTCATGCGAGAAACAGGCGTCTCTTTGTGCACTCCATCGATCTCTTCTTCGACCAAGGCCATGATCCACTCAGTGACCTGGCCAGATACCTGGAAGATATTGAGCAGCAAATCTGATAATCGCCTCAGTTCTGTTGGGATCATCTGAGCGACCTGCAGCGTAAGCTCATTCGAGAAGTTGTGTAACAAATCGTTCAAGGGCTTGTAGTCCTTGGCCATGAGAATGACATTTTCTTCCGCACGAGCCTTGATCAAGATCTCGCCTACGTTTTCGTCGTGCACATTCACGACTGGCCACCACTTTTCGACCTCTTTACTCGCTTCCAGTTCCTCGAGGAAGATCTCGATCTTACCGAGGGTTTGATCGTTTTGTACAGGCATTAATCCAGCAGAGCCACCAGTCATTTGCGAAGGGTCCAGTAACCAGGCTTCATGCACAAGGCGAAGCTCGTGTTGTTCACGAGGACTTGAGAGATCCGGCGGGCGACGCTTCAATAGGACGGAAGCTGAGGTAAGGACGGCAGGCAGATCTAAGTAGTCGAACTCCTCGCGCCAGAAAGGCGCCATTGATTCATGTTTGATTTGTGTCTTGCCTCGGGTTTCACCGTCCAGGTGTATCTCAACATAGTACCCGTCCGAGAGCTCAGGTTTGTTGGCAGGATTGTTGTTATTGTTATTATGACGATTCGAGTGGTGATGATTGAATTCAGCCAATGAGCTCAAAGGAGCATGAGGCAGTTTGGCTTCAATGATGCGGATGGACAGAGCGCGCTCCATGCGGAACATTTCAATCTTCTCATTGGCCATCATGTTATCGAAAGTTGATGACGAAGGGGTATCAGGAATAATGGCAGATTCGTCAGAGTGGCCATTAGGTTTGGGTCCGTAAAGTTGCGGTATCGTGAAAGCTCTCAGCAGAACAAACCAGACTTCGTAGAGAACACGTGTTTCCAGAGATAGATATATAGGTCGAATGGCGGTCGTGACGGTGGCACCGGATGTGTATTGAGGATAAATGGCTATGCAAAAGTCATTGTCCAAGACTGAAGGATCCAATCTTTGAACGGCGCTGCGCGAGAGTTGAGAAAGCTGAACAACAGAAAGAAGGGTCGAACCAGATTCTGCATAGAGTTTGAGCTCTCCATTTTCACGCAACGTGCACGACACACGCCTCCACCAATGCGAGCCATAACTTTGGAAGCGCGAAGGTGAAGGCTTGAGCGATCTCGGTGTGCTAGCGTTGGTATATGATATGTTGCTGTCCCAGTAGATCATGGGACCAACCTTGATGATAGGAGCCTCTTTCAATGTAAGAGACATCTCAGAATTGCGCCTGCTATCAGTCAAGGTAATGCCTTGCACAACAGGACTCTGAGGTTTTGTCATCTTGTTATTGAGGCCTCTGGGACGGATTGGCTGCCAACAGAGTAGCGCGGCAAACCACGAATCAAAGTCCTTGCGGTCTTTCAGGCGGACATGCAATTGTAGTGTCGAGTTTGGCACCGAGATGTCAAGATAGGGCATCTGGGTATCTTCGTCCATGGCAGTGCGAACTTGACAGCCGCGTAAGTCGGGAATGAGGGTACGGTGTTGTGGAGAGCTGACATCGGCCTCGCATAGCAGGCTGCCCGTGTCCTCCTGAATGTAGCAGTATGACTGGAGCCACGACGTTGTGGTACCACGACGGTACCAGAGGGTGCCCGACATGCGACCACATAACGTCTTCATAAGATGCAGGATTCGTCGAGCGCTGTTATTGGGCAGGGGACTCTGTACGCTGGCGGCATCGGATACCGAGATGGGCGAGCGCGGACGCTTGGAGGCAGACGATGACGTGGATTGCGAAGGGTCGAAGGAGTGAGATGCGAGCTGTGTCGAGGCGCTTTCGTTGCTACTGAGGTGGATCGAGCCATGGCGCAGACGGCTACCAGGATTGAGGGCGGAACCGGGCGACACTTCACGCGAGGCGCTCTCGTCTAGCGTCCTCGTACGGTTACGACGATTGGCCGAGGTCGACGTGTACTGCAAGCGAGCGCGCGCATTGTCAGTCGACTCGCTGCGGGCGAGCAACAGCGAGCGAGGACTATCACGATCTCTCTTGAGGCTGGTCCGGGGAGAAGAGCCCAGCACGTGGCCCTCAATGTTGATGGTCGTCTCTTCGACGTTCGCGACCGAGTCGGGAGTCACGGTGCGGATTGTGTTGTCACTGCGGGCAGATCGAGGCCCGGGAAAGTGCTGTTGGCGGACTTCGGCCGTCGTCTGTATGATGCTCTGTGGCACGGGCTGGCTTTGTGACATGGCGGAGCGCTCCTGATTCAGGTATTCGTCGTACAGACTGGGCTGCTTTCGGCGGCGGCTCGATTGTTCAGACCACTTTTGGCGAGGGGCGGGTTCCATATGAGCTCTCATGCTTGCACGGGCGACGAGGCGGGCTCAGGTATTGGGGCCCCGCGCAATTGGCGAGAGGTGAAGCAATCGATCCCGTCAGCAGCAGCAGCAGCGCCTGGAGGGATGCGATGGGATAGTGGTCGGTTGAGCGAGGCGACGCGCTACAGCAGACATGGGGCCACGATGCCTGCTGTGCGGAGCGGGTGTCCAGGTGTATACGTCTGCGTGGCCGAGGATGGGTCTGGGGTAATCACTTTTGCGAGCGCAATGTGTTGGCACGCCGGGGATTGTGGTTGGCGATGGGGGCTTTTCGAGCGAGAGGTTTAGGATGGATGATGCGTCGTCGTCGTTGTCTTGTGGTTGCTGTGCTGGCACTGGTGCTCGGTGCTCTCTGGGTGCAGAAAGCCAACGGCGCTCGAACTGCCCTGGCACTGCTGCTACGCTACGACCTATGGAGAGCGCAAACCGCCAGCCTTCTTTTTGCTGCTAAACGTTCCCACTCGTTCTCGCTTCTCTCAATCCTTCCTACCGGCCTGACCGCTGCTTTGTTCTGCTCGGCAAAGGACAAGAACAGCCCGATTGAGAAGATCAAATTGTCACTCCAGGCGGCCTGATAAAAGTCCCCCTACTCCTATATTGCGCTTGTCACCTTGCTCGATGCCGCAGCACTGGGGTACGCCCTTTTGATTGGTCAGCCCGAGAAAAAAAGGGCCAGACTGAGACGCAGAACCGGCCAACAACCAACAACCAGGCGAGCGACGTTTCATCATGCTCTGCCCAAAGCCTTCTGCGAAACACTTCTCTCTCTTACTAAAGACCTTCTGACATGCCTCCACCGATCCCATCTGTGGGACCTCTTTGCTCGAACGCCCTGCATATCTTTTGCACAACATGGTGCTTCTGCCGTGTTTCAGGCACAGTGCACCGCGCGGCTGCCTTACCGTCATCCTTCTTAGGCAACCAGCCAATTTGACAGGACATGGAATATCTCACATAATCCCGTAACATCGACAGTGACTTGTCTATACATACATCATATATATATATCACAGGAGCGAACCATGAGCTTGTCTGCCTGTCACGTTTCAGAGCATCAACATTGAGATTATGCTTCGGGTAGTAAAAGTATCGTCATAAGCATATCGCCGTTAGAAGTAGAGAGGAACAGAGCGCAGAGAAAAAATAGACCAAACCGAGAGAGTGCCAGCCATTGAGCAATTCAAAAGCAGAGACAAAACAAGGAGATTTGAGAAGTGAAGAGAGTAGGCGTGTCATCGCAGCATGATCCGCGTCTTGTCAATCGTAAAATGTTTCTTATTCTTCATCTGAAGCCGTCTCTCGTAAGACCGCCATCTTCAAGGCCTGTCGAGCTTGCTGGATATGGAGCTATCTTTGTTCCTGTAAAATCTCCACTGGCTGTCTTACGTAGTGCCTGACGCATTGTCTCGATGGTGAGTTCTCCATGTTGCTGGTGAGCGGGGCTGCCGATGGGACTGCGTACTGGGCTCATGTCAAAGCCCTTGATTGAGGTTGGGTTGCTTCCAATCGGCGGGGTCGTCACCTCTTGTGAGTATTGAGAAGATAGGGGTGAGCGCGCAGGTGACGGTGAGCGAGGCAGCGGAGGAGAGTGGGTCTGAGCCTGGCTGAGAGTGCTAGCAGACAGTGGTGTATGATGATGTAAGGAGTCCTTGGATTCAGCCTGTTCTGCCTGGACAACGTCGGCAAAAGAGATGAAGCTCAATCTGCGCACATCTGCGGGATCCAACGCACCATAGTTGGACGCGGCATCGTCTAGGTCTTGCGGGTGAGAGTTGACCGAGTGGAAGCTTTCATGTTGCGAGTCTTGTGGTGAGACGGGAAGCTGTGCATCCGAATGAAGGGCAGCCGCTGTGCCCTCTGCGACCTTCTCGGATGCGGGTTGATGAGCTGTGTGAGTGACAATCTCGACTTGATCCGGATCTAGATGGGTATCTGTAATGGCGAGGGAAGAGGCCTCGAGGACAGCAGGAATATGGTCCTCGGTCTGGATGTGTGCGGGAATAGCGGGTGACAATTCACTGGGGACAATCGACTCTTGGACGTTGCGCTCGAAGATTTGCGACGAGGCCAGAGTCGAGGTTGATTGACTCTGTGCCAGAGCAAAGGGTGAACGGGACGGTGAGGCGGCGACAAAGCGATTGGGTGGAGAGGGCGACGAAGCGAGAGGAATCATGTTTGCTGGTGTGGCTGCCGCGGTCGACTCGGACTGGGTCGCGTTGGTATTCGCGTTGATGACGGCACTGTCGGAGGACTTGTCCTTTCTCTTGACCAGGCCGAACAATCGTCGTTTGCTGGATTTTGCGGAATCAGTCGTGGGTGATTGAGAGACCGAGGGAGAGACGATGGGCGCAGTGTCAGATTGCGAGCTGAAGGTCGAAGTGGGTGGAGAGTGGGCACGAGCGGACATGATGGGCTGCGGGCTATCTTTTGTTGTTCTTTCCTGGACAAGGATCAAGGATAAGGCCCTGGCACGTAATGAACCTTGATTTGTAGACTGGAACTTGAGAGAAGGAGCGAGAGAAACGTGCGCATGTGCCAACCAAGACCCAAGCCTCTTTCCAAAACACGCAGCCTTGCTCACTCGTCAACAACGGCAATACGACCAAGCGTGACAGCGCCTCGTCATGCGCCCATCCATACTCCGCAACAGGGTCTTGGTCCAAACCTTCTTGCTTTTTCTGCTATCGTAACAAAACACGTATGCAGGTACGGCTTGCCGTATCCTGAACAGCGAACCGTCCTTCTGAAACACTGGCTCTTGTTCAAGAACATGCTGCTTGCTGTTCCAATCCACTTCCTACATCATCCAGGAGTGTGGCTTTTGTCACACACAGTCTTCGTCATACACGCCCTCGGCAGCGTTGGCATCCGCCCGCTCCGAGTGTCTCCATCGCATCCGCAAACGAAACACCTGGAGTTGCAGAGCCGTTCAAACTTTACCGCTATGTACTGATCCCGAGTGGACTCTATTTCGCAAGCACATCCCTCTAGGGATTTCAGTACCACGTGCACGTCTGAATAATGATTTGACAGTCTACTTTTGACGTGAAGGCTTTCGGTTCTGTCGATCCTAAATTTCTCCCTTGAGTCAGGATGCTGCATCTTCAAACCACCTGCCTGCTTCGTGTCTGGAAACAGATGAGAGGATGACTTTGTGCAGACCACTTCAAATCCTATCCTCACTGTTTGAGATATGCATGCACTTCGAAATCTGTGACTATAGGCTCTAGTAGCACGACAGGCCGGTGGGCGCAGCAAGTATGTTTCGATTCATTGCTCACTTATCGATTCGAGAAAAGCGTCTGCCTTGTGATATCTTGTGTCGTTGTTATCGATTCTAAGGCAACGTTAAGTCTAGGGCACGCTCCAATGCACTACCGGTATCTCGCTGGACATCTGTGCAGATGACACTGGCACTTCAATATCCTCAAGGGGGTCTCGTTTTGGCCCCGATATGGGAATGCTTCTATGCATCACACGAACAATCCTGTACAGGAGTTAGTGGCTAGTTTCTTTTCTTTTTCGTCTTTTTGTCCCTTTTTCCCTTTTCTTCTTTGTGCTTGTGAGTATGACCCTGTCTGTGGTATTCGAGTCTGTTATCAATGCCATCGTTTTCCAACACCTTTGCCTTGATTCAGAATTACACCTTATATTCATGATCACCACAATGTAGCCACTAGAGTAAACATCCTGCTCTAGAACGAACAGCTACTTCGTAGAGAAGAAACGGAGTCGATCACCTAAGAATCTACAACACATTCTTAAACCTCCCATCCAAAGCCTGCCCCAAATCCCCCAACAACCTCTTCGCAAACATGTCATCAAAGAACGCAACCCCCAATTCCTGACTCGTATACCAACTCGCCCTATCCAAATTCCCTGACCCCAGAATCACGAACTCTTGATCCACAATTGTGCATTTAAGATGACTTTGCTGTGGCTCCTTGTCCCCACTCCCCTCTCTTGGAATAAAATAGTCAATTCTCAGTTTGCCTGGTTTGGGTCTACCGGCTTCCAAGTCTGAAGGAGACGAAGAATAGAGGGTTTGGTATTTGGAGATCAGTTTCGTGATGCAGCGGGAGGTTGTTGTGCCGGCGGTGACTAGTTGTTCGAGTATCATGAGTTTCTCGCTGGTGACGATGTGGATATTGATGCCGCGGCGGAGGGTTGATAGGATGGCTGTCAGGGCAGGTGGGGCAGTGAGGTTGGGTGTTTGTATGTAGACTTCCCGTTCGGCGGAGAGGAGACTGCGGAGGAAAAAAGTGTTGAGTGGTGTAGGCGGTGGATTTGAATGTTCTTGCCATGGAAGTCTGAAATCTGGGTTCCTGTGATGAGGTGAGGGGAGGAAGATTGTTGGGATATCTTTCGAGTTCACGGGCGTGTGTATAGGGAGTTGTCCTTGCGGTGATTGCTGAGATGTCTTCGCGAGCGACCCTTCGTGTCCGGAGCTCGTAGAGAGGGTGACCAGCTCATCCCTATCTTCCTGCTGCGCCCAAAACTCTCTCCAAAAGTTGACGAAACACGAAACCACGGGTCCAGTGAGTGTAACAGCACCTTCGAACCAATCTTCCCAGCTCACGTTGCAGGACGGCAACACTGCAACTTTCCTATCCACAACGATGAACTTTGGATGCATGACCGAAAATGGCAATAGGAAGATACTCTTCACTTGCATATCCAAGCCTTGCAATAGATCCAGGTCCGGAAGGTTGAGTGTAGATTGCCATGATTCAGGTGGATAGACCTTTCCATTCAGGCTCTGCGGATGCAGGAGCTTCTGAAATACTGACGACGAGGAAAAGCATATTCGCACTCGGATCTTGCGATCTCTGCTAATGCCCTTTTCTGATAGTGTCTTGAGCGCGTCATTAACCAATTTCTGTGTAGCAGAGGATGCCCAGAAACATGTCACCAGAATTAGTTCCTCCTCTGCAGATTCCAAAAGTGGGAGTAGAGATGTATATATCGATTCGCCGGTGCCGAGATGCAGAGAGTGCAGGTTTGAGGTTGTGATCAAAGATGCGGGCGAGTGGAGGAAGTAGTTTGGTTGCGAGGTTACGTTCCTATCGTAGCCAGCCTTGAGGTCGCCGAGCCATGGTTGTAAGATTGTGACGTCTTGTTTTGACGAACCCATGGTTATTGAAAGTTGGTAGGTAATGGTCAGTGTTTACATAGGTGTGAAAAGGAATGCGATGGCGGTGAGACTAGGCTGAATATGGGCCATGGCGTCTCAAGGCCACAAGGCTTTGTCAAGTCACGAATATCATTGACATTACATCACGACATAAGACAGTTAATGTATTTGACATATGTATCAATAGAATAGACATGCGATCAATGCTTATCATTTCTCGACAGCGACAGGAACGCAACGGAGTATAGAAGTCAAAGACTAGCCAGACAGAACAGCAGGACGACAACACAAGACTACGCGCATATGGCAAGATTGGTTTGAACATTTATCTTTTTGGCATGAAAAAACCTACGAAACGAGTCTTTTTTCTTTGGTTGGACGAAACGCCGATTATACACCCTGCACTCCGTCGAACCGACTCCATTCGTCCTCGCCATCCCAGCGTCGCCTCGACAAGCTTTTTTCTTGTCGGGAACAATGTTCGTGATAAGTAGCCACGTTGGAACGGTTCGCAAAACAGCAACACAACTTTTCAGTCAATCCTGTTTCTCCTCCTGACAGCACTGTCGAAACATCAAAGCATTTAAGCTCTCGACATGACGCCCCAGGCGCGGATCTTGTTGTCGGTGTAACCGGCGAAGAGGGTCTGACCGTCGGCGGACCAGGCGAGCGAGACACACTCGGGCTCTCTGCTCTTCTTGCCAACCTCGACGTACTCGGGCTTGAGCTCGTCAACCTTGCTCTTCTTCTCGAGGTCGAAGATGATGATGCTCGAGGCGGTGGCGGCGCACAGCCAGTAGCGGTTGGGGGAGAAGACAAGGGCGTGGATCTCGTCACCGGCGTTGAGCGAGTACAGGTGCTTGCTCTCGTTCAGGTCCCAGAGCATGGTGGTACCGTCCTTGCCACCGGAGGCGCAGAGGGAACCGTCGGGGAGATGGTGACGGTGTTGATGTAGCCGGTGTGACCGATGTGGTCAGTCTGGATGCGGCAAGTGGCAAGTTCCCAAACCTGTGTTTCGAGTCTTGTCAGCGCATTGTTCATCAATCGGTTGCTAGTCGTTGTGAAGTAGTCTTGTTGGCGAAGGATCAGGGCAAATGGGTGAATAGTTGTCTCATGGCGGTAGATGGCCGCTCTGAAGTAGCAAATACATAATTGCAATACATCATGTCGAGGGAGGGTTGGCGGAGAAGAAAGAGAGCTGCAACGAACCTTGACGAGCTTGTCCCAACCAGCGGAGACGATGACGGGGTTCTGGGGGTTGGGGGAGAAGCGGACGCAGGAGACCCAGTCGGTGTGGCCCTTGTCGGTGATGGTGTACTTGCAGTCACCAAGGGTGTTCCACAGCTTGATGGTGCGGTCGCGGGAAGCGGAGACGATCTGGCGGTTGTCGGCCGAGAAGGAGACGGACAGAACATCGTTGGTGTGGCCGACGAAGCGGCGGGTGGTCTGGCCGGTCGAGAGCTCCCACAGGCGGAGAGTCTTGTCCCAGGAGGAGGAAAGGGCGTAGGCACCGTCCGAGGAGATGACCTAGAAACGGTCAGAGGCTTGTTCTGACGCTGGTTAAGGAGGCAATTGGCGTACACAGTCGGAGACAATGTGCGAGTGACCGTGGAGGCTGCGCTTGGGGTAGCCGTATGAGGTCTCGTCGCGGGTCAAGTTCCAGATGATCAGGGTCTTGTCGCGCGAGGCGGACAGGAGCATGTTGGGGCTGAACACGAGGCAATCAGCATCTCTGCCTCTCTCTATCTCTTTCTGATTGTGCGTGGTGCTCACTTCTCAAGCGAGGTAGCCAGGCTGGTGACCCAGCCGGAGTGGCCCTCGAGGGTGCCGCGAAGAACAAGTTGCTCGGCCATGTTGACTTATGGAGGATCGCTGCAGCTCGATTGTTAGACTGGAGGTGTTCCTGCGTGATGCGCGCGCGTGCTTGCTGACCTGACGGAGTGAGACGTGGGCGATTGACTGGCGCTTGGGAGATCCGTTCAGTAGTAAAATTGAAGACGGCGAATTCAGTCGTGCGTCGACACTCGTAGCCGAAGATAATCCGTCCAAAACTAGCGCACCGTGCCAAGCCCAATCACCCACCATCTCGACCGTCACTCCTTGGTCCTCTGGTCTGGTTGTCTGATTATTGTGCATTGTCACTTTATAGTATTAATCTGGGTCCAGTGACGGGATTCTGATCTGCTCCTCCCGATGCGAGAACAAAGTATCGACTACATACTGTCCAAGGAAGTCACGACCAGAAGCTTCAGCTTCGACGCCAATACTCACTCACTTCGTTCAGCAGAATAGGCAAGCGAGCTGCTCATATCTCGAGCAACTGCCTTTTCACAAGTAAACTCGGAAAGGTTTGATCTTCAATTCTTTCTGTCTCAATTTCTTCTTCTCAGTCTCTCGAGTTCTTTGTATTTTTCCCTCGCTACCTCAAGATAATAATAATTTCTGTCCTGTCTCATCGGCCCCTTTCATTTCCTTCCATGAGTTCTCTCTCTCTCGCGCATGAGACCTCGTTCGCATCAACAACATTTTCCGAATCCTCACTTCCTTACTCCCCATTCTCCAATCAAGCTTTGTCATTTCTTGAGGGTCTCGCTTTCTTCCTCTGGACCATCCCCGTCCTTCGCTTTTGTGTCTTTCGCGTCTGCCATCTCCGTCCTTTTCGCAGTCTCTCTCGTTGCCGAAGCCTGATTCTCGAGAACCTTGATCCTCTTGTTATCTCCAGCCAGGACGTCAGCAGCGACCTCCTTGATGAGCGTTCTCAACGCGAAGACGGCTCCGATGGCACAAGCAGTACACCTAGCCCCTGAGAATCCAGTGCCTTTGCATGCGGTGCATGCCGCTTTGCTGTTGGTCTCTCGTTAGCATCTGACTAAGCACGTGTATAAGAGATGAAGCGCAGAGGGGAAGGAGTCACTTGCCTTCTCAGCACATGACCAGCGCATATTTTGCACGTAGAGATCTTGATGCCGTTGATGCAGCCATGACGAGGATCTTTTGCTTGCGCCAGAGCTCTGTGAGGTCCGAGAGGTGTAGCCACAGTAGTGGTAGTAGAAGAAGTTGGAAGAGGGTTTGCAGTAATGCTTTCCAAAGCATAGAGGAGGTTTGGGTTTGTTGTCATGATGGATGTATTACTTGTTTTGACAGTAGGTATGAGAAGTGGATGTATATCGATGATGATGGTTTGCAGAAATAACGGTGTAGGCAAGAGGGTTTATATACTTTCTACATGGGGGATGCAAATGATATGGTGCCTTCATGCGCTGACTGGGATTAATGCTCGTGGACCTCGTGCTTGATGTGTAGAGGAAGTCACGATCTAGGTAGGAGGGATTGCACGTGGATGGTCTAGACGTGCAAGCATGCGACCTTACACGTGCAGGCATGCGCTGGTATTATTTTTTGTCTTGTGTTTTTATTCACTGATGCAAATCAGAAAATGCTTATATACTCTGTTTCTATATGAGACAAAAAGGATATTACAGGAAAGGAAGCAAGGAGGTCAATATATATAATCGTGTAAAGTAAGGGGTGACTTTGCTCTACTATATCAAATTTGCGCGTGTACCTTTCTGTCTTTCTCAGGTCTATTCCTTATTCTCTTGAATACCTCCATCCTAGAAAGGTGGGTTTCCACATCACATTGCTGATAGCAACTTTGATTTAGGAGCACTCTGCACAGTTGAAGTTGCCAAGTTATGGAATATTTGCCTGTGTCAAGCAGCTGTAGATATTACGGCAAGGACCAAAAGCAGAGAATATCGTAAGAGACAATAGGCAAAACACAAAGGAAAGGATAATTGACTGACATAGGGTATCCACCAACGCTCATAAACAAGAAGAAAGTTGACGTGTGGGCACCGAAAACAAGTCCGAGAATAAACATAGGAAAGAGAAAACACCGAGAAGTTGGTTACGGCATCTCAATCGGTGGGGGTGCCGGAAGTTGTATCTCGAATGCGGCACCTGTAAATCCTGGGCGTTTGTCTGTAGCTTCCAGTTCCGCGATGCTCTGAAGTGGTGCGCTCTCGAGATGATCACCCGGTCCTCGGATTGTTGGTGCCGGTGCTGCGCTGTCCGCAGTGCTATACTCGCTCATACTGCTGTAACTTCGGCGTGTATCACTTATGCTGCTGTGGCCCAGGTGGAAATCACTCATACTGCTCTGGCTTCGAGATGATCGCGGCGAAGTAACTGTTGGTGAAGTGACTCTGACACCGAGACCGGTAGCTCCGGTATTGAGTGCCAGAACGGAAGTGCGTTCCTCCCGATACTTCTTCTCTTCGACCAGATCCGCCTTGACGACCAATCGATCAACGAGAACGCCATGAGCTTTGTTCAGTGTCTTTTTGACGAAACCCGTGAGAAAGATGTTGCAGTTCATGTCGACGTCTTCGCGCAAGTACAGCCCTTGCCGCGGTATGCCGAGGTTTCTGTGACCAAGTTCCATGACTTCGTGCTCCTCNTACAAACGATGTTAGAACAAGTGCGCTCCAAGAGCATTGCGCAACGTGAACGTACCTCCAACTTCATTACCACCGATGCTCCATTTCTCCTTGATATCGAGGCCGGCAGGGGCATAGACATGAGTTTGCAGGCCACGAGGTAGATCGTGAAAACAGGCTTTGTAGCTGACTTGGCCTTTGACGCCTGGCAGGTATGTGATGCGATCTGTGAGCTCGTACCAGATGCAGTGGAACTCATCCGAAGGTGCATTGGGAGGTGGTTTGCATGGCGCGTTGTGGATGACCAGTGGGTTCAGTTGGATCATCTCGACGTGTGAGTGTAGCATCTCGACGGCCGTCTCCCTACTGACTGTCGGAGGGAGTGGTGTCACCACTGTGAATGTGCTTCTTTTCCAGAGGACCATTTTGATATAAGAGGTTTGATCGAGATATCGTTATGTCGGGAACTGTGTCAATTCTCTGTTCTCAATGGATAGAGCCGGCTTCTGGATCGGTGGCAGTAAATTAGGCGATCACAAGAGTGTCGGAGTTGAAGGGACTGAGCGCAGGATCAAGAGCGGTCTTATGTACTAGGCACGCTTACGTGTGGCCGTCGGAAGGATGTGAACCAGTTCTGTTTCTAGACCGGACGGCACTCAGCTTATCTACTGTTTCCTCAAACTGGTCGCGCAACGTTCGGCGGCCTCAGCCGCCATTTTACTGCCACCATGATTCAACTGCAACCACAGTCAGACGATTTTGGGTTCCCCACCATGTCTTGCCTCAAAACGATCGGAAGGCGCTCGTTAAAGCCAATAATGCCCGTGCGCTATGGGCAGTCTCTGACCAGTAGGAGAAAAGGTATGAAAGCTTGGCAGTACTCTAATTATTGCGAGCGTCATCATTTGTGGACCTTCCTCCGTAGGTTGGTGCATCAGGCTTGCAGACTCCTCTTTCCTGAGGTTCGACTTTTCACGTCCAACCCTCACAAAAGTACTATTGTTCTTGATTATCATCGTTGCAGGCGTTCAGCAAGGCTTCAACTCCCATCATTAATATCGTCAGCTCGGCTTGTTCACGTCGTCCGGCCTATCGTTCCAGTTCAACAGCCCGCGGGACGATCAACTGAACCGCAATTTGGAGGCTCTCACCCTCCATCTCCATCAGTTCGGCACCATGGTCTGGGACCAGCTTGAACCTACGCCGCCCCATCTTTCATACCTCCTGATATCTTCCTTTCTGATTGTTTATTGCTTATTCGCTACCTTCGTCAGGAATCGCCTTCACTTGTCCGAACCGCCATTGGCACTTCTGGTCGGTATCCTTCTGGGACCAAGAGTGCTTGGCTGGTTGAACCCGAACTACTGCACTCAACAAGGATGTACTGGCGATGAGAGTGCGAGGTGGGGTTGGGGAGACACCCAAATCCAAGAGATTTCTCGTGTCATTCTTGGTGTTCAAGTCTTTACCGTTGGTGTCGGCTTACCAAGGTACTATGCTTCCAAGCACTGGAAGAGCGTGGGTATTCTACTGAGTAAGTCTTGCATTCTCCCAACCTGATTGTCATCAGATCTCGGTAAAACACATGGTCTTGATCGATGCTGCACAAGAACGAGCCATTGCCCAAACACTTTGCCACAACCCTCGTGATACACTCTTATCTTATCCTCAGTTTTGCAACGTCTGCCTTCGTATCTAACCTCGCAGAGCTTGCTACCGATGCCACCAGCCACCTCCCAAGCATGCAATTTGATGAAAGACCAAGACTGACTCTCCACTCTAGCGATCGTCATGACCTTTGGCTGGTTCGTCTGCTCGCTATTCGCCGCGTTGATGTTCAAGGTGGATATCGCTACTGCCTTGACTATTGCCGCCTGTTTGACGCCTACCGACCCTGTTCTGTCTTCTTCGATTCTGTCCAACAGTCAGTTCAGCGGCAGGGTACCCAAACGCATCAAGGACATGTTGGCTGCGGAATCTGGTTGCAACGACGGAATCTCATTCCCGTAAGCCCACAACATTCGTGACCGCAAGTTGTGTCTTACTTACCTTTACAGATTCCTCTACATTGGACTGTATGCGCTCATACATGCCGATCCCAAAACCGCTGTCAAGGAATACTTCCTCATTACTATCCTTTGGCAATGTACCTTGGGTGTTGCTGTTGGCCTCGTCATCGGCACTGTTTTCAACAGACTCTTGCGTTTTTCTGACAAGCGGGGCTACGTTGACCCTGCCGGCATGATTGTCTTCTATCTGCTCCTCGCAATCTTCAGCGTTGGTGTGGGCAGTATTCTTGGCTCGGACGACTTCCTCGTAGCCTTCGGCGCGGGCTATGGTTTCGCAAGGGACGGATGGTTCAGCAAGAAGATCAAAGACGCTCATCTTCCGGATGTGACTGACCTTTTACTCAACTCGGCCATGTTCATCTACCTTGGTACCATCATGCCCTGGGAAGCGTTCAGCGCTCGCGACATTACTCCTTATGTTACGCCATTGAGACTTCTCGGGTTTTCCGCCTTGGTCCTTTGCTTCCGCCGGATTCCCATTATGCTTGCAACATACAAGATCAATCCCGACATTCGCACCTTCCGCGAAGCACTCTTCTGCGGACACTTTGGACCTATGGGTTTGGGCGCAATCTTCCTGGCTATCGAAGCTCGTGCGACTCTCGAGACCGGCACCAGCGAGCCATTGCCTCATCCGCCAAAGTTCTCACCACCTTACTCCGATCGCGAAAAAGGAGTCGAGATACTGTGGCCTGTGGTATGCTTCGTCGTAATTTGCAGTACCTTTGTTCACGGACTGAGTGTTCTCGGACTGAGTTTGGCAAGTCACTTCCGTAGAAAGGAAGGCGAGAGAGCACCCTTGCTGGCTCAAGAGACTGATCCTCTGGACGGTATGGAACATGAACGTCCTGAAGATCTGGACACAGACCATGAAGAGGACTAGAGCTCCTACATCACTCTTTCGCAATTCCTGGCAGAAGAAGGCGTAGCTAGCTATGGACCGAGCGCGAACAATGTGGAACATTGCGGATCCGTCTGTACTCCATCAAAGATCTCGCCCCCCGTGGAAGAAGACGGTATTGAACTCGAAACATTAAACAGAAACGTCAGTGAACAAACCCTGGTCGAGAACCCGGCCACAAATGCAGAAAATATCAGAGAAAATAGAAGAGGCACTGGTGAAAGTGCAGAAAACACAATGAGCAACACCGAAAACAACAACAATGCTGCTGAAAACGCTGATGCCCAAGGAGAGGCCACTGGTGGGAATGCCGGAACCATGAACACTACTAGTTATAGAGGCTTTGATGGAGAAGGCTTGAGACGATATGCAAGCCTCCAACGCAGTCTTCACAATGAACAAAACCAGGACCAGGATCCCGAAAATGATCAGGGGTGCGGACCAGTCTGCTGTTATGGATTGATCAAGAGATTCTGCCTCTGGCTCAAAGGACCCGGTCCAGAAGACAACAATACTTTCCCCCCTGGAGCGTGCGAATGTATCAAATGCGGTCAATTATTCAAATGTTTGTGTCAATGTTTCCCAAAGGGAAACCGAGATCCCAAACCTAGGGTAGTTGATGCACCACCAGGTGAGATAAGCGCAGTACGGCCACCGGAGCAGGAACTAGCAAGGAGGTCACCACACAACGCACCATCACCACAAACAACAACAACAACGACGGTTACTGCTCAGTGAGGCAGAGGACATGAGTTCATACAGATAGGACATGTAATAGATGGAAAGGGACAAGAGGATACATTCGTAATAATGAAATACCCTCTTTTTATTGAGAATGAAGAGTGTGCCGAGTATTGCTTATGTGTACATGAACTTTCAAGACCAAGCCAGAAGTTTTGCTTGTGGCCAACACACCAATCAGCCCCGAATCGTATCTCTCTGAACAAAAATCGTGCGAGAGGATGCCACTTTGGGAAACAATTCAACTCTTGACGGTAGGCAACAAAGTCCACCACCACCACTTCTGATCCAGAAACCCTGAACCTGACTCTGAATCAATCTCTTTTCCTATTCCCCGAAATGACACGATCGGTAAGACTGAGAGAGAGAAACAGCATCAACTCTACTCCAACCATCTAGACACGGTAACCCAACTGTGACGCACAGAAGGTCTTCTTCTTACACCTTCTTCTGCTTCATCCGCCTCTTGCTCTCCCTGCTCATTGTGTTCATTGATTGCCTCGACCAAAGTTCCGATGATGGTGGGAGGCTGGTTTTCTTGATCGTTGTCTGGTTCTTCGTCGCTGTCGATCACGCTGCGTCTTTGCTCGTTGAGCTCAGGAAAAGTGGTATGCGATGTGGGTGCAGGACGCTGGCGCAAGGAAGCGAAAGGCTGAGTAGAGGTAGAAGTGGAAGTGGTGTTTATAGTGTTGTGAGAACTTGAGCGGCGACGATGGAATAAACCACAGCAGAGAGATCTCAGAACACCACTTCCTCTATGACGAGGTTGGGATGAAGCAGAAGGTGCAGGGGAAGTAGCAGCACCATCACCATCAACAAACAGTCTTCTCTGTACAGGCAAAGGCGAAGGCGTGTCCTCTCTCACTTGCACGATACTCTCTTCTTCACTACCGCTCTCGAAGTCCATGTGATCGTCATAACCGGGGGCGACGATGAATGGCTGCACCATGGCTGTAGATCCGATATTGGCAATCACGACGCCGCAAGAAGGACGAAAGTGCGGGAGAACAATGGTCCAGGGATCAGGCATAGGAGACGGAGTGGTTGGGAAGTGAATTGGTGAGGAGGGGGGTGGGGGTGGAGGCTCGAAGGGTAGGTGGTGAGTCGGTGGGTTCTGGCGGAGAGGGTGACGGATCTGTAAGATGGTGAGTGAAGGTAGAGGAAGAGAGGGAGAGGGGAAACGTACCCAGCGTTCACTTGGTTCGCGAGCTACAGGAGAGGGCGAGCGTGTGCGTTCTGCTTCGGGCTCAGGTGTGCGGTTGTGCTCTTCGTCCAGGGCCACATTTGAGGGCGGTAGGGCTGGCAGGTTGGAGGTTGAAAGTGGCAGAGGAGGCAAGTTTGAGAGGGAAGGGAGCGAGGCTGATGCTGTAGTGACAGACGATGCAGATGATTCGAGAGTAGGAGAGACCAGTGGTGCCAGATATGACGCATCCATATCATCGTCTTGTACTGCTTCACCATGTGCAGAACCCCTTGTCGATCCAGTGGTACCATTGGCTGTGACGAAAGCGCTCCAATCAGCGATACCACCAAGACTGACACCATATCTTCTGGTATCGTGTCTGTGATTTTCTCTGCCACCAACGAGACGTCCAAAGTCCACACTCTGAGTGTTTCTGACATCGCGTTGGACATGGTCAACATCATAGCCCGTGTCACCAATAGGTCCATATCTCTGTCCCCAAAGATCGCTGAAACTGCTTCTGGGAATCTCAACATCAAGACGAGGTCGACTGGGGTGATTGTAGATGTACGGTCCATTGTTGGGAACTTCAATCTCTCCTTGATCGACGATGGGTCTTGAGATTTTGGGTTTGTTGTCCTGATCAAAGGTCGGTGTTGGAGTGTGACGGCCACGATGAGAGATGCCGAAGAGATCGCTGAGACGGCGATGATTGCGGCTGCGGGCACGCGTGGTGATGTTTGGATGCAGACGTGGACTGGGAGCTAGGTGTGGAGATTCTGGGTCTGCAACGAAGGCGGCTGGCTCAGGGGTCGCGGTGCGATAGCCAGAGTCAGGGTCGGAACTTCTAGTCTGGTGAGACATTTCCTCATAGGTCTGGAGGTTGCGCCGGAAGTCTGCTATGCGGCAGTCTGTATTGTCGACATTCTCCATGTCCATTGTCAGGCGGTATGACTCCCGTGGTGGAGACATGGCTGCCCGGCCAAGAAGAAAGAGTGTTGCTACAAGGTGTTGTTGTAAAGCGCTGTCTCTGTTGATCCAATGGATTATGAATGTCAGTTACTGCAGAGACAATCCCTGAAAGCAGAGACACGCAGGACTGATGCTGGCGCCGAGATTGTATACAGCAAAAGAGAGTGCACGGTTAGGAATCGCCGAGTAGTGACGGCGACTGGCTCGATTAAGATGGACGCCGTGCGCCAGTGAACCGATATACAAAGTCCGCCACGAAGACTAGAGGTCCCATGACAACAGCGGCAGAGAACGACGAATAGGACATAGGGAAATTGATAAGTTTGTGGGTGTACATTTTCATATTTTTGATTGGAAGGTAAAAGAAGCAGCGGGCCATGGAGAAAGACCAGATACGAGGAAGCAAGGAGGTATAGCTTGACCAAAGAGAAAGAGATATGGACGCGGCACAACTTATGGTTTCTGTATCGAGAAAGGAGTATGGTAGACGTCGTTGGCATTCGGATCACCGTGGTTGCTCTGAGTCTCTGCTCAGGCAGGTTTTCTCTCTGCGTTTGAAAATGGATGCGCTCCAGTGGCAGCCATGAGGCATGACGTAGCGCATTCTTTCGAAAAGGGAAGATGTGTCGTCTGCGAACGAGCTTGGCTGGTGTGCAGGGTGCCATGCCGTGTGCGGCGGTTGACGTCTGTTCGTGAGCGCCGGTGTGACGGAACGCAATACACGAAGGTGGCACAGGCGGGAGGTGGTTGTGAGAACTAGAGTCATGCCGGCCGTGTTCATCTTGCACCAGCTCTTTTCTTGTCCAGGATCTCAAGCCGGAGCTTCTCGGCAGCAACCTCAACCTCGATCATCTGGCCCACGCCAATCTTCCACTGTTGCTCCAGAGCTTCCAACTCGCCCTTGCGAGCGTTCTGGCCGTCTCTTCTTGCCTTGTCAATGTCCTCCAGCTCGATCTTCCTTTGCGAGACTTCGCGCTCGGCGGCGCGTAGAATTGCTTCGAGTTGGTCGTTGGATATCAACCAGGCGTTCTTGCCGTACGTTTCCAGTAGTGACAGGTTGACTTGACGCGATTCTAGGTATTCAGACGAAGCGTAGGCTTGTTGGAGGGTTGCGCGCCATTGTTCCGTGTCGTTTGTCGGAGGGGCATCCTGGGCTTCGTATCGTGACAGGTCGATTCCAGCCTCTTTCTCTGCTCCTGAAGCTAGACGGTCGTGCTCGGCCTTCACAAGGTCGCTGAATTTGATGGGTGTACGCTCGGGTATCGAGGGGTGAAGTGTCGTCTTGTGGTCTTGAGGCAGTTCGGCTTGGATGGCAGCGCGTGCTGAACTGAGCTCCTGCTCTGACGGCGCTGCGTCGATATCTGTCGTGTTGGTCAGCGCATGTGATTTATCATACGGAGGAGCATACTCACAAGGTAAGTAATCTTGTGAGCTCTGAATCAAAGGCATTTTGGTTGATGTGTGGTGTTGGAAATTTACTTGATCAAGCCTCAGATTGACGTTCGTAACCACGCCAAGGATCAACTTCCTCCATGTCGAAAGGAAGGAGCTTTCCAAGATGCTTTCACCACAGCGCCTGCCATTTTTGCAGACATAATCTCAGCTTTGAGAGGGAAAAAAGGCCTCGAGACGTCCTTAGAATAATGTCTACTCATGGATGTCTCTCGAATCTGGAACATTTGTATATCCCTACAGATACCATGCGTCTATTTTTTATCAATGGTGAGGATGGTTTCGCTGAACCAAATTACTCCAGCGTTTCCAGTCAGGTCCTGTTTCCCAAGCCAGTCTCCTTCTGGCATCTTCGTCTTCTGCGAGACCCCATCGATCTGGTCTCATGATTCGTGTACGCACGAAGCGGTATGCTCATCGTCATTTCTTGATCCTTTGCCAAGCTCCATCCAGCCTGACGATCCACAAACCTCTTGGTCTTGGTGAGGCAGTATTTTATACCGGCACATTTGCTGACGTGACCCATCCTTCCATACTTCTATCAATATCACGTACTATTACTCTATGTTTCAAGCTCAATCGGCTCAACCTTGACATACCACACCTCGCTTTCCACGACTTCATCATGGCTCCTATCAAGTCCTTCGAAATGGTTACCACAAACCTCAAGCGTACAAAAGCCGAACTCAGAGATGTCAACAGCGGCACATCAGCTTACGAAGTCGACCTCTCCTTCACAACTACAGACATGCGCTCTGCAAAACCCGGTCGTCATGGCATAGTTCTCCAAACTCCTTCTTCATCAACCAACAGCAACCAGCAGGTCCTGGGCACCTGCGACTTCTCCTTTAGCTCCACGACCACGCCCATCCATCTCGGTTTCGGCGACCCTGTGTCTTCTCCAGAAAGCGTCACCTGGGAAGACATGCACATCCGCGAAATAGTCAAACAATCAGGATTCGAACTCAGCATCGATCTCGGTGGTGACATCGGACGTAAGGTTTTCCAATGGAAGCGCACGGCTGAAGTCGAAAGTAAATCGGCATTGAGCCAGAAGATGGATTGGCTGCATTTGAAGATGGTCGAGGTGGAGAGTGGTGCAGTAGTTGCGAGGTTTGTACACAACTTTATGTTTGGAAGCAAGAGGGGCACTTTTGAGTTTGAGCAGTTCGAGGGCGGTGGTGACTGGGACAGAGTTGCTGTCTTGAGTGGTTTGGCAGTGCTGGAGTATATGAGGAAGAGCCAGGGGTGGTCGTGGTGAGTCCGTGACTTGGATACGAATGTATGCCGAAGGCTTGTATGTGTCAGGCTCTTATCACTCTGCCCTATTGTTTCTGCACGAAAAGTATGTGGTATGTTTTGTTGGTGGATGATATTACTAGGAGGTGAGATTGACACCCAAGTCGTCCAATTGTCAAGTCATACTTTTCCAAACAAGGATATTCACCCTTACAACACAACAAGGCAGCGTGGATACCAAAAGGATGGCTAAGGGTATTGCCGATGTGTCTAAGAGCTACCCTGACGAACATCTTGATCATAGTGACTGTCGCTGCCGGGATATATCGTCGCCATGTCAGCAGACAGGGTCACACTCCAAGCATCTCCCTCTCGCCTACACGTCTAAAAGGCCTCACTTGCTCAACGCATTCACTCTTCCCAGTCAAACACAGCAAACACCTTACATAAGCAATCCTTCCCACCTCACCACTATAAAAAAAGCCCTTGCCTCGCCCTCCTCTTTCCTCCTACAAGTCTCTTGCCTTTTGGCTTAGATCAAGTGTAGTATCTGTTCTTCATAGTTTAATCGCTGTGACCGGTCTACGGACCGTCAAAATGATTATTCTTATTTTTGGAACGAGCTGGCAGACCTCTGGGCTTGCTCATCGTCTGCCGGCACAGTGTCGCTCGTATTGCACTACCTCGAGCTGACGCGAAGTCACCCTTTTTCATCTTTTCATTGATTGTTCTGGCTCAAAGGGCTGGGGATTGAAGAAGAGTTTTTCGCTTGTTAGTTATTATAAAAGTGTAGTTTTGATTGCTGCTGGAAGATGTGATGGTTGTTTTCAGTATTGGTGAAGAGACTTTTTGTGGATTGACGTGTCGCGACGCTTCACGGCGCGTGTGTTGTGTTGGTCTGGTCTAACTACTCGTGTTCAAGCATGCACAAGAGGGCATACGTCTCTATTGGCTACATCATTCAATTAAAGATCATTGTTCACTACTTGCCGCCGTGAGGCTGTGGCTACTCCAAGGATACGCTCAATACACCGAAAGAAGAACTCAAAGGCAAACACGCTGCGCTCAAGACAACATCAAGATGCCCGCCTTCCAACCAAAATCGAAGGGATCTTCTCGTCATATTCGTAAACTCGTCAAATCATGTCATTCGTGCTTTTCGAGTCCTCCTTCACTCCTTCCAACGCGTTGAAGTAAAACACCTTGGCTCCTCTCATACATACGTCCCTTGATTATGACTTCCTAGACGATGGCGCACGACTCAAATGCCTATGCTCTCGATGCTCGCGATGCTCCCGATACTCACGACCCTGCTCTTGCCCCTCAGCACCACCACGAGCAGCATGCCTCGTGCTCCCCGACGACCTTGTAGGCGCACGAGACGTCTGGCTCGCACTCTTCAAGTACCTGCGCTCGCCTCCGGCAATCGTGCCAATCGTGACCTCCACCATACCGGGATCGTTGATCGAGCGAAAAGACACTTCGCGATCGCCCATGTCGCCGCTGAGCTGGATCTTGGTGTCCTCGGCTGCGGCGATGGGCATGATGAGTTTGACACTGCCTTCTGCGCCGCGGTGACGTGATGAGGTTTCGCTCATGCTGTGTTGGCTGCGGCGGTGGCTGTGGTTGCTTCGTGTGCTGCGGGGTCCGCTGGGGAGTTGGCGGAGTGTTTCTGCTGTTATTCTTTCTTCGGGGTGACCTCGTGCTTGATCCATGTAGTCGATGGCGGCATGTTCCTGGTTCGGATAGCCACTGCGGCGGCCGTGATGGTCGTACTGGACGTAGGTTGGGTGTGGAGGGTCAGAGGCTGAGGTGTGTTGGGTCCAAGTGGTTGCGCTGGAGCCTCGTCTACCGCCTGGATAGGATCCCTGGTCCTCGTACTCTGGATACTCGGCGTGCGAGTATTGATCCCAAGTGGCTTCAGGTGGGTACGCGCGCCGGTAACCATACGCTGACTCTGCTGGGTAGTCCGATCTTGACCTCGAATGGCCACTCCGGTGGATTTGCTGCACCGCCGATGTGGTGGCACGTTGAAAAGGAGGAGGCCGCCTTGGTTGTTCATAGTATTCAGGACTATCCGGTGGCGACTCGGAAGAGTAGGTATCCGAATCAAAGCCTCCTGGCACACGTTGTGGCTTGATGGGTAAGTTTCGAGCCGAGAAATGCTCATCATCATCGGGAGAGAAAGGAGCAGAGAAGGTATCGTATGTCGAGATCTTTGATGAAAACTTTGGCAATGAGCTCGAAGCCTTGGTTCTTTCGGGATGATGTATTGCAGGTCTGGTTGGTACTTTTACGGGTGACTGCGGTCCTCCTAATCCAGGCAGAGATGGCGGCATGGATACACCAGAGGGCGCATACATACTAGAGTGAGGTGGAGGCGGCATACCGGAGCGAGGAGGAGGGACCCCGGAGTACATCGGCTGTGACCTCGGGTCAAAGATTGGTACCATGTGTGGAGGATGTCCTCCTGGGAAATTGGTACCAGGTGGGATCATGGGCCTCATTCCAGGTGGTGGCATATGTCCTGGTGGTATGATACCAGGTGGCGGACCATGACGAACAACTAAAGGTGGACCATGAGAAGGTCTTGCGGGTAACGTGTGGGCACGATGATCATGTTGGAGAGGATTAGGTCCTGGCCTTGAACCATGTCGGGGTGCATTCGTGCAATCTAGGCAACGACAAGGAGGCCCATTGNNAGAGGGTNNGTTTCTCACGAGGATGTCTCTCCGGACTCCGTGGTCTTCCCTCTTTCGGGACCTTCCTGGGGCTGGGNNTGGAGGAGGAGCTTGACTGGATCGCCTTGGTCTGTGAGANCTTTTTGCTCCTGGCTCTGAGCTCACCTCATCCTTTGCTCCTGCTTGGGTTGCAGGCTCCTCGGTCTGTCGCGAAGGAGCATCCTTGACTTTGGGAGGAAGAGGAGGCTCTGGCTGTCCAGTATCACTAGCTGATCGTACTTTGCTAGGAGAACTTCGTCTCGTGTTCGAAGTCTTGCGGCTCCTCTTGGACGCGGAGTTGGAAGCCGGTTTAGAAGCGCTGGAGTCACCTTTCTCATCGTCCGAGTCTGCACAGTCCTCAACAGTGGCCGCTTGTGGATGCTTGCCAGCAGGATTTGTGTCCGCCATGGTACGGTGTAGTCTGATAGGGTTGCTCAATGACTCACGTCAGTACTCGGTAGGGGAGGCGGTGGGCCGATCGAGTGCTAGGTATTCCGCAAAATGCGGTCAGGCATCAAACGCGGGGGTGAACAAGTGCAATAATATAGAAGGGTTGTTTTATCGCGAGATGCGATAGGTGATGTTTCTCGGTATGGTCGCAAGGCTTGGAGAAAAGTCAGACATTGCTGCAGAGCAGAGACATGCAGAGGAAAGAGGGAGTGTCATTGTCCTGGAAACAGAAGAGAGAAAAAGGAGATGACTGTCAAGAAACCAGGCAAACGCACAGCGAACTTCCGCCCAAACTGCTGGCGAATGGCGTTTGCACATGCAGATTCGGCTAATACGACCGGTCAGCGAATGGATACCACCGCCTGTTCTTGGGCACTGCAGTGTAGAGGTAATCTCTCGTGGGCAGATCGGGGGACAGTTTGCGGCCTGAAATATACGAAGTGTTCTTGTGATCTGGAAGCTGGGTCCGTAGGGCTGCAACGATAGACGATATAGAAAGGAAAATAGATAATGGGCATCAACAACCGGGTCATTGCGGGATTATATATCACCTTGCCAGCCGCGTGAGGAATGTGGTCTTAAGTACCTGTGGCCACAGTAGCAGTGGATCGACAACTTTCAACACCTCTCGTCTACTTCCTACGACGATTCCTTGGATGTGAGAAGGAACGACGACACAGCTTGTTCTGGCGGCACATCAAAGGGTGTGCGATGCGGGGCTCGCATTGGCCAATTCAGCGGGAACCCACCTTTCCCACCACATGTTCTGTCCTTCTCTGTCCCATCAATCCGGTTTGCGACAAGAGCGAGATAGGACGAACTGGATGGAAGGATGAATTCCTTCCCTTGTGCCAACGACTGTGAAATGCATGATACGAGAAGAAAACGGTATCCATGGAGGAATTGATCCTAGCCTGTCTCCATGACCACACTTCTGTTTGAGAAGCGGTTGTGCATTTCGAAAGCTTGCTTACAATGTCATTAGACCTCGCGATAGGTTACAGGACTGTATCGTAAACGTCTTCAGCATACTAGGAGTTCAGGTTGACTTTGATGTTTTTTGTCTGTCAGAAAAGCACACCCCACAAGTCGTCCACTTTCAGCAATGATGCGCGCACCCTGCCTGACGACATGCAAGCTCAAAGTGCTTGGGGCCGATACACTTGTTCTCCGAACCTAGCATCCCGGACATCATTGTAATGTTGTCGGACTTCGTCGTCAGCATGGACGACGTATATGTTGAGGCTCGAAGGCCTGTTTGTGTTTTGACCCTCGTTCGCTCGACGTGCTCAAGCAACTTGCTTTTTGACACAATCACCACCTTGACACCCGTACAAACGCTGCCAGTATATATCACCAATCAACTTACAACACTTGATACGATACGATAAGAGATATTGTGCACAATGCCTCATCTGGAGGAAAAGATTCGCATCGCGATTGCCGGCGGAGGCATCGGAGGCCTTTGTCTCGCAGTCGGTCTCATGGACTATCCCAACCTCGACGTACACATCTACGAAGGCGTACCAGAGTATACCGACATTGGTGCCGGACTCGCGCTGCACAAGAATGCCATCACCGCCATGGACCTCATTCATCCCGCGATCAAAAAGACGTACTTTGCCAAAGCCCTTACCATGGCTGGGGAAGAAGACGAGGAGATGGTCACTCAAGTTGTTCTTGTCAGTGGACCCAACACCGGAGAGCTGGTCGCAGAGCTGGGTAAAGCANAAGGTCGCAGGACCGTAGCAAGATCGGATCTGCTTGACGGGTTACTGGCCTTGTTGCCCAAAGACCGTGTTACTTTTGGCAAGAAGCTCGACAGCATCCAAGAAGATGGTCACAAGGTAACACTCACATTCAAGGATGGTACGACAGCGGAGGCCGACTGTCTGCTTGGTGCAGATGGTGTGCATAGTGGTACTCGAAAATATATCCTTGGACCGGATCACCCAGCCGTACCGCCGAAGAACCCCGATGGCTGGAGGGTGCACTCACGTCAAGTGCCCATGGAGCTTGCAATGAAGACGATCGACTCGAAATGGAGGCGAACCGTGCCAATTCTCTGTGGCAAGGAAGGTCACGTCAATATGATGCCTCTTCACAAAGGAGAAAAGTTGAGCATCATTTGTGTGACACGTACTGGTATTGCAAGCGATGGCAGTCTTGCACCCTTCGAGAAGGAGCGTTTTGCAGATTACCGCGAAGACGCCAAAGCCGCCGTCGAGGTAAGTCAACAACGGCAGTAATCACAGCAGAAGATCACTGTACTGATCAGATTCGCAACAGNNCTTGTCGCAGAAGACCCCGCCATAACTTGGGAACTCCAACAACATGAACCGGCACCCTATTACAACCAACGCAACATTGCTGTGATGGGAGATGCAGCCCACGCATGTATGCCTTTTGTCGGACAGGGTGCAGCTCAAGCCATCGAAGATGCTGCTGTGCTCACCGCGCTTTTCAAGCGTGTAGAGTCAGCATCGCAGATAGAGAAGGCACTGAAAGCCTACGATCAGGTTCGTAGACCCCGTGCACAAGCCGTTGTCACCATGGGCTGCGACTTTGGCCGCCTGTATGATTTCGCACTACCGGGTGTTGGGGACGATCCGGTCAAGATGAAGCAGTTTATGGGCAAAGCAGCGGCTTTCACCAACAACGCCGACCTAGGAAAGCAGAACCAAGACGCTTTGGACGCGTTCGAGGCTTTGATGTAGATGTTGTGTATACGTCTAGTCTAGCTTGACATGCACGACATCAACGATCGACCGGCAAAGGCAAAAACTGTCGACGCTTGGTCGGTGTGTTGGCCATTGCGGTGATGTTGAGACACCGGTACTTCAACAGGTGTATCGATGGTTGTGTATCATGATCTCTGTCACTTCGTACCATGTCCATGATGATGTCCTATCACATCTGCAAGTCAATCTTTGTAATAAGAAAGCACAGCCAATCATTTAAGCCTGTGAGCTCTTTCGCTAGAGATTGGTACTTGTGTCTTCTTGAGCGGTTACACTGCTTCGGCCGATGACAGCTTGGCCATGTCACTCGAGTAGTGCAGGACTCGAGAATGAAAATGCCACCACCTTATCTATACCTGTCGATCTTCGTTGTACCTCCATCTCATCCCGCATTCCTGATCTGGAGCAGAGAGACGACTAACGGTATACCCAAGCGAAGGCCTTACATCGGCAACATGTTCAACCACCTTTATTCCCGTGACGCAAAGTGTCTACTCTATCCCTATCATTGAGAATAGAACCATATCATTGCGCCATCGACGCTCTGTCTATAGCGGATAACGCAACAACACGCAATGGCATGATAATCATGATTGGTCTGTGTGTCTTTCTTTTGCTAACCCTACACACCACGGAGTCTTTTCACCGCTCTTTGCTGTACCCCGCTCCCTTAAACAGCCACCAGTCGCGCAACCGTTCTCGCTGCTATAACGGTGATTCTCGTCCGTTCTTGCCTCAAAGCAAAAGTGGGATTAAGGGATAGTTTCGGCGATATGCTTTTCTTGGCAAGTGCAGTAGGTAAAGGAAAGGGGGTTGTTTCTTGTTGGCACAAGCATAATGTCTTTGGGGAAAACCTTTACTCCTTTTCTCGAGGAGCTCAAGGATGATCGCTTTCATACATATGCCCTCCCAAACACACGACGGAAGGAGAAACTTTCCAGGTATGTTTCAAAACACGACAGCCGTTGCAAAGGAAGCAGACTCCTGAGACATCTGGTGTGGGGGAGCAGGTGCGGGGTAGCCAAGAAGTAAACAAAACAGATTGCCCAATCCAGACATCAGTCTAATATGGATAGTCATGGCTACCATCCAGCCAGAAGACAAAGCCCTAATTACATACATTACCGCATACCCTTCTGCCTACCAAGCTTCGAAGAGTTTTTTTATAGATGAGAAAGGAAAAACAGGATCAAGGCGCTCCAGCCGCCGCGTTTTCCAGAAAAGAAAACGCTTTGTTGTGGGTAAGACGGGAGAAGCGGACAAGAGGGAGGCCTAATCCAGAAACCAAGAAACCATGACATGAGAGCAGCAATCCGACTGAGCGAAACTCTGGTAGGTTTGACAGCGATATGCAGGGTTTGGGGCCTGAAACTGTTACCGGTACTTTTGACTCTTACCTTATAGCTCCTGAATCATTTCTGACATTCGAAGGGAGGGTGCTGTAGAGAGGGGTAGAACGCTGATTGGATATCATGATATACCTCATGGGGAGGGGCAACGAGACAGTGCGATATTATGATATCCCTCAGAAGGAGCGACTGAGGTACATGCCACGCGCGATCAAAGTGACTCGCCGATCATCACATGCAAAACCAATACATCACAAAGAGACGAAAACCACGTCAGAAGAGAGAGGCAAATAAAAGTTGTGAGTGAAATGTAGAGCGTGAGCTCAAGCAGTGTATTTTGTCTGTGAACTGTGCCTTGCTCTTCGCATAATGCCTCAAAACACCGTCGAAAGCAAAACTCCCATGTGTAATATCTGTCGGTAAGCAAAAGAAAGAAACAAGACAAAGCCATTCGCATGCATAAAAATTCAACCAATATCCGTACTCGCCATAAATCATAAAACCAAAATGCAAAGAAGAACAAGAAGCTTGGGTATAGATCAAAAAGCGAGAGTTGCAAGGAAAAAGACGCAGAACCTTAAAAGCGAGTGGAAAACAATGAAAAAAGAAACCAGACCGAGAACTCCGAGATGCTGTATGTAGTCCGAGGAAAAGAGGACAGAGCGATAAAAAGCGTAGAGGTCATGACGAGAGAAAAGAGAGCATCACCCGGGAAATGTCGTTTTTCGAGTCTTTTCGTCATAACGTTGCCATCCATCGTGATAAGGAAAAAAGGCGTGATCAGAGCAAGAGGAAAGGAATAAGAAGCATCATCGACTAGATCTTCTTCCCCTCATCTCATTGCGCAATTGCTCCAAGATTTCATCGTGCTCACTCACAGTCCAAAGATGAGGACTGGGTGCCACAAAGGAATGAGGTCTTCCACTCAAGGTCCTGAATCTCTTGAATCTAGGTCGTTGAAGTTTCGGACGGTGGGTCCGTGGTGAGGGTGCGGTGACAGGTCTGTCCATCTCGTCGAGGTGGAAGTTGTTCTTGCGGCGCAAGACACGGCTGCGTCGACGATCTGCTTCCCAGCCATCTGCCTCCTCATCTTCTTCGTGGATGATGTCTTTGAGTGTTGTCAGGGAAGGTAGGCGAGTAGGCGGTGATGAGGATGGCGAGCCAAAGCCTTCGAGATCATCGATGATGAGTTCGGGCAGTTGGTCTTCCGACGGCGGTGTCTCGGCGGTGCCTGTTGTGACTTTTGCGGTGGGGGCGAGNCGGCGTGACGACAAGAAGTTCCCCCATTTCTCTTCCAACCTGACACGGAAATTTGTTCGCTTGTGCTCCACTTCTTCGTCGAAGGGGGTGTCGATGCCAGCGTTGTAGTCGAGGCCGTCAAAGGGGTCGTCTTCGTCGAGTACGGGTGATAGGAAGTGTGAGAAGGGGTCTTCGTCTATGTCGTCCACTGGGGGCGGCGACGGGCTCTTGCTATTGCTTTTCGACATGTTGGTTGTGATGGTATGGATATTGGGCCATGTTGTACGGCGAGATTGCTTTTGTGCTGCTGCAGAGGTGGACATCAAAAAGGTAGAGTGTAGGCAGCAACCAGGCAGCGTTAATGTGAGGCGGTGTTGTGTTTAGGGTGTCGTAGACGTTGTAGGTGTGCAGTAGTGTAGGCAGCAGGAGGGGTGGGAGGATGGGTGGGCTGTGCTGTGACTGAAATGACAGACTTGTGCAACAGGAAAGAGTCACCAAGAGAGAAAAGCAGAAAACCTAGAAGATCAGGACTCCCAACAACGACGTAGCGTATGACAGAGAAGACGCAAAGACTCGAGGATCTCTGCGGGACGGGAGGTAATATAAAATGGGATATACGAGCAGAGATGTGGATGAGGAGCCAGAGCGTGGGAGGAGGGGCAACCGCAAGGATCGGATAGCATATATGAATGATTACCAGCTATCAAGTGAAACGGTCATCTAGGAAGTGGCCTGGAAATAGGCACAACGGCTCTCCCTCTCACCGCTCACGCGAACAAGTAGATCAACCAAGGACCGCTTGTTAGACCAAGCGTCTAGCCGGCACATGATGGCGCCCGGACGTTGGGAATAATGGTCGCGATATGGGGACACGGCCCTTCTGCCTCTTGGATGCGTCAAAGGTGCCAAAGGGTCAGATCATCAGATGTGGGCGGCGGTGGTGGATTGAGGGGAGGGAGTCATGCCGTACGCGACAACGCGCCGTCTGACTCTTGGCTCCTCGTGTATCTGCGCCGCGGCAAGCTTGATTCGTGATGATCATGATAGCGAAGCTGCGAAGCCAAAGAGATTAAATTGCATGCATGAATTGCGAAGCTGCAAAGTACCAAAGTACATCGCAACAGAGCAGGGCAAGAAGCATGAATTGACGACGGGAAAGGAAATTGTAGAAGAGCATCGCGGAGAGGAAAGAAGGACCGGAAACAGTAAAACAAGAGTCAGTCTAGCCAGGCTTCTCGATGTAAATTAGAAGAGAGTCCAGTACGCCTTGAAATCTCCCATCTTGCCTCTAGGACCGGATCGCAACGCAACAGCACGGAAACAAGAAAAGTAAAACGATCTCATCACTAGAGCAGCAACATGACAGAGCCAAGAAGCCCTTTTTCGTAAACGAATGATTCGCAAAAATGATGTACACCGGTGCCTGCGCAGCGGCCTACACACCATCTTTCCGCTATCGCTGGCTGGGACACAAGTCATGCGGATGTCGTGCACGCTCGAAAGGAAAGAAAATGACCAAGGAACGCGATAGGATGCGTGTGTGTGCATGAAGCACCTTAATTCGCACGAACGCTGCGAATGCATCTGGCCTTTTGCTCTCCTGCACTGCACCTCGTCTATCTTCAACTCCCTGATTCGTACACCCGCATGACGATGCCACTTGTTCAGGCGCCTCTTTTTGACTGCTCGCGATCTACACGCCTTTTACGCAAGCCATTGCGACTGGTCTTATCAAGGATGGCGAAGCATAACAGATTGGCTTGCCGCAACAGCAATGATTTACTTTGCAGCGGTGTAGAGACAAGGCTTGCATGACGCTTGGCTGGCTGTGCCGGTGATTGCGATTCGTGATTTCGTGATTTTGCGGAGAGCAAGAAGAGGAGAAGGTGGAACATCTCTTTGCAGATCACCATCGTGATGCATGCAGGGTCTCGGTGCTGTTTCTTCCTCCCTTTTAACCGTTGACTTGTTTCATACCGTGTTCTGTCGCTCGAAGGCAAGGCTCTCTTGACTGTTGTTTTGTTGTCTGCCGGCGCATACGGCAACATCGTTAGACGTTTCTGACGAGTGTGATTTGCATTTTTCTTGGTTTCTTTGGTACGCATGACTTCAATGGCAGCAGGCGGTTGCTATCGAGTTCTCTTATCTTATCAAGACGCTGTCACCGGTATATATACTCGTGACTTTCTGGACTGCGATCTAGCATGACATTGCGCCAGCCCTTGTTTCCGGTCTGCTACGCCACTACGTCAAGTCTTGTTACGGCCGGGAAAGACGGGAAGAAGGGAGAGGTAGGCTATTCAGGTAAATTGCACGATAGGGCAGGGCACAGTGAGATAGTACTTTCGATGTCAGGTATGTTTGAAGATCTTTGTTACAAGTTGTCCTGTCTTTCCCTCTTCCGTCTAAGCTGTTTCTAGCCTTCTAGGACGAAACGCATTCGACTCTTAAGGGCTCGAGTACTTGTACTTGTATTGCTTCTGCGCCTCATCCCTGAGCCTTTCCAACTCGGCATTCTTGTCCGCAAACTCCTTGTCATCCTTGAGCTTTTGCAAGAAGTTGTCATTGGTGTAGGGCGAGGGCCCAGGGATGGCTTGACCCTTTTGGACTGCCGGGCGATCGTTGATCGACTTCCACCACTTCTCGAGGTTGGGGAACTTGCTGAGGTTGACACCGGAGAAGTAGGCTAAGTTGACCCAGCTGTAGTTTGCAATGTCGGCGATCGAGTACTTGTTGCCGACGAGGTAGNNGGAGTTATCCTTGAGCTGGTTGTCCAAAATGCCGAAGAGACGTTCCGTCTCACCTACGTAGCGCNNTATGTGACACAAAAGGCGGTCAGTATGCGAGTCCGAACCTTGATGGATGGAGGACAAGGGACAAAGTCCGGAAAGTCTATGTTTGCGTACCTGGGTGGGGTAGGGGATTCTCTCGGGCGCCAGTCTGAAGAAGTGGTTGGCTTGACCTTGCATAGGACCTAGACCGCCGTGCTGCCAAGCGACCCATTGTTCTTGGTAAGACAGTTGAGGGTCCTCCTTGAAGGAGAACTTGTTCTCCGAGTCTATTTATGCAGGTCAATATACCAGTCCAACCTTATGTCCCATAGATCGGAGAAGCTTACCGTAGTGTCTAGCAAGGTATGCAAGGATGGCTNNGGGAAGAAACAGATCGAGTCAGTTTGACGCGCCCTTTCAGCGATCCTCGTAACCAATGCAAGACTCACCAGCACCCTCTTGGATCGCGAGACCACCCTTGTCATGATCAACAAGAACAGGAATACGACCATTGGGTCCCAACTTTGTGTACCAAGGCTCCTTTTGTGTGTTCTTCATAATGTTGATGCTCTGGTAGATATAGTCCTTGCCATAGGCCTCCTTCAACTCCTCGAGGAAGATTGTAATCTTGTGACCATTGGGAGTGCCGAAAGTCAAGAGCTCAAGACCCTTATTGGCCTTCAGGCCAGTGGGCTCAGGTGCATCGGAAGACATGATGTTGGAGATGGGTTTGGTGATTGCTTCGGGTAGTACACGAACGTATTTGCGTTGGGTTTGTGCAAGGCGAAGAATTGGGCTGCGAAGGAACATTTGGATGAAGGACCTCGCAGGATAAAGTGGTGCAACGAGGTTCGCGACAAGATTGTGTAAGCAGCTGCCCTTCAACGTCATTATTGACAATTTGGGAGAGCTGGGAACCCCGCAATTTATCTCCGGTTGCTCCGTAATCAAGAATGAAGTGTAGAGACCATGAGGATATACCCTTCTGTGTGCAATAGACAGTCATATTGTAATTGTAGAAATGCATAGTATCTTCTACAACAGACTGATGTCCACGGAGAGGATGTCACGTTCAGGTATCTCAATGGTGACACCTCTGTTCAGAAAGACACTGTGCATTTTTATAGCTAACCATAACACAATGATTCAGTATGGGAAGGAGGGAGAGGTCATGGAAGACTGACATAGGTTCTCTCAAGGAGCGCTTTTTTCTCGTGCGGGTATTAAACAGTTCATGAATACATCTCAAAACGCCCTTCGCAATGCTCGTAACGCCATAAAGTTCCCCATGCATCGTGCATCTTGTCCATTTTCTTAAGCAGCAGCAGCGATCGTCTTTGGCAGGCCAGCAAACGCAGATTCGAAAGCCGATTTCTTTCTTCCATGCTCAGCTTCCGTGATGCCGAGCTTACGGACTACCTTGAAAGAGCCAGTTCCGAGAGACATAACTTGTCCCAAAATAATGCATTCCGAGACACCCTCTATGCGATCTCTCTTCATGCCAATTGCAGCATTGAACAAATGATCGGGAGTCTTCTCGAAAGACGCAAGCTGTAGTACAGAATCGCGCATCTTCGCGAGACCGAAACGCGTGATACCTAGGACATCACCCTTGTAGGTCATGACGTCTGCAAGCAATTGCATGTGACGGGGATCGATATCCATGCCTCCCATAACACTACTGATTTCCGCAATGATGGTGCTGCGGGCGGCTTCGATACCGAGGACGTCTTTGGCCTCCATGACGTTGTTGGAGCGTGTTCTGATGCCGTCCACGCCTTCGGTCGTCATGCAAGCTTTCAGGCCATAACCTTCGACCAGCACGGAAACGGGTTCGCGGCCAGTGGCATCAGGCTTATCGTCCTTCTTGACAATGGCACGGGCGCAGTCTGGATAGCCTTTGACGACCACGTTGGGGAGGATACGCTTCAAGTCTTGGATGATGTCGAAGATCTCGAGGGGTTTGCGGGTCTTGTTAAGTGCTGCTTTGCCACGAGGTTCGGGAACGTATTGGACATTGACACGGATGTGTGTTTTACCGACTGGTGCGACTTGTACGCCGAGTGCCTTGACGGCCTTGCTTTTGGCAATGGCGAATGTGATGTCTTGGGTTGTGAGGCGGAGACCAAGCTTCATTACCGTGTCCCAGTTGATACGCATGTTGACGTAGGAGCTGGTGACCGACCAAACGTCNTCGATGTACGCGATGATGTCGCGGAGGTAGGTCTTTTCGATCATGGCCTTTGCCACACGGCCAGCAACTGTTTCGTATTTTGAATCAAGCGTGCACGAGATGACNCTGGAGCAGAATTAGCAGAATTCGATGAGCTTGGACTGGGGGCCACCTGCGGGAGTGCTGATCACTCTAGAAGCATTTATGATTNNCTGGATGGTGCGAAATTAGCAGAATTCCTCAATTCGAATCAAAATCACTTACTCCTTGATACGGGGTACACCCTGAGTAATACTCATACCGGCGACACCAGCAAAATGGAAAGTCTTAAGAGTCATCTGTGTACCAGGCTCACCGATAGACTGGGCACCAGTGGCACCGACAGCGTGACCGGGTTGCACCTTGGAGCGCTCATACTTGGTCAAGCAAAGCATGAGGAACTCTTTGATAGCAGCAGTCGAGATCTTGAGCACACCATCAGCGATGGTCCTATCTTCACAATCGTCTGCCACGGCAGCATCAATGTCGCCAGAATCTACGACGCCAGACTCCATGCCGATCTTTGTACGAATAGCAGCCAGCTTATCGCACTTGATCTGGATGTAATTTTGGACAGTGTCGAGGAAGTCGCGAGCACTCTCCAGCTGGTCAATACCGTGATCACTTCTGTCGTTGTAGCCAAGCTTCTCGCCAGTCAGAGAGATACGCTCAAGCTTCGCTCTCTCGGGGTCAAGGGTGTCGGTCGTAATTTGCATAATCTCGGATGGTCTCAAACCACGGTCGTTGAGGTCCCATGTAGTAGTAACGGCGTGAGTGAAACTGCGATCGAAGTGTACAGGCTTTGCACTGCCCTCCATATCAACAGGATCAAGCTTGTCGTCTCCATATTGGAATTGAACGATACCAGAAGATGAGTTACGGACAGTGTTGTCGTATTGCGCCGACAAATCCTCGAGCGACTTCATCAAACGACGAGACATGTAACCAGTTTCGGCGGTCTTGACAGCGGTATCAACCAGACCTTCACGACCAGACATGGCGTGGAAAATGAACTCGGTAGGGTTCAAGCCTGAGAAGAAACTGTTTCCGACGAAACCTTTGGCGGGTGCATCTCTGCTACCCTTGGCGAAGTGAGGCAGGGTACGGTCTTGGAAACCTTCCAATACACGCTTACCACCAATAATCTGCTGACCTACAGCAGCAACCATCTGGGAGACGTTAATATTCGAACCCTTGGAACCACACTTGGCCATGACCAGGGGAGAGTTGCGACGACTGAGCTCGGCGAAACAAGCGTCACCAGCCTCTTGACGGACTTTTGAGAGGATACCAGAGATCTGGTTCTCCATGGTCATCTCTTCATCGCAACCCGGGTCACGCTCAAGCTCTCCCTTATTGTAGAGGTCAATAAGCTCGTAACATTTTGCCTCTGCTGTTCGGATGAGATCCATCTTCTTCGCCGTCAGTGCATCACTAGGATATACATCGCTGATACCGAGCGAGAACCCTTGGTCAGTGAGCCAGCGTGCGGACAACCTAGCGAGACGGTTCATAGCATGGACGGCATAGTCGGGACCAAAGTCACGCATGATTACGTAGAAGACCGAATCCTTCTTTCCGTCACCGACTGTCGCCTTGTCCATGTAACCGCACATGACTTCTGAATTGCGAATGACCAGGTAAGCATCGTCCTCGTTCATATCTGGCGCCACACCCTTAGGAGGAGCCTTGTATTGCTTGCACTTTGCTTCCAGGTTGACCAGAACGTTTAGTTTCTTGTTTGGTCGCATCAAGACGTTCCAGATTTGCTTGCCGGTCCACAGGCGTTGTGGCTTCCAGACAGTAGGTGGGGGTAGCTCAATAGACAGCTTCTCTCCAGTCTCGGGGTCCTCAATCACATCGTCGTGGAACATGAAACCGATGATTTGACTGAAAGTTTTGCGATCGAAAAAGTTGTCCTTGATGGAAGAAAGGTAGGCTCCTGTGATGAAATCCTGAATGGCGGCAATGATGGGAGTACCGTTCTTTGGTGTAGCCAAGTTGTTCTTAACACCCATCAGGTTGATGGCTTCGGTACGGGCTTCTTCTGTCTGCGGAACGTGCAAGTTCATCTCGTCTCCGTCGAAATCGGCGTTGTAAGGGTTGCAGACACACTCGTTAAGACGGAATGTTCTCCACGGTCTGACCTTGACCTTGTGACTGAGAATACTGAGCTTGTGGAGTGAGGGCTGACGGTTGAAAAGAACAATGTCGCCATCTTCCAAGTGTCGCTCAACAACGTCTCCGATTGCCAGCTCCTTTGCTATGAGGTCCAGCTTTCCGATGCGCTCCACGACTTCCAAGACCTTTCTTTGACCATCCTTCTTGATAACAAAGTTGGCACCGGGATGCTTCTTCTTTCCTCGTAGGACACAAGCGCGGAGCTTCTCAATGTTGTATCTGGTAACACGCTCGGGGTAGGTCATGTTGGTAGCGACTTTGGAGGGAACGGCGACCTCTTCGATACTGAGGTTGGGATCGGGAGAAATGACGGTACGGCCAGAAAAGTCGACACGCTTTCCTGAAAGGTTACCTCTGAAACGACCTTGCTTACCCTTGAGACGCTGACAGAAACCACGAAGAGCTTTGCCATATGCAGAATCGCGACCAAGACCTGGGAGATTACCGTCGATATACATGGCGATCTGTACTTGCAGGAACTCCCACATGTCAACAATCTTCATGACCGGCTGTCCAGACTTGAGACCAGCAGAGAGGAGAGTGTTGATTTGGATGATATCTCCGAGCTTGTTTGTGATGTCGTCTTCTGTGCTTGCGGCTTCTTGAGCGACTGACGGGCGAATGGCGACTGGAGGGGCGGGGAGATATTGCCAGATGAAGGCCTCCGGGCGGCCTCTGCTCGGATCCATACCTAGCAGCTCGACGTCGGTTGTCGAAATTCTCTGGAACAAGTTCAGGGCTCGCAGGGGGTTCATGTCGTCGACGGCGCGTTTGGCGTGCTTTTCGAGATCCGGAACACCCTTCTTGGCCTCATCGAACGATCTCTCAAAGGCAACCATCGAGGCAGGCTTGACCTTTGACTTTGCATTGGACGCGAGATAAGTCTGCCACTTGACGTGGATGAGCTTGATGGGGTGCCCTGCAACCTTCTTGACGGTGCCGTTGATGGAGCCGCAGTAGAAGCATGTCTTTGTCTTTTTGGCCTCGTCGACGATTTTCTTGCAGATGGCCTCTTTGCGCAAAGTGTCCAGCTCTGGTCTACGGATCTGGCGCAAGTACTTTCGGCGGGTGTTTTCATCGAGCAGGATTCGGGAGCAGTCTTTGCAGATGGTGTTGAGGATTTCCATAATCTTCTTGAAGTAGCCCCAGTGGTAGGCGGGAAGGGCGAGGCGGACGTGACCAAAGTGACCATTGCAGTTCTTGAGGTCCTCCTTACACTGCTCACACTGGCCAGTCTTTGAAGAGGTTCCGAGGCGGCCATCGAGGGGACCGTGTGCGGTGAGGGTTCGCTTGCCGCCGGGGCCAGTACCAAGGTCGTAGACGTTGCGATCAGAGACTTCGACGACGGACTGCTTTACCATGTCCTGGTTAGACNNCTGGGAGAGAAGTCAGCAACGCTATATTTCTCCAGGCGCATACAGTAAGACTCACAAGACACCAAACTCGAGTTCCGAGATGCGCTTGGGAGGGCGGTCGATGACCTGCTCCTTGGGAGGAAGCTCGTCATCCTGCTGAACTTGATTCTCCATGGTGGCAGCAGTTGTCGACTACTTCCATGCAGAACGGGCAGGCGCAGGTCTGACTGGCGATGACTTGTTCGCGGAAGTTTGCCGTCTTCTGGATAAAATCACAAGTCCAGCCGCTAAGGATTTGTTGCGGCATGGGTCACAAGAGGCCCGAGCTCCGAGTGTTTGGCGGGGTATATCTCCGTCCTTATGCCCGATGCCTATCTTAGTATTCTTTCGTCGTCGACTCATCCAATAAACTAACTCATCATTACATTTTGTATCCACATCATGCCACTGAATGAGTAACATGGGACTTGAAAGTCGTGTATGATAGGCCGCCGGACGTTGTTGTGCAGTCGGCGAGGGCAAACTCTCGGAAGAGAGGGGTCGAGGCCCGCAAGGCTCCTGCCTGAGATAGCACCCGAGTGGTCACCAATAACAGAGCCGCGAGATGTTCTTGAGCATACACTTGATGCACCTAGCAACTTCTGAAGAGTTCTGATCCTTCTTTTCAGTGCTTGATTGAATGTAAGAACAGAGTCAGAACAAAGTGCATAGGGTGGAAGGCAGCAGTAGGGAGTCGGTGGTGGCATGTGACGGAGGGTTGGGCCTATCAGTCGTGTTGGTCCCCGCTCAAGTGCTTCTTACCTCAAGGCAGAGCGAGCAAGATGCAGCAGCCAACCAACCTTCTTCCACCTTTCACTTACTCGCGCACTCGACCTCAAATAACTCCGACTCCTACCTCTTGATTCTTCTCTCTCACCCGCCGTCCATCATGACGGCCTCCTTCTCCCACACGCAGACACTCAACCGTGTCATCCTGACCCTACAAATCAACACCCCCAAGGGCCTTGTCTCGACCGGCCCTACCTCTCGCACTCTGGTCATCCCAGAACACGACTCTGTCCTGATCGGCCGTGCCTCCACCAGTCTCTCCAAAAACAGAGCGCCCGCTGAAGACAACGCCCTCTTCACATGTGCCGTCATGTCGAGATCGCACGCCTACCTCTCGGCTCCTGACGGTCCGAACGTATGCTCACCTTTCTTTCTGTCCCTCTTTCCTCTTTCTATCCCTCCTTCCTCTTTCTGTCACGCCTCCCTTCCGCCTTCTGTCCATCTTCTCTTCTACAGTCCGGCTGACAAGCACNAGGGTCCCATCATCCTCGAAGACGCCGACTCGATGCACGGTGTCTATGTCAACGGCAAGAAGATCACCCGTACCAAAATCAACCTCAACGACGACATCACTTTTGGAAGCAAGGTCACTCGTGCTGAAGGTGAATTCTTGCCATCCAAACAAGCTTTCAACTTCGACGAGTACCCTCTTCTAACTCCCCTCTCAGCCACACACGATGGCGTCCAACTCAAGGTCGCCAACATCACACGTGAAGGCGCTGCCTACACCAACCCCATCGACCTAGCAGCCAGCAGCAGAACCGTCCCCCACGCATCATACCGTGTCCCTGACTACGACACCGACTCGTCAAAGGAGGACAGCACCAACACTACCTTCGGACAGCCCACTGCCGTCGAGTACATCGATCTCGACCCTGTCTCCTCTCCTGCCTCCTCCCCCAACTTGGTCTACCCCGAAGACGAGTATGATGCAGAAGTATATCACAACGGCTCCTACACCGACTCCGAATTCAACTCCGAGTATGACAGTGACTACGAAGCCAACGACTATCCAGAGAACCCGGATGAGTTTGACGACGATGAACAGAGCCTATCTGGCTCGGACCGTAGCGACTCTCGCTGTTCCTCTCGACATGTAACATGGGAGGAGGAGNGGGATGATGTTATCGACGATGGAGTCAGTGTTGATCTCGACGAACCCCTTGAGTCACTCGAAGAGTTCCAGACTGCTCCCAACCTCGCCAGTAACCACGAAATTGCTCAGCCCAGACCCACCTACCCTCAGATTGAAGAGAAGGAGAAGGTACGTGAAGCTGCTGAGATAATGTCACTCCCTTGGATCCTCGAACCTTGTAACCCATTGGAAACCACCTTCGTTGCCTCACCTTCAAAGGCTGCCATGCCTCGCGAACTTCCTCTCCCACCCATCTGCGAGAATATGAAGAACGTCGTCGAGGCTGGACACACCACTCAAGACAAAGAGAAGTACCTTGAGAGCCAAACCGAAACCCCGAAGAGCCAACCGATTGACGTGGAGCTTGGCAGCATCAAGGATACTAAGACCGTCGAGGACAAGGAAGTTGCTGCCCCGGCACCCACAGTCGATGAACTGTTTGCTAAGGTGGACTCTCCCACTGATAGCGCAAAATCTCCCACCGCAAGCTCGCACACTGGAAGCAAGCGCAAACGTGACATCAAGGACGATGGTCAAGAAGAGGTCGTTGCACCAAGCAGTCTCGCTGATCGTAACATGCTCAAGAAGAGGTGGGACTCTTTCCTCAAGGGACGTGTCCAGGTAGCACCTCGTCCCATCAAGCGTGCAAAGCGCTCAACCGCTAGATTCGCCTTGGGTGCATTTGCTGGCGCTATCGGAGGTGTGGCCACTGTGGTTGGCGTGCTGATGACTCCTGCGTGTGAGCAGTTGCTGTCTAGCTGGCCTTTGGAGTAAAGCAGGGTAGTGTATTGATGGGAAGCGAGGTCGGTTCCCTAGCGTCGACCTACATGAGAGGTCCGCAGTGAATGTCTCCGAGCGTTGAGTTATTCGTCGAGTTATTATTGACTTGCATGAAGTTTCCGCAGAGACACTCTACAACAACCGACTTGGCTTTTCCTTCAAAACCTCGCGTCTGCTTTTTGTTTTCTTTCTACTTTTCACTTTCAGTTTCAAGGGGTCAAGGAGTTGCTTTCGGAGGATTGGGGTTGCTGGTTTCAGGGGTTATACCACGAAAAAGACGATAATGATAACAATGCAACTCTTATGTTTATGATATCCCTCGATATTCGTATCAACGGCTACAGTAAGTTGACCTAACAAGGTGGTGTTCATCGAGGAGCTGCAGTCCCATGCGCTCTCTTCTGACCGGAATTTGGTAACTGTTGATGCGACTCAACAGAACCAGCCAACAGTCTGCAGCAAAAGAGATGTCAAGACGAACCGGAGGAGTTACTAACCCACGATCACAAACCCTCGCATGTTTTTCGTAGTAGTCATATGAACCAGGGTATGCTACAATAGTCAATCACCCAACTCGTTTCACCATCTCCTATCCTGCATCCCAAGACTCGGTGTATGGAAAACGATTCCTGTTGTACCTCAAACATATATCGAGCCACCGATGAAGACAAGAGAGTAGGCCAAAAAAACGCCACGTATACCGAGCTAGCAATATTCAGGACCAGCATTCTCGCCATCATAACAAGCTCACCGGATGCGACTTGGCCGGTAGTGTCTACAACAGTCGGGCTATTTTCGTTCAATGATTGTAGAACCCCGGTTTCTGCTTCTTTGTATTTCGAGAACGAGACATACGGAATGGTGTGTGTAAAGTCGAGTGAAGGCTCGGAAGAATTTGTGACCAAGATAGTGTCGTTTGCTATTTGATTGATAAATACTTGATTGGAAGGAAGGGAGGGACATTCAAGAGTGGGCCGTAGTTACCCCATGTAGACTAGTACAAAGACGAGTCATTCACAGAACATGTCATGCCGGCCACGAATATCAAAATCACAAGCAAGACCGAACTTCAAAAAAAAAGTGTCAAACTTCAGAAATCATCAACGAGCACCACAGGTAGCATGAAGTGAATAATGTTTGTAGTATCAAAAAAGAAGACCTTTTGTCCTGTCATTGCCATTTTGGTATGTAACACAAGCTCAGAATACATCGTAAAAAAAAGGAAAGGGTAGTAGAAAAAGAAAACCCAACACCCTCAAGTCATATCGTATAAAATCAGAAAACGCTTTTTGTGGTTTGTTTAAGCGTTCTCGGGACGGAGGCTGCGGACGGCCTTGCCGGCGCGCCAGATCTCGAGGTTGCGGATCTCCTCCATCTCGGCCTCGAACTTGGCGCGGTAGTCGGCTTGCGAGGCGTACTCGAGAGTGCGGCGGGTCTCCTCACCAGTCTGGACGGAGGTGTAGAGGTCGTCGAAGACAGGCTTGAGGGCGTCCTTGAAGCGGGCGCTCCAGTCGATGGCACCGCGGCGGGCGGTGGTGGAGCAGGCGGCGTACATGTAGTCCATACCGTGGGCACCGATCAGGGGGTAGAGGGACTGGGTGGCCTCCTCGACGGTCTCGTTGAAGGCCTCGGAGGGAGAGTGGCCGCGCTCACGGAGGACCTCGTACTGAGCGAGGAACATACCGTGGATACCGCCCATCAAGCAACCACGCTCACCGTAAAGGTCAGAGTAGACCTCCTTCTCGAAGGTGGTCTTGTACATGTAACCAGCACCGACGGCGACACCGAGAGCAACAGCCTTCTCCTCGGCCTTGCCGGTGACGTCCTGGAAGACAGCGACGGAGGCGTTGATACCACGGCCCTCCTTGAAAAGAGTGCGGACGGTACGGCCGGAACCCTTGGGAGCACAGAGGATGACATCGATGTCAGAGGGGACCTCGACCTTGGTCTGGTCCTTGAAGACGGGCGAGAAACCGTGGGAGAAGTAGAGAGTCNNTGTTGGGATGGTCAGCGATATGCGCAAAAATGCTGTGAGAGTAGAATGGCGTACCTTGCCCTTGGTGAGCTGGGGCTTGATGTGGGGCCAGGTGGATGACTGGGCGGCATCGGAAAGGAGGTTCATGATGATGGTACCCTTGCTGATGGCCTCGTCAATGTCGAAGAGGTTCTTGCCCTCAACCCAGCCATCCTGCTCGGCCTCCTTCCATGAGGCACCGCCCTTTCGGACACCGACAATGACGTTCAGGCCGTTGTCACGGAGGTTGAGACCCTGACCGTGACCTTGCGAACCGTAACCGATGAGGGCAAGGGTGTCGTTCTTGAAGTACTCAAGGAGCTTCTCACGGGGCCAGTCAGAGCGCTCTNNGGGAAGAAAGTCAGATACAGCTCGCATTGCAATCAATTGCATGTCAATCTTACCGAAAACCTGCTCCTTGTCACCGGCAAAGTCGACAGTCTTGACACCGCGGACCTGCTGGGCAGCAACGGAAGCTCTAGGGAGCTGCTTGACACCAGTGGTGCGAGCAGCGTTGAGGGCAGCGCTGAGGTAAGTGCGCTGCTGCTGGACAGCGGGGCGCTGGGCCTGCTTCAATGCGGCGCGGAGAGTTCTGCTGGCAGTGCGGGAAGACATTGTGATGGGTGTGTGAATGAATAGGACAGAAGGAGAGAGGGAGTCTTTGATTTTTTGAAGGCAGCTGTGACTACGTTGTTCGGCCGCTGCAGCACGCACAGACATGTTTCCATCACTGCTGCGCTGCGACATCGGCTCTGCCCCAGACTCGCTCGTCTCTTGGGCCACTCTTCTCCAGCAAATTGTGCAATATCCATTACCAATGAGAAGGCCCTATAGCCTCCTTTAACCGTCTCGCTGACCCTCGAGGCCCTGCTGTTGCATGTGAAGGTGCGACTCGACCCTCGACCACCATCCATGGACTTTTCGAAAGTCCCACAAAGCTAAGCGAGAAGTATCGCGGAAACGGTCCCTTGCCCACCCAGCAACCAGCTGCTCATTCTTCTGACAAACTGCTCCGGATAACATGCTGCTAGACGTCAAAATGTCCCCACTGCGTGACGTTGATTTGGTAGGACTCCCCCGAGTCCCCCGATGCGCAGGGGCCATTGGCTCGCCGACCGTCATCGCCAATTCCAGGCCGACATCGTCCGCAGCGCCATCTTTTTGTACTGCACAGAGCCTCATACCATCAAAGACTCCGTTGTCGCAAACAGGATGACTGTGCCAATCTTGTGACTCAGCCAAAGAGCACCCTCGCATCCGTTTCATCATCTCCTTCTCCATACCACATTCATCAACTGCCGGCTTATGGCTGTCAGAATACACAATGATGTTCAGTTCTGTGAGATCGTCCGCTGAGAGCGGCTCTACCACGGGCTCTCGCCGGACAATGCTCTAGGCCCTGGAATTGTCGTGCATTGCCATGGACATACATTGCAACATCTGGTACAAGTGAACATTCTAACACTCGCAATAACAATCTCTCTCAGAGTCAAGGAGACAATCAGCCGGCGCAACTTTTGGAAAATATGGACAGCTCAATATGAACAATAATCAACATCTGGCTGTCGCCCATCAATCCACGGGGTCTTCCGCTTTGATCTATCCAGTCAGCCCAAGCACGCCGTCGACGTAATCCAGGTCCGAGCACGAACAACTTCCAGCGACGAGTGCAGTCGATCCCAGGCTGTTTGTATCTTGCTGGGCGCTTCTGTGAGATACGACGACAAAGCCACTGGTCAAGGTGATGGCTACGAAACACACCTGAAAGATCTGGAAAACCCAATTCGAGTCAGTAAGAGCAGGCGCACAACGTGTCCACACAATATACAGCCAGCTTGTCACCTCAGTGCGATGGCGCGGAGAGGCTGGCGAAGACAACCGAAGTTACACGCAAGGCAGAGAGTGTCTGGGGAGAGCACTTGCTCAAGATGGGACAGTCTCTCTGGACGTTACTTGGGCACCTTGCAAAAGCGCATGCTCACAGCCACACCTCGACCGTGGCCCGTAGAGGAAGGAGAGATAACGTAGACGTGAAAATGTAAGTGTGATAATATTTTTGTGTAGGAGAAAATTAAAATTCATGCTTTGGTATCTTTGACAACTCAAACTCGGACTCTTCTGGCGCCTTTCTATGACTCAGTCATTGGCTCTTCGGCCACGAAAGAGAGGTAGCTTCCGAGGAGCTTGATTCCCTCGATGTAGTTGCGCTTGTCAAGCTTCTCGTTGATGCTGTGAGCGGCGTCTGTGCTAGAACCCATTGGCAGCAGGAGAACGTTCTTGCCAGTTGCTTGCTCGAAGGTAAGAGTGACGGGAATGCTGCCACCCTCACGAGTGAGATCAGGCTGGACCTTGAAGACCGACTCGACGGCCTTGGCGGCAGCGGTGAAGTTCCAGTGCTTGGGCGAGGCGACCCACCACTTGCCAGAGTGCTGCTCAACAACCTTGCAGGTATTCTTGGAGTTGAGGGTTTTGAAGACCTCGTTGACGTGAGCCTCGACAAGTCTGTTGACTTCGGGGATCTCCATGTTGGGCACAGTGCGGATGGAGAACTTTCCGATGACCTTGGCAGGGATGACAGTCTTTGCGCCAGGAGCGGAGAAGGCGCCCTCGATACCGTGAAGCGACAGAGAGGGGAATCTCCAGCGGGCCATCAAGGTGCTCTCCTTGTCCTCGAAGATGGTGGTCTTGCTGCCGAGCGACTCGTGCAGGTTGTCCATGGTGAAGGCAATGTTCTCGTACAGCTTCTTCTCTTCCTCAGTAACAGGGGCAACCAGCTCCTTGATTCCGTCGATCTGGATCTTGCCGTTGGTGTCAACCAAGCTTCCCATGACACGGACGAGGTCGGTCATGGGCTCCTGAGCAGTGCCACCGAAGACACCACTGTGAAGATCCTGGCCGGGACCGCTAATCTCAATGCTGTAGTAACTGCAACCTCTGAGACCGTAGGTCAGGCAAGGCTTCTCAGTACCGAGCCAGTAGTTGTCGCTGATGCACACGGCATCGGTGTCCTTGAAGAACTTCTTTGCCTCGGCGTTGATGAAGTCGTCGAGACCCTCGCTTCCGTACTCTTCCATACCCTCGAAGCACATCAGAAGGTTGACAGGGAAATCGATGTTGGCCTTCTGGTGAGCCTCGATGGCGTTGAGCCAGCCGAGAACGGGACCCTTGTCGTCGGTGGAACCACGTCCGAACATGCGGCCCTTGTCGTCGATGGTAAGCTCGAAGGGCTCGGTAGCCCAGCCGTCCTCCTTGGCGGCAGGCTGAACATCATAGTGTCCGTAGACGAGGATGGTCTTCTTCTTGGGGTCCTCACCGTAGCGGGCGACGATGACGGGGGGGAGCTCGAGGTACTCCTTGTGGGGCTGGGGACCGAGAGGGCGGGCCTCGACGTGAGCACCAAGGGCCTTCAGTTCCGACTCGAGGAACTTGCCCATCNNTGTAGACCTGTCAGTATGCAGGTCAGAGATGAGGGGTATAGCACGTGGACATACGCGGACGACCTCAGGTCTTCTGTCATCCTCGGAAGAGACAGAGGGAATGGCGACAGCCTTTCTCAATCTCTCGATGAAGTGGTCTTGGAGCTCATCGACCTTGGCGAAGTATGCGTCGAGTTGAGGAGCCATGTTGGGCGAAGGGTGTTGTCTATAAATATACGGCCAAGCGGCGGTTGTTTGACGGCGAAGCTGAGGCCGAAATGCTAGGGTAGGGCACTTGGGAAGAATAAACTGTCTACGGGAGAACAGCTGGTGGATAGAGCGAAAGGGCGAGGACATGCAAAGACAGAGAAGGGAAATTCTCTGGTGATACCGTAATGGAAACTGTGGCAGGGCGCAAAGAGGCGCGATACGAAACGGAAAGAGCACAGAGCTTGGGCCTCGGTCAGGGAAACTGCCTCCCGACTCAGACCTCCCCACCTTCCTGTTTCGGATGACATCCACGCCCTTCGCCGCACCTGCCCTGCGGACAAAGACTCCTCCGAGAGGCAGCCAAGTAAACCATAGGTGACTATTAATTGTAGAAGGGGCGTCTTGTTCGCTGTCGCGTTCCTTTCTCATATCTTCCAGTTCTTTCAGTATGGGCGATGTCTCTTCCTGCCCGCCTCTGACACGCTCGTCGGTCCAGGCGGCCCATGCAGCAATCAAGCAGCACATCCACCGCACTCCCACCATCACATGTGACACCATCTCCCATCTCGCCTCGACCCCTCAAACTTCCGAATCGCTCGAAGGAACGCCTTTCGCAGGTCAAACACCGTCCAAGCCACGCATCAACCTCTTCTTCAAATGCGAGAACTACCAAAAGATTGGCGCCTTCAAGGCGAGAGGTGCCTTTCATGCACTGAGTCGTCTATCAAAGGAAGAGTTGAGTAAAGGCGTTGTCACACACAGTTCGGGCAACCACGCCCAAGCCCTCGCTCTGGCTGCCCGTACTCATGGCATTCCGGCTCACATTGTCATGCCTACCATTAGTACACCGTCCAAGATCGCTGCAACCAAAGGCTATGGAGCGAATGTCATCTTTTCTGGATCTACTTCCGACGAAAGAGAAGCTGTAGTGGCCGACGTGATACGAGATACTGGTGCTATACTTGTGCCTCCGTACGATCACCCGAACATCATGCTTGGTCAAGGCACATTGGCTCTCGAGCTGGAAGAGCAAGCCAAGGATTTAGATGAACGAGGGCTGGATGCTGTTGTAGCCCCTTGTGGTGGAGGTGGCATGCTCTCCGGCGTGGCCACAGCTCTATACGGAACTGGTATACGTGTCTTCGGTTCTGAGCCCAGCTTTGAAGGTGCCGACGATGCGAAAAGAGGCGTCGAGTCAGGCACTCGTGTCGAAAAAGTAAAGACATTGACAATTGCTGATGGTTTGAGAACACCACTGGGTAAGATTCCATGGACTATCATCAGCGACAAAGAGAAGGTGAAGGGCATGTACAGCGTTACTGAAGATCAGATCAAGGCTGCTATGCGCCTTCTACTTGAAAGAGCCAAAGTCTTCGTCGAGCCGAGTGCCGCCGTGCCACTCGCCGTGGTTTTGTACGACGAAGGCTTCAGAAGTATGGTCGAAAAAGAAGGAGGTGAGCAAGGCTGGAACATTGGCATCGTCCTGTCCGGAGGAAACACTACAGTCGAAGCCATTGCCAAACTCTTCGAGCCCAGCTCCGAGCAGCGAGCTGAAAGGCAAGAGGCGAAGCTGGGTATGAATGGCGAGAGAGTTGCGGAAAACGTTGCTGGCTAGGTCGATCACGATTCTTAGATACAACTGTATGTTCAATTCAGGCCCTAGCTGTTGCGAAAAGACAGTGTACTGCAACAACTCTCTGCGCTTATACACGATCAATCCCAAGCTGTTTGCAATGCAGACCAAGGCAGTAGCTTCAATCGGCTATGAGCTGCCACCTGTTGGAGGAAGGGTGTGTTGATCGCAATGAGGATACCAGGTCAACATACATGATTTTAATCAGCATCATCTCCTGCTTGATGATGCCTACTTATATCGCTGTGTTATTGTATAGTAACAGGATTTGGGTCATCGATATACAGATAGATCTCGAGAAACGTCATCATATAGTCGCTTGACAAGAGATGGAGGATAGAGGTCCCAATATTAGGCAGGTTTCGCCAACAGACATCCGAATGTAGCAAGTGCGGAGGAGGCCGACTACCCCTCTCACGTTTCCCAACCTCTCGCTCTTATCGGCCATAGCTATCTTCAAGTCAAGCCAAGCATACCCAGAGTGGACGACATATTCCGTATCTGTACTAATGACACTGTGTCACGTTATACGTTGGAGCTCAGGGAGGTGACTCTTTCTTGCCCTTGCTTTGACACACTCAACTTCAATAACAACATAACCATTCATCTTTCGAAGTATATCATCTACAAATATGACACCTGACATTGAATACCTTTTGTCTCTCGAGGCTGTCCGTGAGAGATCTCAGATAGTCTTTGCGGCTGCTCAGAGAGATGAACTTTCTCATTTCACATATCACGCTTCCAAGTTGCCTGAAGCTGCGGCCTTTGTGACCTCAGTGATCAATGTGAGTTGTTGACATCTATTCTTGCACCTGAACTACCTCCAGATCGTACAAGATCCCTGACACGACACATGCAATATGCGATTACTCTCTGACAGCTTCTTTAGCNGTGACTTTGGTCCCGACAACTTCGAGGCCATCCCTCCTCATGGCCGCTGGCAACATTTCGAAGTTGGTGGAGTCCCAAGAATTGACGACCTCAACCACCAATGGAAACTTGGTGGTTGTAATTGGAAAGAGCAGGCTCGTAGACTGATTGACTTGTTCGTTGTATCTGTATTGTTGGACGCCGGTGCAGGTGACAAGTGGAAGTTCGAGGAACCTGGATCAGGACAGACATATACCAGAAGCGAAGGTATCGCAGTGGCAAGTTTGTATATGTTCAAGGCAGGCGCTTTCTCGACGACAGAAGGTTGCGATCATATGGTTGATGGTGAGTTATACTGCTGAGAGATCGCAAGCAAGAAACTAATCGTTCATGACANNGCCAAGGGACTACAACGTATTGACGAACAAACACTGGCAAAAGGCTTCCAGATCACTGCCGAGAACCCTATGATCGGTGTAGGGCCTCGCGCACAGCTACTCTCTCGCCTTGGTGATTCTTTGCTCCAGCACTCGGAAATCTTTGGTCCTGAAGGACGACCTGGTTATCTTGTCGACTATGTCATCAAAACGGCAGACTCGGAAAGTAAAGAGCTCGACTACCGCGTATTCTGGATGACGTTACAGAAGCTCTTGATCCCCATCTGGCCTAAGGATCGTACGCAGATTGACGGTACACCTATTGGTGACGCTTGGCCCTTGGCGGTTCTCGAGAAGCAAAACAATGGTCAAGATAGCAATAAGACTATCCAACCGTTCCATAAGCTTACGCAGTGGCTGGCTTACTCACTTATGGTTCCCTTTGTAAGGCTTGGGAGATACTCCTGGCGCAACTCAGAGCTCGGCACTGGACTCCCTGAATACCGCAACGGCGGTCTCTTTGTCGATCTCGGAGTCTTGACACTCAAGCCTAAGGCTCTTGAACGCGGTCAACAGACTTCTGGACAAGAGCTACCCATGTTCAAAGATAGTGGTGATGAGATTGTCGAGTGGAGAGCTTTGACAGTTGCTCTGCTAGACGAAGTGTACAATATCATCAAGAAGGACATGAACGAGAAGGGTGTGCAGCTCAGCATGGCACAGATGCTCGAAGCCGGCAGTTGGAAGTCAGGACGAGAGTTGGCTGCACAGAGAAGACCGGAGACAAAGTCCAGCCCCATCTTGATTGATGGAGATGGTACTCTGTTTTGATTACGTTTCTTGTTCTGACATTGACTTTACAGCGGACTTTAGCTTATTGGAAAGCAAACATTATATACTAGATATTATATGCTCCATGCCGACAAACGAGCGACTGACAAATGAGCGCAATCATGACGCACGTTCAGGCCCTGAGCATGAGCGACCACAGCGTCAGACCAAAGAATGCTCAGTCCAGCATGTTCATATCCAATTGCTCATTATCTTTCTCTTTTTCATTGATATCAGCAGCGAAGATGTCAGCCTTAGAGGTTTCGGCTTGGCCAAAGACGGATACATCTCCTCTCCCTGCGGCACATAGAGCATCGCACTTCTTGTTGCATCGTTTAAATGCAATCCACCAAAAGAACGGCGGCCATCTCAACCTGTAGTGAATCTCTTGATCAGTCTTTTGCTGGTTTTTTTTTATCGAGGCCATTTGGTGGCAAAGACTTACATTGCCGTCTTCTTGCAGTCCTTTCTGCAGGGCCAGATACAATCGTCCGGGCCTGCGGTATCAGTGGAAGTGTTGGCGAGTAGACTACTGGCGACAATGTCGGTGTTCGGCTGCTTCAGGTTGACAGGCGGAGGAGGAGCAGCTACCAAGGTGCTGAGGATAGCGGTGATGAAGATCGACTTCATCATGGAATTTAACAGTTGTTGCTCTGGTAGGATCTGTAAGAAGCTGTGAAGCTGTGAAAAGTATTGTGATAAATCTGGAAAGCTGGACAGTCGCGAGCTTGTGTTTCTAGAAGAGCTCGACTGAGCTCAGATATCGCTGACAAAGATCACCTCACCTCCTTGTAGGTTCGACTCCACTGGAGTCTGGCACGGTTTCGATCCTTGTCAACAACCTACGTATGATTTCTTCATTCAGTCGGTCGTCTCGAAGCAGCTTGGTTTGTTGTTGAAGCGTGAGCCGGGTACTCCAGTTGTCGCTTCCAACTGCAAATGATGTAGGGCAAGCATCCAGGATGATATAGGGACCATATGATCTCTCCTGTGTTAAAGTCCCACAGTTCATTTGTCGCAAAGGAGGTGGAAGCTACGTGAGCGATGACTGAACCTTGCCCAGGAGATGTGGAGTAAACCCACATAGAGATGGGAGTAGTAAGATCTGGTTGTCGAATCTGTCACTCGTTGTGGCCCCATTGGTGTATCGATTGTTCTCTGTAACTCGATCTCCATCTTAACCGCACGAGCTTGTCAATGACCTGTGGTGAAGAGGAGAGGGAGTGATATCATCGATTTCAGCACTCGTGAAGTGAACGCAGTCTCAACCATTCACGTGGTTCCACACACTCTACGCAAGATTCACGAGAGCATCTGCACAACAAGAACATTTGGCATGAAGACATGGCTCTGGAAGCGATCTTCAACGAGATTGGTGAAGAGGTCACAGAGGATAATATCGCGAAACTGAGTCGCCATTAGACAGATTGAGGTATCTTTCAAGATGCCGTCAAGAGAGAAGCGGCGTTATCGTTTCCATCGAGGTGGTAGTGTCACGTCGGTCCTCTCATGTGTATGCTTTCCGCACGTTTCTTTGTGGGAGTCAGAATGTTTGAACCTTTGAGGCCAAATCATGCTCGGTGGTTCCAGTATGTGCTCAATCCAGTACGTTGGTCGAAGTTGTGAGGTAGTGCTCAATTTTTACTTGCTCATGTATTTGTTCGATCGTAAGATGAGTTCCCAATCTTTGTTTGTCAATCTTTAGAGTTTTGCCGAAGTCTGTTCTGAGCCAAGCGAAAACAATGCTTGTTGGTTTCGGGGAAGTTCGATAGGGTGCAAAAGACATTTAAGAGTCTTCTGTCCTGATTGTAGACTCCTTTCTACTTCGCCCACCACTTTCATGAGAGTACCGTTCTCTATTACCTGAAGCCAGAACTCGGCAACACAGCAGAACACCGCCTCTTTGTCATTCTGTCATCATCAGTCCTCATACATACACAACAACCATGCCAACTACTCGCCGCGCTTGCGATGTCTTCATTGATCTGATGCCAGAAGACGAACTCTCGACCACGATAGAAGAACCTACGCTGACAGAGGTGACAAGGCGATGCTCCATTACCTGGCACTCAATGGCAGAAAAGCTTTGTGACCAACGACGATCAACGAATGCTTGCCTCGTTCCTAAGTTGATGGCCATTGAGGAGCAAGTGGCGTCAATGGCTACAGTCGTTGATGGACTGTCTAATATGTTCAACCGAAAGAAGACTCTGAGATCAGCTTGCTGGAACTCTCTTCTGTCTCTCGAAGAGCAATGCCATCATGTGGTCACCGAAGTTCAAAAGGTCCTCAAACCACTAACTGAATGGGGGCATGTATCCCAAACTGCCCATGATCAACTTGAAGCATGCACAGACGTTTTGAGAAGACAAGCCCTGGATATTTCCATCATGTGGGGAGTGATTCAGGTGTCCGAGTGCTTACTGTAAGTCGATCAGCAAGTGTTCAATCAACATATGCTCACTGCGAACATAGAGATCAATGGGAAGGCAGGTCGCCTCTCGGCTGGGATGCGGGCTACATCCCTGAGACCGACGATGTAGCAGTGCTGCTAAAAATTCGCTGCATATTGCTCGAACGAGGCAAAGAATGGCAGAAGAAATTGGGGACCTTGGCCAATGCCTCTCAGGATGCCAGACAAAAATCTCATGATATCGACTCCTGGTCCTCGACTCAGTCTTCCACAGGTATCATGACTCCAGCGACCGAAGACTGGAGCGAGGTTGAAGCGTTATCAGCAAGACTACCGAGATTGACCGCGAATCCTCAAAAGACTTCACAACCTGGGACGTTCAAGAATGCAGAGATGTCGTCAAAGTATACGCAAAGTTGATGAACGAACTCCTGGAAAAGGCTCACCTGGGAAAAAATGGAGATACAGTCAACAATTCGGTGTGGGTCAAAGGTGTACGTGAACTCAGTGTCAGCCTTGTAGAGAAGTTGGAACAGCTCTCATGCAATCCGATGCCAGCAAAGTGCGCGAATAAGGCTGTCGCAGGTAACAAGGAGGTCAAAGACGAGGCATTCGATGCGATTGTCAGTGACATCAAAAAGAAGGTTACATTGACAGATATCGCCAAGCTGGTGTTTCTCTGGACAACAGTAGAGGCATTCGACAGTGTCAGGAGAAGCGAAACAACAAAGGTTTGAGGGTGTTCGAGAGAGATATCTTGGGACTTATAGTTGTTGGGCTCTGTGGTTTTCTTTGTGTTGCTTCGTGAATGTTATGGCAGATAAACAAATCTTATGATCGTATCCTTCTGAGTCGAAGCCAATACTTGCGTGTGATCGCCTGATTCGAGATTGCTCACGCTCTTGTTTGCGGTCGTACGATGAGCTTCAATCGCACTCTCCAATCTGGGGAGTTTGTTTACGAAGTTTGTTTCCACTGAAAGGGTCCTTCCTGATACACTTCAGAAAGTGCGACGGAGAACACAAAAGCCGCAGAGGATTCGTGTTTCTTCTGATCTTTGTCTCCAACACTTTGCAAGCCACCACGCAGGTTGCCTCTTTCGACATCGCAAAGATGTCTCTTGAACATCTACAACTCCTCGAGCAGAGACAACTCTCGGGTATACCAGCACTCCAACACCGACGTAGAGCAAGAATCATCCCATCGTCGCAGCTGTCCGCAAGTCTGACCGGATCCGCTGCATCATGTCTCGAGATCGGGCACCGTATCAAGCACTGCAGTGATCTGCAAAAGTCGACCATGTGTCTGCAGTCTGGACTCCATCCCTTGGCCGACGAGTTTTACGGCATGCGGTCTGCCCTCCAGCATATCGAGCAGACCTGGAGCCACCCATCTGGCCGAAAACTGTGGACGGAAAACGCAACACAGACCGTCAAACACGCACAACAAGTGGCTCAAGATGTAGGCAGCAGCCTTCGCGATATCGTCAATCGACGTTCATCCTGGGATGTCGTGGCTCCAGATCATTTATACTATCAACTCCAAGCACTCGAGATATATCTGCAGAAACAACAGCTGATTCTGAATCTCTTGGGGCTGGTTATGTATGTTCTATCGCCAAGCGAAGTGCCGGATCTGCGCTACTGCAGTACTCGCTGTAAGAAGCAACTGTGAGTAGCCAGCTTTTCTGAGATCATTAGCTATCTGACAGCCCATTCAGGGGAAAGCGAAAAGTTCTCATATGCGTGTGAACAGCTCGGTTTTGCCGTTCTCATGAGACAGGAGATGCAAGCAAAGTTGCTCAAGATCGCCTCGCTAGACCCGGAGTACAAGGACATTGATGTCGTGGAAGTCTGGGAGGAGATACCCACTGCAGACAACTGTTCCTCCACGACGGACTCTACCATGGGCAACATGACTCCGACGGAAGACTGGTTTGATCTTCAGAGCGACATCGGGAGCGAGCCGATGAACTACACCCATGTTCAGATCCCGGAGGCCCAGCCCAAAGTACTGACCGAACGTCAAAAGAGCAAAGAGACTGTACCCCGTGCTGTGGACACGATGCTAGATGGCTTTGGACACGAAGGGATGCGAGGTGAATTTTGGCCGCAGGAAGCGTTTGATTCCCGGAGAAGGGACCTTGCGAAATTGGCGTTCCTTTAGACCAATGTTGAGACGTTTGCAGGCCTCCAGAGGAATGAGTCGACATCGGTTCACTAGCATTTTTCGAGTCTTATAGCAATTGTAGTAATCTACAGATCGAAGATGTTTCTGGTCGTCTCTCTCTGTAGCGGTTAGTCTCTCATGCATGGATCCAGAAAGCTGAGATGAGTTAACTGAGCTGATAGCTCAGGTGTTGCTACACACAATCGGGGAGTTGCGCAGGTTTGCTTCTATGCTGAGGTGGGAAAAAATGATAAGCTTCCGTGAGCTCTTTGGGATTGAGGGTGATCGGCAGAGAAGGACCTTGCTCCAGCACAATCGTCCCTGCTTCATATATGGCATCAATTCCATCCTTTCGAGGCCTGTTCGTCACTTTCTTTCCATCAACTCCCACTACAGAAATTCAGAATGCCTTCCGAACTCGTTGAAAGGTATATGAAGACAGTCCCGATATGCCACAATACACTGAGCAACAGTGTGGCCGGATCTGTCCAGGCCTGCTTGTGTATCTCGAACCATCTGTTGGATCTCAGCATGCAGATAAAGACTGCTTGCATGCACCCAGTACTCAGGTTACTTCAAGCCGAATTTCTGGCCTTGCACAACATGTTCAAGGATCATCAACTCATCCTGGGCACTTCGGTCTGGCACGACAATAATGCAACAACGACAGTGAAATCGGTTCAAAAGGTCTGCCAATTGATTTCGGGGGAGTCGAGCAAATCGTCGAAGAGGCCCATCACTNGGAATGTCTACACTCGAGATGGTATCGACGTCTACTTGCATGCAATGGTGCTTTGTCTTCAAAGGCAACATATGACTCTCGAACTCCTGATAGTCATGATGGCGTTTGTCAATTCTGGACTCAAGGGTCCATCGGTACTTCGGCAGTACAGAAGTCTCCAGCAGTATGTAAAGATATTTGTCTGGACAACTGGAAAGCTGACTTGGATGTACAGCGAACCCCAATCCTTCCACATGGAAGTCAGCAAGAGTGTCATCGCCAGACGTGGCATGAGTCGTGATACCCTCCAGCTTCGTTCAGGACCTCAACCATGGGACACTCCGAACGTATCTACACCACCCGAGGAACTTTCAGATGGCGCGTGGTCCTCAAGTCGATCCTCAACCACACTGGGTAACATGACTCCAATAGAAGACCCGCACATCGGCAATTTCGTTCAAGCCATGAACAATGAAGACCGTGCTCTGAACCAATTACTAGACAAGCCAGACAATTTCACGGAGGTAGATCTCGCAAAGTTGGCGTTCCATTCGACGAATGTTGAGGAGTTTGGAGATTTTGACAGGAGAAGGGCGATGCATACAAACGCGTTCCCATTCCCGTCAAATATCGTGTTCCCGAGAGGCTATTGAAGCAGGGAGAAAGGAAGTTTTCGACCCTCCGTGTAGCACTTGGAGTATCGATCTGGTTCACTCTTGGACCTTGTTAAGGTCGATGCCCGAGTCGCATGACAAATTCTGTATACTTGTAGCAATCGAATGCACAGCTGTTTTACATCAGAGATGTGTCAAGAGTAAGCCGAGAAGTTTATGTCCCTCAGTCAACGGTGCTTTGTCTCTTGTGTATCTCCACGGCTCGTTGATTGGGAGAGCAATGAGGGTGACAGACTCCAGTAACAAGGAAAGTATGGTTGTGTTGATCTGTTGTTTCTTCCCGGATATTCAGCTCAGGTGATCAATTTGGGCTTGGAATGGAGCTCGAAGGTTCGAGACATCAAGTGCCAGGGCTCGTGAGACCGACTCTTGGCTGTGATTGAGGTTGTATGTAAACCATGTCTTGTGGTTCCAGAAGACTCCGAAGCTTAAAGAAGTGGTGTGGTGCATGCAGGCCAGCAAACTTTGTCTGACTGCATACTAATAGCCATGAGTCCTGCACTTTGAGTCGATCATTCAGCACTGCCTAACATCCGAATCGCTGCAATGGACGACAATCCGCAATATCGCGTATTCGACGAGTTCGACCAAGAGTTCCTCGATGGTGTGTCGGCCACTATTTTGGCTTGTGCCAATCTCTCAGCAAAACTGGACGTTCTCAAAGTGACCACAGCTGTGTGCTTACGTTACCCCCTGGACCGACTCGCTAAAGACCTGTTGTCTATGAAGCAAGCATATCACATGCTAAGTAACATTCTCGATCGTCAAAAGCCTTTTTGGAGTCCGGCTGCGACAGTTCTGATCCGAAGTACGCAACAACGCTGCCAGAATATCACCGAGCGGCTGTCCACGAACATTATCCTCTGTACAGAATGGGACATCTTCGCTCCAGACGGCACTTGGCAGTGTCTTAACACATTGTCGACCTCTTTTGCAATCGAGAAGTCACGTCTTGAATTGCCAACTTGCATCTTAGGCCTTGTGCGACATATATTCAGCAGACCTGCTAAGCATGAGTCTCCTGATTCTGTTGTCATTCCTGAGCCCCGACCCCATTTCGACAACAGGCTAGATCCGAGGGTTGGAGCTGCAATGGATCGCAGGGCTGATGCTTACCGCGCTGCAACGAACATGGAGGATTGGTTCAAAGAGTTTGAACGCTATCTTGCAGGCATTCGACAAAGTCTGCAGTTGAGGATGGTTCCAGGCGCGGTCCCTTGCAACCCTCCAGTGTCCAGTGGAACGCCTCCGTACAAGGTCTCTGGAAAGATGTCAGACGATGTTTCTGATGCAGATGACTGGTCATCAACTCAATCAACCATTGGCATTATGACTCCGACCGAAGACTGGAGTGACCTAGGCAGCGATACCACAGAGAGAGGTCACGCTCCTACCATCACCAGGCACAGCTTGCAGCTTTGTGGATACGCAACAGCTAGCTTCCTCAGACTAATCGAGGAAGTTGAAAGATCTGTTTGCCGTACATTCGCAAATGGGAATGGCAACGGAGATCCTGTTGATGCTGAGAGGGTTCAACGCTTGCACAAGGCATATGATGAGCTGATCGTCCAGCTGCTTCATGGACTGAAGGCACCAATACCATCCACAAGTCTTCTCTCTGAGTCTTCGGCTGCGCTCTCTCAGTACTCGGCCACACCCAACACTGTCACCAGGGGCAGTCTGCATCATTGCATTACGATAGCAAAGGGGTTCTTAGGAAGAAACACCATCATCGAGCAAAGCTTCGGTCATCTGCCAGGGTCCACAACAGTCGATGTTGCAGACATCGAAGCCATGCACAAAGCGTATCAGGACCTTGTTGGCAAGTTGTTCCATTATCTGGCTGCTCCCATGCCATTCCAGGATGACCATCTCGCTTCAGCATTCCCAGTTCCAGCTCCATCTTCTGTTTCAGCTCCAGACGCTGGATTCTTCATACCAGTCATATCAGAAGTCCAGAAAGAGGAATATCATATCGACAAGGCTCTTGACACCATCATCAACAGCATGGAATCCACACCAACCGACAAGGACATCATGAAGCTCGTCTTCCACTGGACCACGCTAGACGAATGCAACGGCTTCAAGCGTGCAGAAGTGTTGAAGCTCAACTAGGTTCCCGGCAGCCGACTTGTGTGCAGAAACCGAGAGGATAGTGGCGACGGATGCTGCAGAAACGGCAGGATGATCGTTACGGTGGAATGTGAGTGCGATGAAGTGGAGGAAGAAAACTCAGGCAGATGGCGAAGGTTGAGCGTGTTTTCATCAAGGCAGCGAAGTTTGTGCTTCTTTACAACATTCAGTCGTTACAGTATTCGAGATGAGAAACCGATTCCAGAGATACAAATGAGTCAAAAGAAAGTCTTGTTGTGGGGATGCAGAGGAAATTCGACAAGCGCAAGTGTGCAGCAAAATTAATCAGCAAGCACATCCTTGGCTCCTTCCTTGACTTCTGATCACGTACCTGTGACGTTGGATGAGGAAGTCGCTCCCTTTGCTCGCACTTGCTCCAAGTTTTCATTTCTGCTTTGGATGATCACATGTCAAGATGGTGTAGAAAGTGAAAAGAGGAAATAGCAGAAATAAACGCTCTGTCAATTCATTGGTATCATGTCTTCCAAAAAGTACGAATAAGCGCAGCCTCAGACGTCTATTGAGGGGGCTGGTAAGGGGTAACGAGCATTTCACTAAATNNCTGTAATGTGTGTCAGTACATCAATCCTTCGCAGTTTTACACGAAAGGCAAAACTTACTTCTCAAGCTTCTCCTTTCCTCTAACCTCCTCAACGAGCAAAGGCATCTTGACGACATTGAATTCATCGTACAGATCCTCGATTTGCTCGAGGTACTTCTTCTGCATCTTTCTTCTCGCATTGCACTGCTCGCAGGGGTTGTCTTCCTTGGGGAACAACAGCTGATTGACAACAATGGCATGTGTATCAATCTCATAGCTGTTCAACTCTTGAATCATTCTCTCCGTCTCGTACAGTGACAAGAACTCGGGGATACACACACAGACAAAGGTGGTAAGGTCGGCGTTCTTGAATTGGGTGTTGACCTCGCTGATGGTAGCACGAAGGTCCTCCATCTTCTTGATAACGTCGTCGAGGCTCTGTCCGTTGGGCAGACCACCACGGGCACCGAGGATGCCGTTGAGCATGGGACCGAACTGGCCAGAGAGTTGGGAAATCTTGCCGAGAGCCTTCTCCATAACGGTAGGGAATTGGAGGAAGCGGAGGGTGTGGCCAGTGGGTGCAGTGTCGAAGATGATGACTTCGTAGCTAAGTGACTTGACTTGCTTGAGGACTTCGGCAAAGGACATGGCTTCATCGACACCGGGGATCNNTGTTTGTGCGAATACAGTCAGCAACGCGCATCTTTGTCTTGAGATGCGACCACTCACGCTGAAAGCAAGGTCCTGCATCATGTTGCCCATGCCACCGAGACCAGACATGGCCTCCTGAGTCTCCTCACCACCAGCATTGAGCATATCGGTGATAGAACCGTTGGGGTCAATCTCCATAGCGCTCAGGTTGTCAAAGCCATTGACCAGACGGGCGTCCTTTCCGAATTTCTGGTTGAAGGCATCGGACAAGTTGTGTGCAGGGTCGGTCGAGATGAGGAGAACATTCTTGCGGTGCTTTGCGAGCTGGATGGCCAGAGAACAAGAGGTGGTTGTCTTTCCGACACCACCCTTACCGCCGACAAAGATCCAGCGGAGCGTCTTTTGATCGAGGATGTTCTGCAGCGAGGGNGCCATCTCGTCGTCTGTGTTGATGAGGGCGGCCATGTTGGAAGGTGAGTTTTCTGTTGTTTACGCGACCGAGGGTTCGATAGGAGTGAGTCCTCAGAGAGATTGTGAGATGTGTAAACACGTGGTGGATGTGGGAGATGATTGTTTCTTGGGAGAGGCTGGCTGGAACATGCTCGAAAGCTGGCCTGCGGGGCACGAGCATCAACGTCATAAACATGCACAACTGTGAATAATCTGGGTATCATTATTTTGTGCATCCTCCCTTCTAAGAACTCCGAAGCTCCTTCCTATGCTATGTACACCACCATGCCATGCCGGACGCCATACTTTTTGTGCTTCTCGCTCAAGTGCTCGTCGCTGTGATGGCCACAATGCCTCCACCTCCGTCGCTGGTTGCTTGTTCCGGAAGTAGTCACTTCCGCTGCGGTCGACATGCCCTTCCTCTCGGAGCGTCTTGGTGAGTATCTTGACTATGATCGGAGGCTGATCTGCACCAGCTTTCTATTCTCATATCGCGGTTCCTCTGATCCCTCATGCGCCAGATACGAGCAAGTCAAGCATGCCCTGAGTCGAGTATGCAGCTTGTGCCAACTCTGAACAGTGTCTGACCTTGCGGTGAAGCTGGTTCAGTAGGTCGTCAATCTCTGGCGAGTCCATAGTTTGTTCTGAGTAGAGATCCAGGAGAAGCATGGCGACATCGCTTGTGAGCTTGATGTAACGAGGGTGACCAATGTACTTGATAACCCAGCGAAGGATGGGCTGGAGGGATGTCTCGTCGCGACCCTTGAAGGCGGTGCGCATGGCAGATCTGTGACGGAGAGCGGTAAGGAGAGTGAGCATATTGGGGTTGTAGAATTTCNNTGCAGTTGGTCAGTCCTTGACTTCGACTCCATTCGTACTGATAAAACTTACAGTAGCTCCAAGAACCATGTCGACAGCCAGAGCGTACTTGCCGTTCCGTAGAGCAGACTCCCACTTTGACTGGTTTCTGATGTTTCCACGAGCGTTTCCGTCAATGACGATGTCGGCACCCTCTCCAGTAAAGTCGCGACCACGGAGAGCCTTTTTGTCGCCTTGTCGCAGCTTCTTGGCCTTCTTTCTGTCGTACTCCTCGATAGTACCAGCGACCAGCGCTTGCATCTCCTTCTCCTTCTCTCTTGCTGCTGCCTTTTGGTCGCCTGACAAACGAGTGCGGACTGACAGCAGACCAGACTGCATACCAACTGCAAGGTGTCTGTCTTCTCTGGTTACACCAGCTCCAACAACGCTCAGCGAAAGCACAGGGCTAGGGTACTTGAAGCCAGCCACGACGTTCCAAGCCGATGTCTCAAAGACCTTGACGTGTCCATCAAGACCACCACTGACGAGTCTTGTTCCGTTGTTGGCCAAGCAGAGCGATGTGACGGTCTTCTGATGGTTCTTGATCAGGTGGAGAGGCTTTCCAGCGACCAGGTCCAGAACGCTGATCTGGTTGTCGGCAGCTGCAAGCACTTGTGTTCCTGAAGGCATGGGCAATACACTCTCAATCGCGGCAGCGTGCTTGAAGGTCATGACTGCGCGCTTGGGTGCTCTTGAGTCCCACAGACGAACAGTCTGATCGTAACTACCAGACACAAGCAAGTTGCTGCTCTGACCAGGCATGAAAGCACCACTTCGGACGTAATCCTGGTGTCCCGAGAAAGTGGTAGTGCTGGACTCGCTAGGCAGGTCCCAAAGTCTGACCGTCTTGTCGTCACTACAACTCATGATGGAAGTAAGATCATTGGGGTTCCATCTTGTGACCCAGACGGGCTGCTTGTGTTCCTTCCATGTCTTCAGAATAGCTCTTGACCCCGTGTCGAATGCTTGAATGGCACCACTGTCTCCACCAGCAACAAGCACACGTCCATCGCGACGAATCTCTCCCGAATGCGCAATGTCGTCGTAGCCGAATCGCGTGATGGTCTTTAGAAGTTTGCGTGTTTTTGACGAGAAGATCTGGACTCTGCTCCCGGAAGTGACGGCGAAAGTGTCAGAGGGCGGTGTGACGAGCGGGTTCGTAGGCAACGGAGGAAACGAGATGTGCGTGATGGGATTCGAATGCGGCGAGGGCACCAGTTGCTGTGATCTGAATCCTTTCCAGTAGCGCTGGTCAGCGGTGATGGCCTCGGGACCAGCAGCCAGCTTGAGAGGCTGCAGAGATTGTACTTCGGCCGCCATTGTGTCGTTGATATGTGATGTTCTCGTCGCGAAAAAGATGGCCGAAAGGTGGAGAGGCTTTGGACTTTTTCGAGATCCATCTTATCTTATCCATCTGACATGAATGCACGGACGTGGTGCCAGGGTCATACCTTCAACTACTGGAAGAAGCAGTCGACGACGTATGCCAGCAGCACTATTGCTGGAGTTGATCTAGAAATCATAATGCGGGATCTCTAGAGTACTTCATTACTGTCTGTAGGCTCTTTCTGTGCCAAAATCCTCCAATTGAAGCACAACAAGCACAACATCTCAATTTCATACTCTCCTCCAGTAATTCGCCCTCGATCCACGTCTGCATACACTTTCCTCTGTCGAACAGATGACTCGACGCAATTTTTCTTCATCCATCGTTTACGCGTGGTCGGTCCCCGGCATCGATCCTACAAATCCGGAGCAGATATGCCACCCCTCTAGCAGATATCATTGAAGAATCGACGCGCAGGACTTACCATTAAATGTTCTACTCCTGGACATACAAAAGCATGCCAACAATCACGAAAGAGACACAAGAACAGTCATGAAAGGAGGAAAAAAGGAGTAGCAAGAACCAAATCTCTGTTTTTGCCCATTGGTAAACACTCTCAATGATAAAGGCCTACCTTTTTGCCCCAAACCCCAAACATCGATAATCTTGCCATGGTCTTTCTTGCAACAGGTGGGTTAAAGCGGAGTACAACGAGAAAAAGAAGTGAATGCAACGACGACAACTCTAGAAACGAGTCCGAAGGAATGTACGAACGGCCTTTAAAGCCGGAAAACATGACGCTTGAGAAATCAGTCGGTGCTGAAATCTACAGTTCGTCTTCGAGGAACTTGTAGGCAAACTTGAAATCGCCCTTTCTACGGTTCATCCTGAGTAGATTGTTAGCAAGAACAAGAATAATCTCAAGCAATCCATGTTTCACGTACCATGTGCTCTCGTAGTCGAAGAAGCGATATGTTCCCTGTTCGTACTCCTCGGTGATGTTCTTGGGCTCCTCGTGTCGTTGGAACCAGGTCTGGTACTGCTTGTGGAAGCGCCAACTTTGGCTCTTCAATGCCTTTGCCGCTAGGAACTGCTGGTAAGTGCCTTGGCGGTAGTAAAAGGCGTAGAACAATGTGTCCGTCTCGATCCTGCTATACAGTCGTGGGTCATCAAACACGGTAAGAGGCTCCTGGGGGTAGTGCGCCGGTGTGTAGGCGTAAGGAGATGCTGGCTTGTAGTGGTACGGCTTCTCTGCATCCATGGGTGTGGGCATGCTACTCCGCGACAATGAGAGCAGGTGATCCTCGGGTACTGGAGGATTCGTCGCTAGAGCACGCTGCTTTGTGGTGGTAAAAGACTCGAGCAGGTCGCTCAAGCTTTCCGGCAGATGATAGTAGGACTCGTCTTCTTGCTCTTCCTCCTCTTCTTGTGGCGGTTGTTGCTGAGTTTGTTTCTGTTGTTGTCTGGAAGACTCGCCATTTGTAAGAGCAACCCCAGAATCTTGCGATGGTTGCTGTGCTTGCTTCGCGCTCTTCTTGGCCTTGGGCTCCGGGGCAGGTGGAGCGGGCTCTTGGGCGGGCGAGGGCGTCTTGGCCGGAGATTCTTGAGGCTTCGCAGGTTGAGGCGGCGGCGGTTGTGCCGGCGAGGGTTGATGAGTGACTGGTAGTGAGGGTGTCGGGGCAGGTGATGCGGTCGAGCTGGGGCGGGCAGTCGCGGCGGTGGCACCTGGCGGCGGCGGAAGAGGAGCAATGCCAACACCACTCTTGTCGCTTGCAGCAGCGGCAGCTGCAGCCGAGGCGTACTTCAATGTCTGGCCAGTAGGTATGTTTGGCAAAGGAGCGGGCTTCATGCCCGGCGGCGCGCTGCCGTTTACGCTGGTCGGTGTCGAAGCATGCAATGTGGCCAATGCAGGTAAGGGCGACTTGAGCTGTATCGATGGCCGCCTCGGCTGGGCGCTGGGGACATCGACTGACGACTGCTTGGTGAGCTTCGCGGGTGTAGGCTGTGCCACCTTGGTCGGGGGCTCTGGCAGATCCGGCGTGTCGTCGTGCTGTGATTGGTTGTCTTGTGATGACACGCGATCATCGTCGTTCTGCAGGCCGAACATTTGCTCGTCGGCGTCGAGGTTCAGGTCGTCGTAGATGGTGTCGTCCTCCATAAAGTCGACCTCCTGGTTGTTCTCGACATAGTACTTGATGCCCTCTTCAATGTCCTTGACCTGGTCTGTATCTACGCCTCCATTCTCCAGAGATCGTAGTAACAGCTCGAGCTTCCCTTGGTGCCATTTATGTCGTTCGGCCATCCGTTCCAGCTCTGCTATCCGGTCGGCCTTGGCTGTGTCCTTCTTGCCCTTTTTCATGTTCGCCTGTAGCGTTTCCGCCTCTGCCTCTGTGACCTCAATTTGTCGTTCCAGCTCTTCGACCATGGTCCCCAAGAAGTCGCATATCTCCAATTTCTCTTTTTCTTTCGGATCGAGCTTTGCGGCGGCCGATAAGCCTTCTTTGGAGAAGGCTTTTGTCTTCATTTCCTTTTCGACGGCCTTGAACTTTTCCATTTGCNNTTTGGCATGCGTTAGCGACAGGTGTGGGTGTGGCAGGATAGCTCTCAATACCGTCTCGATCAGCTTGCGCTGATCCAGCAATGGCTTCTTGTCCTTGATATCATTCTGGGCGGCCCATGCTTTGATCTGGTCTCGCGACCTTTGTAGCTTCTTGATCTCCTTTTTCAGGTTGTCCTCGAGCTTCTCCTTCTGCGAGGGATTCGTCGACTGTTGTAGCTTGTCGTAGATGCCCTCGAATGCCTGCACACCTTCGGCCACTCGTTTGAACGTNCTGTCGCCAGTCAACAGCTGCGTCACGCACTTGCGCATTGGGTCGCGCACCTTGTCAATCTCTTGCTGTAGCTTTCGTTGCGCCATTGCTGGTTATGTAGCCCTCGCGGGTGGGCGTGGTGGGAGGGTGGACTGAGAGGATGGCGACGCAGTTCGGCGTCGCTTCGGAGGGGGATGTCGGAACCAGGGAGACGATATGGCAGCTCTCCATCAACTCGGGGCGATGGACAAGTTGACACAAACGGAGACGAGTCGAGATGTGGATGGTGCTTTGTGCGACTGCGACTGTCGCAACTGCGCTCGCTGCGTTGGTTGCCGTCGTTCGCTCACTCTGCCAAGCAACCCCAAAGGTCGACTTTACGTGCGTTTGTACCGTTTGACTTTATCGAAAACACTCGTAACACTTCGAAACCCACGCTGCACTCGTAATCCCATCTGAAGAGAAGCACAAGGTAGATCAATTTGTGTTGTTTCTCTGCTGTCTTCCAATCTTTCTCTCTTCCTCTGCCATATCAGACCAACACCATGAGAAGTACGAACCACAACTCTTTAGTCCATTCAACCATCGTATTGATTCCCTTCAGCTGTCATTCAACGGGTAAAGTCAGCCTCAGTCACGGTAGATGGTCAGCTTATTTCAACCATCGGCAAAGGCTTGCTTGTGCTAGCTGCCATTGGCAAGGATGATACTCAGAAAGAGGTCGAGTCCATGGCCAATAAGATCCTGAAAGCAAAGCTATGGGACAGCGATGAAGGCGGCAAATGGAAATGGGGTGTCAAGGATATCGAAGGGGAGGTCCTATGTGGTACGTTCAGCACATGATTCGAGCAATAATATTTTCTGACTTGCATGCAGNTATCACAATTCACACTGCTTGCCTCCGTCAAGAAAGGCAACAAGCCCGATTTTCACAAGTCTGCCAATGCAGAAAAGGCAAAGGAGCTCTACGACCAGTTCTTCAAGAAAGTACAAGCCCTATATCAAACAGACAAAGTGAAAGATGGCGTCTTCCAAGCCATGATGGATGTAGCTCTCGTCAACGACGGACCGGTAGGTGTAGATTATACGTGCGAAGATGGCGCGGTAAATATCTCATTGTCTGCCAGAGTACTCGATGCTGACATGGTTTCCGCTACAGGTCACTATCCAGATAGATACGGATCCTCCTAAGATGGACAACCCTACCAGCTTTGACCTCCCCGGCGACCCTCTCACTCACAAGGGAAAGCTGCAGACAACTTTCGAGCTGCCAGCTTCGCTTCTTGAGTAGTCATCCTGGCACATCACTTAGCCTGCGTGCCTTCCATTGAAGCCTCGACTGCTAGGCATTTCTTTTCTTCCTCAACCATGATACCACTTTAGCACACAGGATAGACTCTTTTCCACGCACCATACATAGAATATGATCAAGTAGAAGGTCACATGATTCGTTCTACATCCTTGTCTTTCAACACTGAGTACAGCGTGCGGTCAAGGGCCTGATATAGCAATCCCAAAGAGGCAATCTTGGTGGTGATCGGATAATGTGGGGTACATAGCGCATAGAAGGTCCTAGAAGCCATCAACATCAACATCTTTCACTTTGAGATAATTGCACTGCCTATTGTCTTTCTGCTTGTCGCATAACATCCCTCTTGTCTCCGCGAACACGATCTCAACCTCTCTCACACATACACATACAACCAAGATGGCAGAGACCAAGCGCAGCCGTGTCTTCTTCGACATTAACATTGGCAAGGCCAGTGCTGGCCGTGTCACCTTTGAGCTGGTGAGACCTTTCCTGCTGCGTCTAAACAAAGCCGCAGGTAGTTGACATGAATCCCAGTACAGTGATGTCGTCCCCAAGACCGCCGAGAACTTCCGCGCATTGTGTACTGGCGAGAAGGGCCAAGGAAAGAATGGCAAGCCGCTTCACTACAAGGGCTCTGGGTTTCACCGCGTTATCAAGTCCTTCATGATCCAGGGTGGTGACTTCACTGCTGGCAACGGAACAGGTGGTGAGAGCATCTACGGAGAGAAGTTCGAGGACGAGAACTTCGAGCTCAAGCACGAGAAGCCCTTCTTGTTGAGCATGGCCAATGCTGGTCCTGGTATGTCGGCCTGTCGTCGAACTACGTAGAAGCAATCACTGACTGTCCTTCTAGGTACCAACGGCTCCCAATTCTTCGTTACCACCGTTCCCACTCCCCATCTTGACGGGAAGCACGTTGTCTTTGGTGAAGTCCTCGGCGGCAAGAGCATCATTCGCACCATTGAAAACACACCCTGTGGCTCCAACGACAAACCCAACAAAGACTGCACCATCGTTGACTGTGGTGAACTCACTGGCGACGAGTATGAAAAGGCCGCCGAGAAGGTCCCCGACAGCACTGGAGACCCATACGAAGACTTCCCCGAAGACCAGGGTGAGGACATCCCTGGACTCGAGATTGTCAAGATTGTCAACGACTTGAAGACCAGAGGAACCGACGCTTTCAAGAGGGGAGATGTTGCTCTTGGTCTTGCAAAGTACCAGAAGGGTCTGAGATACCTGCACGAATACCCCGAAGCTCTCGAGAATGACCCACCAGAGCTTGGCCCTGCTTTGGCCTCGCTCAGAATTGCTCTTCACTCCAACAGCGCTCTCCTGCAGTTGAAGCTCAACGACTTTGCCGATGCTGAGAAGTCTGCCACCAACGCCATCGCAGTCCCTCAAATCAAGGCACCGGAAAAGGGCAAGGCTCTGTACCGCCGCGCTCTGGCAAGAAAGGGCCTGAAGAACGAGGAGGATGCTGTTGCCGATTTAGAAGAGGCCCTTAACTTCGTGCCCGAGGACGCCGCGGTCAAGAACGAGCTCGCTGCAGTCAAGAAGGCCGCCACAGACAGGGCAAAGAAGGAAAAGGCTGCCTACAGCAAGTTCTTCGCATAAAGAACACACGACATTACGACTATCAAACGTTTACAAAAGCAAGTCATGGGGGATGCTTTTGTGCATCATGGAAAAGGAAATACAAAAGGGAGTCTATGGCAGCATAGCGATATCTCCTTGGACAATACCTTATTCCACAAATCAATGTGCATCTTTATAGCTACCTCTTACCAGTATCGGCATAAGGGGAGAACAAGATCAGGGATCGAATTATATAGCATCCCAGAGTTGATCTTGAGTAACGATGCACATCTCTCAAAGATCGATTCTCAGTCTTGTACTTCTTTTGTGCTTCAATCTTCTTGTGCAAATCTGAATCGTTCATCTCTGTCAGCTCCGTGTCAACAACCTGGTCAGCTTTCGATTCTGTTTACCTAACCATGCCGAAGTCGCGACCACGTCAATGCGCAATAACCACAGCTCATGGTGGATCTCACTGCTCGCATCGACCAAACTCTCCAAAACCTGGCTGACGGCCCAGCTCTAGATATGATCCTTGACTCGGGCACACCGGGCCGGCAATTGATGGCACAGAAGCTGCACAGCGCTAAAAGGCAAAAGATACAGCAAGTCCCGAACATCGGGTTCGGTTGCTGCTCCCCTATCTCGAAGCGCCTCTTAAATTCAAGTGTAATCAACCGTTCTCTGGCAACCGGTTTGCGGCGTGAAGGGGCGGCTTTTGCTGTGCCTCTGTTTTATTTCCACTCGTTCGCTCGCTTATGTAGCTGTCTTGGATGATCTCCATTGGCTTGCCGTCCGCGGGGAATTTGTGGCTTCTCAGGAAGAGCTCTCTAGCTATCTTTTGCATGACATCGCTGCTTCTTCNNCTTCTTCTTCGATAAAGTCAGATAAGCGTGGCACCGCATGGTTGGTTACAGCATGAGCGATTCGCGAAAAGCAGTCTGTGGTAGCTTTTTGCAGGAACAAAAGCATCATCATGTTCGCGACCACAAGTCGTGCACATGGTGTCACGAGGCAGGAGCGTGGAGAAACAAGTCTACAGATCAGCTGTCANNAAACCAATGGAACCATTGCTCCATCGCTGTCAATCCAGCCGCATCTGGATCTGTGCGGCCATCCGCNTTTCCAATTTCCGGGAAACCTCTGCCAAAACCGCCGAGGATGGGCATCTTGACGACCTTTTGACGTTCCAAACACAACCAATGGAGTCGCCGCTCTCCCCACGTTCCATGGCACNNAGTGGTTGGTTCGCGACACCACTGCATGCTGTGACGTTTCTTTCCTCATCTCTTTCCTCTCTCTCCTTGACCGAACATGCCAACTGCTTCTGGAAGCTCCAGCAGCCAAAGGATCTCACACACCTCTGCTTGACAATCGATAAACCCGTGCGATGCCAAGCGAACTAAGGTTTATGTCCTGCCAAATGTGGCGCTTTAGTATGCCGGCGAGAGAAACGACCCTCCTCTCCCTTATCGGCGCGTTTGCTGGTAAGCAATGAGCCTTGAAGACACCCCCACTCTCCGATAAAACCCTTAGCGGAGCCGTGGATCTCATTATTCAGTGCTACCATCGAATTGCCAATGCTACGGTAGTGTTTGTCTTTCTCTCTTTTCCTTTCCATTCCTGTTTTTCCTATCAGGCAGAGAAGTTTGTTTTTTCTTCTTTCTCGTGTTTTCCAGTCACACACTCCTTTTACACTTCAAGCCTCTGGAAACGCTTGTCTTGGTTTATACTGGCGTCGAGATCGCTTCGAAGGATTTTATGTTTCAGCACTCTCTGACGCGCTTCGAAAGACACACCCCGGAGGCCCTCCGACTCGTCCGAGTCAGCCAGCCCACACCCCCTTCTGTTCCGGACCTTCCCATGCCGTCATAGGTATTCAGCAGTGATTCTCTTTGCTCATTCTTACTGATATATATTTAGAAGGATGACTGCAAAAATCCTTACAAGCGCTGCACATGCACGAGGTCCATTTGTTTCCCATACAAATTTCACTTCACATTCCACGCACATTGGCCAGAACGAGCAATATACATCCAGACCGGTTTACCACAGGGCTAGGACAACGCCTAACGAACTGTTGCGCGAAATGCAAGGACTTCAAATAAGAACGCCGGCAAACGGTGGCAGCTACAAGATCACAACCGAAACATCAAAGAATGGATCAGAAGATCAAGAAATGCTCACTCCTCCATCTACACCTGCGCGAGCAAAGCTCAGTGACCAGTTTCCTTTTTCTCGGCGCTCACTGGATGCTGCTCGCTCTCATGTATCGAAACTCGATTTTACTCCAGACTTGTCAAAAGCACAGTTGCTAGGCGAAGGCGTGTGGAGTAAGGTGTACAGCGTTCCTGCTTTACCTACCCAAAGCCAGCATGGACGTCCTTTAACTCCACCATCAACACCACATAAGAGCAGCTTTGCATCACCCCAGCAGTATGCAATCAAAACCGCATCACGTTCGGATGCAGCCGCAGTCTTCCAGGCCGAAGCACAAATACTCACACACGTTCAAAGCTATGATTCAAGTTCTGACTTCGTGGTCCCTTTCCTCGGTCTCTGCACGGGTACCTCATCGCCTTCTCTTGTCTTCCAGTGTGCAGATGCCGGAACTCTAGAAACTCTTCTCGAGTCCTCATCAGACCTTCCTCTGTCTTCGGTCTTGGACCTTTTCCTCCATACCCTTCAACAACTAACCTATGGTCTCTACTTCCTACACAAGACAACGAATACCATCCATGCCGACATCAAACCCGCAAACATATTGCTTTCCTCAACCTCTTCTTCTCTGCCAACAGCCCGCTACGCAGACTTCAGCACAAGTTTCGTAGCCCACACAACACCATCTTCACATTCAGGCGGCGGCACTTACTCCTTCATGGCTCCTGAACAACTCTCCCGCGACTCTGAACTCTCTACACCGACATACGCCTCTGACATTTATTCTCTGGGCATCACTCTGCTTTCTCTGCTTTGCGGCGGCAACCCATTCGCTTCTCTTCTGAACAACGGGTTCCGTCTGAGGGAAGCGGTAAAGATGGGTGATGCGATGAGTTGGGCTATGCAAGAACCTGCCTACGAAACTAGAGTTGAGCAATTGCAAAAGTTGTGGCAGGAAAGAGGTGGTCAAGGCAATATTCTAAGTCTTGTGGCTTGTGCGTTGAGGAAGAAGAGGGAGGATAGAGCTGATGCTGGGGCTTGGTGTAGGAAAGTCGATGCTGCGGTTGCAAAGTTGAGTAAGGCGGAGACGGTTGGTCTGGGCATCAGATGTTAGAGATGGGATTTGCATATTGGGATTAGGATATGACTGGACATCTTGGAGTCACGGGTTTTTTTCTTCTTGAACAGATGGCGTTGCTTTGGCTTTTCTTCTTTCTTTTCTTTTCTCCATTTCACATCTAGGCACGATACCCCTCGGCATATTTTGGGATACAACAGGATCATATAGGTCAGGCTATATGGGATCAACAGAACCATAACAAATGATTATTCATCGCTATCGTACAACCACCATCAAAGGCACAAAAGCGGTCTCGCCATCTCACCACTTGTTATCCGATGGTGCTGAATCACCACAGTAGATCTCTCTCGCCATCTTGTGTACTGGCAAGATGCAATCCGAAAACATCAAAGTCATGAACCTGGCTAAGTCGGTCTTGCCTTGAACCGTGTCAAATGAAAGTAGAAGATCAATTTGCAGGTTCTTCTCTCGATCTGGATCTTGGTCCTGCCACACCTTGGGGGTGTCAAGCGACAGCAAAACTAGGTGTCTTTTGTCCTCATCGTTCAGTTGATTGTCAGATGCCATGTCGTCGCTGCCGAGGATTAGATCGAAGTCTCCGTTGGTGAGATGTTCTTCTCTTCACTATTATTGGAAAGAGCAACCCTTCACACTTGTCGAACACCCAGGTCCCTTGAGAAGATCCATGGATTCATATTGCAGGACGTACCAAATACCAGAGCCTAGACGGCCCCTTTCTACACAATAGTATCTGAGTTCCTCCAGGCAGGTTCGACCTTGATCGCAGGTGTTTTCACTATACACTTGCCTTCTAGCCATCTAGCCAACTTCACCGAAGGTACATCTACAAGCCGTGTAAACAGATCAGCCATCCACACGATGACGATGGTGACCACCACAGCGGACACCAAAAATGCGGTCTCCTTCTTTAGATGTGTGTCTGTGCCAATGAAATTCCAGAGAGCGTCGAGTAGACTGTAATGCAGAGTGTGTATAACAACACCATGGACCAGATACAGCGAGAAGGAAATCTTGTCCAAGTACTGAGAAATGCGTGTTGTAAAGATACACTGCAGGAGGCCAAAATTGGCTGTTGACCAGACCAGCAGTAGAGAGCCCCAATTGCACCAGTATCTTTGTGGTTGCGTGACGTGCTCGGGTATCAGAGACCAGAGCATTGCCCAGCCAGGCGCGTGTTCATAGTCTTGATTGGGTTGGCCGCCCAGATAGAGACCACAGATGAAACCCAGGATGCACAAAGCAGAATATAGTTTACCAGTCTTGGCGACTGAGAAGATGTCGTTTGTTGATGCAGCGAGTGTGCTTTGACGAACAGCCAATTCAGCCAACATACAGCCGCCGTAGAAGAGAATCATCGGCCAGTAATCTGCTTGATGGGCCCAGAGCATCAAAAGTGACAGACTCAACAAGCGAAACCGTGTCCGCAAGCGGCAAAGTCCAAGTTGTGTGACATACAACATGATAGAAGCTCTNCTAGAAGACGCTGATTAGTTCGATTCTTCTCCATAGCCCGAAGAAGTCAGACTTACATATTCGATAGCGATGGTCCACAGATGCGGATCAATATACATCTCATCATCTGTAAACGGATTCGCGAATTTGAAAAAAGCAATCGCCCACAACCACACTTGCTCCGTAAAAGTCTCGAATCTCGCAGCATGTCTCTCACGATGAAATGCCAACCTCGACTCATCAACAGCAAGCTCTCTAGTCACCTCATAAATCCCCACCCTCAAAGCCACCAAAATCACCAAAGTCGAGCACAGACAAGGAACATACAATCTAATCCACCTTCTCAACAAACTCGATGACAATCCCTCTCCTAGCTTTTTCATCTCCTCGTTTATCATCTGTTTTGCAGCCTTGTAGCTCAATGCAAAACCCGACAACACAAAGAAAATGCTGACCATAAAGTTGCCATTGTAGAAGAAGCGGATTAGTGGTAAGTGCAGAATACCCCGCTTGCCGTCAAAAGTCCACGCTGTGTCGACATCGTGGGTCGAGTATGCGAGATGGAAGACGAATACCAGAAATGCAGCGATGCCACGCATGCCATCCAGCCATGCCGTAGGATGCACAGCTATCAATGTCCGATCCGCGACTGTGTACTTGTCGCCTTGTAAAGATGCAGGAAGCAGGAAACGGAGAATTTGCTTTGTGGTCCGAATAGTCGACTCTTTGGATACAAGAGTGAGTTTGTAGGATAGATTTGGTCTTGTGCTGAACGGTCGTGGTGTTGCATTTTCGGTATCTGGTGTCAGTTCTGACATGAGCCTCTGTTGCTCGTCCATATTGAGAGATATATTAGGAGGACAAGCGGGAGCAAGAAAAGTGCGACGGACAGACAGATTGATATGAATCTATACATACCGATACTCACCGAGCAAATAAATCCTTCGACCGTCCACAATTAGTCTATCGATAATAAAGGCGTTCTGGAGCTGAAAAACGTTGGCTGAAGCTGACAAACGTTGGATTTCAGGAGCACTCTTCAATTGCTCATATGCCATTTGCAGGGACTTCTTGTCTGCATACCCCGCTCTATCTCAAAAACACTTGACAACATTCCAGAGATGTATCCCGCTAACTGCAGCCCATGTATATAGTCTCCATCCATAGCCTCCACCAACCACTCCCTCACTAGCGAAGCCCCTGAACGACATTCCTATCAAAGCCACTCTGACCAAGACGTCGCATACATCTATCAAGCCCTCAAACCCAAACAGATAGGTGTCAGCAACAAAGACTCTAGTCACAGTATTCCTGTATAAGTTTCCGAGCCGGATAGAATCTCCATGCGGGAATATTGTAGGCAAGTTCTTGGTCAGTTGTCGAGCTGCCATCTCAGTGTAGCTTCCATCATCGCTGAAACCAGACAGAATGAAATTGTCCAAATGTGATAGCGGCAACTTGCGAGTATCCTGCACACTTGCTCTATCCTTGATATCAGTCGCAGAGTCAGGATTTGCCGAGGCCGGAGGTGCAGAGCGCAAGTTCTGAAGCAAGTGCCAGCGGTATTGGTCCAAGACGCCACCTTTGCATTTAGCAGTAGTGGATTGTTTTGAAGAAGAAAGGAGTAGATGCAAGTGCTCAGCATTCTCGATAACACAAGTGCGGTTGTTGGGATCATTGTGCAGGCTTTCGGACAGCAAGGCGTTTGTAGTATGCGAGTAATGTGCAAATCGCGTATAGAAGGCTGGTGTGAGGATTCGTAGTGTCAGCTCCGTGGGAGGTTGATCTTTGGCCAGGTGCTTGGAGGTCAAGGTGGTGGAAGTTCCGAGTCCGCCTGCTGGTACGTAGGTCAGCCGCACAGGCTCAGCCGCAGTGTCGACTAGATAGCTCAGGTAGGCAAGAAAGAAAGCTTCCAAAATGGCTTCGGAAGAGGTGTGCGTGCGACCAATACTCGAAGCCAAAACTTCAGGCCGAAACCAGACGTGGAGTTTGCGCTTGAAGTATAGTTTATATGCTTGTGTGATGATTCGAGGAAATGTGAGGAAGCCAACCCAGAACCAGGAGGCCAGCAACCTCAAAGTCTGAGAGGTGCTCATGGTTGTCGGGTCCATGTGATCACCATCTGAGTACACCCGGGCGACAAGTTTGGCATGGGCCTGTGAGGAATTAAGGACGACAGTATTGTCCAGGACTTTGGAGCCAGATTTTAAAGCAGCGACTGGGTCGGCTGCTGTAAGCGAATAAGTGCCTTTGCGTGAGTTGAATGGCGAGACGTGAAAATCTTTGTTCCAGGCATTTGTAAACTTTGTAGCTTTTGCAGGTGCTTCAAAGCCATCAGGGACCGAGTCGTCAGTAGCCTTCCCCCCGGCTTTCAGAAGATACAAGCGGCGTTCTCCAAAAGTGTTGTTTACTTCCAGCACCATCATAGTGAGGTGTCTCGAAGCATCGTAAATATACCAGAACGATACTGGATTGAACGAGTAGCCCAAGAATTTTGGTGCTGTGACAAGGTAGGCAAAAGACCAGGCTTCGTCAGAAATGCCNCTGTTCTTAGTCAGCTTCTGGACCTTGGGCTCTTTGCAATTGGCCTGACATACCTCTCCACGAAGGTAGCATCTCAGACGCGCTTCAAGACCACACTCTTCTCCACCTCGATACAAATAGTCCGCAGCATTAACATTGAACCATCCTTTGCGTCTCTGACTCGGCAGCAGTAGTTCCAGATTGGTGGACAGCATCGACCCAGCACAACCTTTGAAGTTTACAGGTACTCCAACAGAAAAGTACGAGTATGCAAAAGAATGCTTTTGGGGAAACATTCGCGAATGCGTAGTGCGTCCGGGTAGCAGCAAAGGCGGTATCAACTGCTCAACTGTTGATTCGTGCTGTTGCTCTGGGATGGTTTGGCATGATTCTTGTCCTCTCCAGGCAATCAGACCAGCAAAGATCAACAGTAGTATGAGGAAGGCAAAGACTTGAAGTTCCACGAGTCGTGTTTCCAGTACCCATTGTGGAAGCTTCAGCCCATCTATCCCATAGTAGTACAATCCAATCGCTAGGAAGATAGTAATGTCCGTGACAGTTGTTGAGGGTTGACTTCTCAATAGCCATAGTGGTTGTGTGAGCGCATCAAAGAGTGGTTGGATCGGGTCTATGAGAAAGACACGTGCGAGCGATAACAACACAACGAACACAGAGAATGCATATCGGCGGAATACATCATTGCCGCTGTTGATTTGTACTCCCATTCCGTATAGATACGGTGGTATGGCAGAGTCAAGGTGGTCGCATTGTCAATAAATCGGGTGGTTGGGCGATCGTGAAGCCTGAAAGCGCAGAGCCGCATCGGAAGCAACGGCAGTGTCAATGACGACGTCTCGCGAGTCGCGACACGAGATTTATTCTATCCCACTTCCAACTTCCAAGCACTTATATCTGCGTTGTCAACAATATCAAATCTCCTGCTAGAATCAGCATTCAGGATCAAGATCGTGATCACTGAGAGGCTGTAGGTCATCCTCATCTCAACGGACAATCATAAGTTCCTGGTACCATTGTGCATTTTTATATCACTCTTAGGAGGGACGATGCTTGATTCAGTGTGTCTTCAACAAAAGATTGCACACCGGGTTGCATCTTTTGCGCGCGGCATGACTGTTAGAAGCTATTAAGAGTCGTGATTTCACCAGCTCTCTTTAGATTGGATCCTTTCCCAGTAAGCATTTTGCATTTATATGGCTGCATTGTAACAGTATCTTGCAGACGAAGAGGACAAAACAGTCGTGACTGATGGTCTATACAACTATCTATACTCCAAGTTCAAGCGAGCACTATATCAGCCTCATTGTTAAGTGGATATTGATCCTCCTGCAAATTCCGAAGCTTCTCCTTCTTGTTCCACGGGATCTTTCCATTGGCACCTCCGGTATAAGTCTCCATGCCACCACAGCGACCTTGCATTCGCTCTTGGACCAGTTCCAATAGCTTTCGCGGCGCTGGTCTTTGAGTCGAGTGATATCTCATGCATTGCTTTACAAGTCCTATCAACTCGGCACTGTAGTTGCAATTGCGATGTTGAAAGCATTGATCCTTGAGTTCTCGGCGAGTGAAGTCGTCGAAGTGAAGTTCGGTACTGTGAGGAGCATTGGATGGCCCTGAACGCCAATCGGTCTCGCTGTAAGACAGAGATGTTAGTGGGCTCACAGAATATGACACAGATGAGCAACCCACGGCAGCCAAACAGCAATACGCATCATGCAAGCGATGAGCATGCCGATTTGCCATACATTGGTTTTGTGCGTCACTTTCAAGCCCGGTACTTCGTATCGTAGCTCTCCAGTCACTGGATCGTGTCTCCCTAAGGCGAGTTCCTGAACAACTGTTAGCTAGTGGCCATGGAGGAGGCATTGTCTGTCCCTTGGTTTTACCGGAGGTGCGAATTCTTTCTGCATTGCTTCTTCATAATTGACAAGTCGGCTTTTTACCAAGTTGTCGATGTGCCGCGAAGAACCAAAGTCGGACAGCTAGGAAGGTATGTTAGCACAATGTCTCGGCTTAGCACTGCTAATCGCGAACTTACCTTGGGGACAGGCCATATCTTGAATCTGTTGGGGTCGTTCTCTCCTAAGAAGACTGTNNAGTGGAATGGTTAGTGCAAGTCCAGATGCTGCTAGATACGGANGAAAACTTACTATTGGTAGGACACAAGTCTCCATGCAAAACATTCGCTCTTTCCATAGCCACAGCACACTTCGCCATTGCCTCAAATACCATCCATAAAAATCCCTCATGGAACGGTACGCTGTGAGCGCGAGTTGCGTGTCTTCTACGATGTATGTGGCCACCTGGACTCTTTACTTTTGTCACTCTGTACGTTGTCTTGACTTCGAGTTGGGCTCGGATCTGTGTATCCACGTCACCATGAGGACAGTATTCGAAGTACAGCTTATATCTAGGTATCCTGTAAGTTACAGACTTTCCCGCCATGAGATTGCGGCGTTGCGGAACACCTCCCAAGGTCTGATCTCCCAATAATGGATCCGGGTAGGACTCGATGTTGCCGTTCGCATCGTATCTGAAAGGATCGTGCATGCTGCCATAGCCAAGGCATCTGGTAACATATTGTCCGTCTCCAGGATTTGCAGCTTCCAGTTGGTCGTATACCTCATTCCCAATCATGGCTTCTCGTGGTTCGCCTCCGATGACTCCATCCTTCCACATGTTCGACATGGCCCAAGCCTCAGTCCCAGGAAAGATGTTCTTGACGATGACTCGGTCGACAAAGCGATTGTTAGTATCAACGCAACACCAGAGGTGTACTATGCCTTGCCCTCCTTCTCCAAGTGCTTCTTCTCGTCCAGCCGCATCACGAGAAGGTTGGATGGGCATCCACTGGCCTTGCTGCAACCTCAGGGCGGTTCTGGCTCTGCGTTCTGGGGCTCTGAAACGCCATCTCAAGAATTTTGAAGTCAATCTGTCTTGCACATTTTGTGCAAGGGCCGTATAGTACTGGTAATTGAGCCGTGAATCCATGGCGCAGGGTGTAACAATGGTATCGTCAAGAGCAAAGACCTGTACGTGGGAAGGTGATGCACACTACATCTTCACGTATTGTTTGCCGCATGCGGACACCGAAGCAGCCCACAGACTCAAGACGATTAAACAAAGAAGAAAGCGCGATCGATCATCATATCATACAATAGACAATAAGGCCATCACAAAAACGCAACAATCTTCGGATTGGAAGAATGTTCGCTGACACCTTATCGGTTTGTGAAATCAAAGGAGGGTGCCGCCACCCGATATTTTACTCAGCCATCTCTCACATCATCATCATCGCCTGAAACTGAGCCCCAGAAGAATGCACGATATCCTTTTAGATTGGATTGAGTCTGTGATAATGTAAATAACATGCGACTTCGCTGAATCCTTTAGCGATTGACCAAACACCGAAAGTAGATTACACCCTCAGATGGATATGAGTTCCAGTGCCAGGCGCCCATTCATCTTTCAGTCTTCCTTGCAGTCTCTCTTTCTTGTTCCAGGGAATATTCTTACCCACCCCATAGGTATCAAATCCACCGAGGTGGCCGGCCATCAATCGCCTAACTTCACCCAACAACTGCTTGGGAGTCGGTCTGTCTGCCTGATCATATTTCATACACGCTCGTACAAGTTTTCGCAAATCCTGACTATAGTTGGCCAAGGTGTGTTGAAAGTTGTTGATTTCTCTCTGAGTGGGGATATCGAATCGAAGCTGCTGTGCGGTTGGGGGATGAACGCGTTCAGTTTCTCTACATTCGTGATTCGGTTAGTATGAGTTCTCAGAGGAGATAAAATCAGTGCAGGGCNNGAGGACATACGGTAGTGTTGGCTCTAAGCGCATCATACAACAGATAATTAGACCGATGCTCCACACGTTCGTCTTGTTAGTGACATGCAAGTCGGGAACGGCCCATTCCGAGTTGTCANNGAATCCCTGGTAAGCTCCTGAGATGAGTGTTAGAGAGATTAGGTCACATAGAAGAGTGTTTGTTGGAACTACCGGGGGTGTGAAGTAAGGGTGCATTGCTTCCATGCTTCCCGTGAACCGACGTCTCGTAGCTTCATCGATGATGTGGGATGCTCCAAAATCGGCGAGCTGAGTTGTTTGTTAATACGAGTTTTGCTCCGACTCTAAAAACCTTTCTTGTGAGCTTACCTTGGGGATTGGCCAGATCTTGAATCTCTGAGGATCGCTGTTCGATAGCAAGACTNNAATTCAATGGTCAGTACTCTGTAGTGTCTGGGTAGATTATGGATATGGCCTACTGTTGCCTGTTTGGACATCAGCATGTACAATGTTGGACTGATCCATTGCTGCAGTGGCTTCTGCAAGCGCTTCGAAAGTCATCCAGATGAATCCTTCGTGGAAAGGTTTCCGAGCCAGCTTTTGTCGTTGGATGGCGTCACCCAAATCGCCAAAAGGGCAGTACTCGAAGTAGAGCCTGTAGCCCGCTATGCGTCTGTATGGGTATCTGCCACTCCATTGAAAATGGAGATGGGCATCTTAGTCTGCTTGTGGATTGGGACCGATAGGATCCTGCATCCCTCCGTAACCAAGACATTGAGTGACAAACTTCCCACTGCCTGGGTTTGAGTTCTCCAAGTTTTCGAATACCTCGTTGCCTAGCATGCACTCCCTAGGTTCGCCTCCAACTTCTCCATTGCGCCAGATCTCTTTGCGCCCCCAAGTAAACACTCCAGGATGCACCTGTTTCACAATTATTCGGTCTAGAATACGACCTTGGCCGTCAATACAGCACCAGAGATGTACTATCCCCATGCCACCTTCGCCGAGTGGTTGTTCTCCTTGCATATAGACGGGTTGCATGGGTAGCCATCTTCCGGCTCGTAGTCCGCGTGCTGCTCCTGGATGCTCAGGGGGCTCGAAGGTCCATCTCAAAAATCGATCAAGTAGGGTGTCTTTCGCACCATCGCTGAGGCTAGCATAGGCGCGCCTGTCGCGGTTTGGGCGCAAAGCTGCGGGAAGACGAGCTCTAGGCATATCGTAAGACTCCGAGTGATGGCAACCCACAGAAGGTGTAACGAGAGTGTATGTTCGCAGAGTTCACAGAGTTGTCGCGCTTCTACGGCATCAATCGAGCGCGTTCGGTTGCCAGTCCTTTTGCAAACGGAAGTTGCACAAAGGCGATCCCAAAGAGCACAATGGCTTGTGATCTCTTTGTCATGCTGAAGTCCATTGCGGCCTACACAACCTAGAGACTTCTCACATATGCGTCCAGCGCCACGGCATACGGATGGTCACATGTTGGATAATGAAACCTCCATACTGTTTGAAGCATAATAAATCTGAAGATTCGGTTCGGATTGTATAAAGTAGGTAGGTACTATGCTCCGAAATTGGAATGTGCGGTTGGCCGTCGTGCTTTCCAGAAGCAGCCTATTTCGCCAAGAAGCCCTGGAATGCTTTCTGGTCAATCACGACGTTGCCAACAGCTCTCAGCTTCTTCCTTCCTTCCTTTTGTCTTTCGAGCAACTTCCTTCTTCTACTGGTATCAGCAGCATGAAGCTTCGCCAGAACATCCTTTCGGAAAGGCTTGATGGTTTCACGAGCCACAATCCTTCTGCCAGCAACAGCTTGAATGACAATCTCAAACATTTGTCGGTCGACATGCTCTTTGAATTTGGTCACCCACTGCTTGCCGATGCGCTCGGCTTGACTGTGATGACAAACACGAGCAACTGCATCAACAGGGATTTTGTTGACGTGCAGTTGCAACTTGATGATGCTGGACTTGCGCCAGCCAGCGTCTTCGTAGTCAAGGGATGCATAACCCTTGGTCAAGCCCTTGAGCTTACCGAAGAAGTCATCTACGAGTTGCGCAAGAGGGAGTTCGTACTTCAGGATTACTTGTGTTGACGTGAAGAACGTGAGCTCGCTCTGTACCCCTCGGTTGCCTTCGCACAGCTCGATCACCTTGCCGAGATACTCTTCAGGCATAGTAATGGTAGCAAGGACAAAGGGCTCTTGAAGCTCCTGCACCTTTTGGTGGAGTGTGTCGGTTTCAGGAAAGTCGTTTGGATTCGACACAATCGTCTCCTTACCCTTGGGGTCGACGATCTTGAATGGTACAGATGGAGGAGTGATGATGATACTCGCACCATGCTCTTGTCGAAGACGGTCCTCAAAGACAGAGCAATGCAATGTGCCTAAGAAGCCGAGACGCCAGCCCGCACCTAGAGCTTCCGATGACTCTTTCTGAACATAGACACTACGGTCGTTGAGTACAATCTGGTTGATGCTGTCCTCCAGATGTTCGTAATTGCTTTGATCAACAGGAAAGGCAGCGACGAAAACCATAGGCTTGGGCTCCTCAAAGCCAGGCAGCATTTCTACAAGCTTCTCCGAGCCGACAGTGGTGTAGGTGTCACCGACTTTGGCGTCTTGCGAACGCTTCATTCCAGGATTGAAGTAGATGTAGCCGACCTGACCTGCACGCAAGACAGTCATGGGTGTTTGAAGGGGGTACATGATTCCGACCTCGCCGACATAGTATTTGATGCCAGTAGCGAAGGAAGTGACATGGTCACCAGGCTTGACCTGGCCTTGGAAGATGCGAACCAGCAGGATGACGCCCTTGTAGTTGTCATACCACGAGTCGACTAGGAGAAGACGTAGCGGCTTGTTTTCATCTCCTATGGGAGCGGGTATGTTCTCGACAACGCTGGGCAGTAATGCCTCGACGTTGATGCCAGACTTGGCCGAAACCAGAACTGCCTTGTTCGGGTCCAGCTCGAAAGTGTCCTTGATCTGTTCAAGTGCGCGCGGGGCGTCGGCCGTGGGTAGATCGATCTTGTTGATGACGGGGACAAGGGTGAGGCCTTGGGAGAAAGCGAGGTAGAAGTTGGCGACAGTCTGTGCTTGCACACCTTGACTCGCATCGACTACTAGGAGAGCNTGTGGAAGAGTGTCAGCGCGCGCTTTCTTGTCAAGGCTTTGGCTGGTGAGCAACGCACCTCCACCGCAACTGGCATAACTTCGTGAGACCTCTGCTCTAAAGTCGACGTGGCCAGGCGTGTCGACCAGGTGTAGCATGTAGTCCAAGCCCTTGTGGTTGTAGAGCATGGTACACGTCTGAGCCTTGACAGTGATGCCTCTTTCTCGCTCGACATCGAGTCTGTCCAAACTCTGAGCATTTCCACCTTTTTCAATGACACCAGTAATCTCCAGCAGACGGTCGCTCAATGTACTCTTTCCATGATCGACGTGGGCGACGATGCAGAAGTTGCGGAAGCGCTCTATGGGGATGGCGGCAATGCGTTTCTCGAGCTCGGATTGCAGCTTAGCGACCTGCGCCAGTCGGTGGGCTGTTGGGTGGATTGGGCGGACATGGCTGATCTTGGGCGCGCTGACTGTGACATTGCACGCTCCGAAGCGTCTAGGAAGGGCGCGAAAGAAGCATGCTTGCATCTGGTCCTACGGTCTGCCTGCCCAGGGAATGTCGAATAGTCGTGTGCTGAGAGCAATTTGACATTCTTGGTTGCGCTGCCTTCGACTTCGTTGCTCGGCCCGACGCTGCCCGACCTCTCCCTCACTGTCACCATCAATCCCACGACTCGCCAGCCATATCATTCGTACAGGTTCCTTGCGACACTCGCTAATCCATCAAACCGCTATCACATTCAGTTCTCTCCACCAGTAACATCTCCAAGTCTTTGCTCGTGTGCTCTTCTCGACATTGACGAGTCTCTGCATCGACAAACCAATCTTTTCTCTTCCACTGTCCACTACTCGATCAAAACATCCACAGCCGAAGAATAATTATACACCCATCATGCCGCCAGCAAAGAAGGAGTCAAAGGACAAGGACAAGAACACACACAAGCTTGCTCTGAAAGGTATCTTTCTGCCTTGTCACTATCAGACGCATCGTAAACTCACTATATTCAGGCTCCTCCAAAACTGTTACAGAATTTGTATCGCCATCAAGTCGACTTGAAATTATTCGAAGCTAACTTGACCTTAGTTCGAGTATTGCATCAATACAATCCTGTAAGATGACCATATGACAGAAACCAAAAGCCTTTTGCTGACTGTAGCAGGTNTTCAGCGTGGTGTCTACCCACCAGAGGACTTTACAGCGTATGCATTCATTCCCTACACTCACAATCTTCTGTTTCTCACAAAGTGCTCAGAGNTCAAGAAATATGGTCTTAACATGCTGGGTAAGGTGAAAACAAACATGGTTTATGAGCTCATGAGGCTAAAGTCCACCANNGTCTCCCAGGATGACCAGGTCAAAGCATACATCAAGAAGATCATGTCACAATTGAACAAATGGATGCTCAAGTCAAAGATTTCGAAACTCATCATCGTCATCACCAGCAAAGAGACTGGCGAGCCTGTCGAGAGATGGCAATTTGACGTCGGTAACACCCTGTCCTCATCACTTACTACCAGCGACTGATTGAGTTTAGNNGTCCAAATATTCGGCAAGGATTCTAAGAAGAAGAGCTCAAGCAAGACCGTCGATGAGAATGCTGCCAGGTATGAGAGATGGTCCCTCTGGTTTGTGGAAATACTGACCGGGGATTCCCNNAGCGCAACTGAGCAAGCACCTGAGAAGACCGACCAAGACGTGCAACAGGAGATACAATCCATCTTCCGTCAAATCACAGCTTCTGTCACCTTCTTACCCATGCTCGATGGCAACTGCACATTCAATGTACTGGTCTATGCCGATCAAGACTCAGAGGTGCCATTGGAGTGGGGCGACAGCGATGCCAAAGACATCCAAGACGCTGAGAAGGTGCAACTACGCAGCTTCTCCACCAACAACCACAAAGTCGATACCCTTGTGAGCTACAGGTATGCATTCTTGTCACTGAGGCGGTCACATGTCTTGCTTTGTACCTATATCTGACAATGCTTGCAAACAGATTGGCCGAGTGAGACGTTGAGAAGAGGAGACTTTCACACATACATTAAAAGCAAGGTTACGGCAGCTTCGAGCGTTGAGGGTATCTCGAACAACAACCAGGATGCCGGTTCCTCCACTCCAAAAGGCATATCCAGACGGTTGAGATTTTCGAGACAGTCCGAAAGCAAATTCCGTAGAGTCGAGCGTTGAGAGCTTCCCCACGCAAAACTGGTATGCCAGTTATGCTGTTCGATATTTCTATCAAACAAAACAGCAGACACTCAAAATGACAATTATAACTCTGCCCCTGAAAGCAAGACCCTTCCTGTCAAGCCTTTCGTAACTGCACGCGAGGCCTCAGCCACGCCATGTCCAAACAACAATCTCCACAGCCATGATACCAGCCCTTCAGCTTTCGACGCACAAAGAGTTTGACAACAACTAGACTGTGCACTAGACAGCTCTCTCGGCGCCATACACAGCTGCAAGCACGGGAAAGCCGCAAAGCATAAAGAGGTTTTACCTTCTCACACACACGGGTTGACGGGAGCGGATGGGAGCGAAAGGAAGAAAAAGGGCTGAGAGCGAGCTTCAGTCTCAACCTGCCTCTTGCCATGGAAGCCATGACTCAACCGAAGACAAGCGGCTGAACGCAAAGCAATGATATCGCAACAAGGTTGTAATTATATGCTGTTCAGCTACTCTCTGTGCGTTGGGTTTTCAGCTGTGCCTACTCTTTTTTCTTCACTCCGACCTCGTCGCGAGATGCACGAGCATCCATGCACACGAAAAATGGGACCGTGTGCATCAATAGCTGGTGGAGTGGAGTCTTTTCAACCCATCATGCACTTTTTCCTCACTATCGAGTACTTCTACATGTCTCTTATTGCTACAGCATTGTTTCAATAAACCCAATTGTGTGGGAATAATCGCGATATATGATGGTTCATCGATACAAGAAGATCATCAACAAAAAGGCATGAGGCGAAACAGCCGGGCGCAAGAAAGCACAGAGCCCGCGCGAGATCATCGCGTGGGCTACAATTACACAAATTGTGATGGTGGCATTTTCTGGGGTTTGAGATGAGAATGGCGAGATTCCCAGCCTCTCTATATAACAGAAGAACGATTGATCTTATGAATGCGTTCGCATACAACAGTTTTGAATACTGGCAGCGTGGCCTTATCGAAACGTCGAAGCCGAACGGTGGATAGGAAGCGCAAAAACCGTGAGGAGGAATAGTGGTGAGGAATAGCCCGCCACGGCATCATGCACAGACTATGAGATGCAACTCAAAATAGCCAATTGAACCTTGGCCATGTTTAGTGTATTTTTGGGGCCTTCTGCCGTCAAAAAGGAAAAGCCTGTTCCTTGGACCTGCATAAGTATTGCAGTACCAATACTCGAACTTCTCGTCATCAACAAAGAAGTTCTGACGGCAGCTCGGAACCAAGCAAAATGCTGTCGAGAAACCCCAAGCCATGAAGAGCTCTTGATCAATTCTGCTAGACGGTTTTCAACGTGCACCCAGCCTCGTGTATAAAACGATCGGCCGGGCCGTTGTGAGCAAATGCCAAGTGCACGGGTGCGCCGGAGAACACCTATCGACTCGGAGGAGGCAGCTGAGCAAAAACACGTCTGAGACATCGACGAGACTCGTCTCGTCATAATCTACACCCAGTAAGCCGAGCGGCCACGGCGCGGCCTAGCATCTTATCAGTGTTCTTCGACGTGGCGAAGAAGGTAAAAGGAACAGCGTTTGTGTTTAGCGACGGGAACAAACCAAAGATGCCAGCGCGCTTGCAATCAAGTTTCGGGATGCATGTGCCATCGCGTGAGGCACCATCCGCACTACTCTGTTTTTGCTGGCTCACCTGCAGGTTTCCGTTGAGTAGATGGTTCGCTAAAGACTCCTGCCTTGCAGACAGTCAATCTCGAGAACCCCTGCAAAATGACGAATTTCCACATCGAGTCGCATGTCGAGCGCAGCTGCGTGGTGAGACCACGACATCCCCACGAGGGCGGTCTTTGCTTCGGGCTCTCCGTCGACTCGAAATAGTCAGCACCCGATAGCGTTACACCTCCGCACTGGAAGCTCGAAGATCAGCGAGATGTGAATCAATGATCTTCGTATGGCCGGTCCTTCAGCTCGACGTGGAGAACCTCGGCCGTTGGCGGCACAGAGTTGAGAGGATGCTGCTTGGTTGTATCGAGAAAAGCAGTTGAGCGGCAGAGCAGACTCTCGCCCACTTCTCACCGGACCATTGCCGATGTCAGGTACGCACCACGGGTGATAAGGTTAAGACAGGCAACCGATGTGCATGACCGTTAGCGTCGCCTCGGCCGCCAAAATAGGACAAGACTTTTCACGCTATGCCAGACCGTGCTGGATCAAACCCGTTTTGAGATGTTCTGGCTCGGCCATGTCTGGCTTGGCCTCAGCAGCTGCTGGCTTTCTACACTATCAAATCCAATCTGTTGGCGCTGTCGTCCCGGACTACTTCTTAGTCGTCCTGCTGCCGTCCTGAACCACGCCTCCCTTCCGCTTCTCTTTTTCTCTTCCAACTAAACACAATCACTCTACATCTCATCACGACATCCCGAGGTCTTTACTGATCCTCATCCTCTCGCTCCTAGCTTGTGACATAATAACAGTCCAAGCATTACAACAACTCTATACCCAGGACGAGCAGTTTATTGAAGCATTCGGCTTGGAATTCAATCTACTGGAAATTGATTAGGAAGCTTGGCTATAGCCAGCACTACTTTCATCTCTGAACATTATATCCGTTCACCACAATGGGTTTCAAATCATATCTTGCCCCAGGCCGCAAGGCTGACAAGAAGGGCTCGAATGACACTGAACTCAACGAGAAGGCTCCGGCCACTGGCACATCAACACCTCATCTGGCTCCTCCTTCGGGACCAGTGTCTGGCGCAGCAACACCCTTTGGATCAAGGCCAGCATCTGTGTTCCCTGAAGGCGATTTCCGTAACCATGCAAGAGAGGAGATTCTGGACATCAAGTGTGACATGATGGTCAACAACCTCTACTCACAACAGATGGAACTGCTCTGGACTGCTGGTGGACACGATGAGGGTATCCTGCTGAAGAAGTCAAGAGGAAAGTACGCATGCTGTCCTTCAGATCTCGAGAGCGAGCCCATTGGCTTCTTCAAGGCCATCGAGACTCTCAACGTCAGAGTGAGTAGACTGCATAATCCCGTCTTGCCTGTCTTTTCTAACTGTGTTTCCAGANGTGCCATGACCGTCAACACCCGCGTCATCAAGCTGTTCCTCCACGGCAACGACAGCCCTTTCATCCCCTTGAAGAATGGCCTCCGTCTTCAAGTCCTCCCCAACATCTCATACCTGCCCCGATGCGCCAAGCATCAGTTCGCCGCTTTCATCGCCGACCGTGGTATCCTAGTCGTCTGGGACGATGACCCGAGACATCTGATCAAGCGTGCCCAGGACATCGAGAATGCTCTCATGAAGATGATCTGGCGTCAGGAGGGAGAAGAGGAGGAAGTCTCCGAGAAGGAGAAGACAGCCGAGATCAACATTGATGAAATCAGTGTCGATAGCGAAGAGGCCGGTGGCCTCGAGAAGCCTCGCCGCATTGTCCTCACTCAAGCCATCACTGGTGCCATGACGCTTGCCCTGTTGCTCACGGTCATGGGTACTGGTTGGCGTAAGGTTGCTCTGGAGGTCGCCACCGATGGCAGCTACCTTCGTATCGCCTTCGTTCTGTGCATCATCCCCCAGATGTGGCTCTCGCTCTTCTTCTACCAAGCTGTCGTCAACAACCTTGCTCAGCTGTTTGGTCCCATCTCTCAACTGGCCTCAAACACCAAGTTCTACTCGGGTGTCGCCCCGAAACGTCTCAATGCCGATCTCACCACTCTTCCTCACATTACCATCCAATGTCCCGTCTACAAGGAAGGTCTCCAGGCTGTCATTGAACCCACGGTCCACTCTATCAAGGCGGCTATCTCCACCTACGAGATGCAGGGCGGTACTGCCAACATCTTTGTCAACGACGACGGAATGCAGCTGATCTCTGAGGAGGAGGCCCGCGCCCGCCAGGACTTTTATGATGAGCACAACATCGGATGGGTCGCTCGTCCTCGCCACGACCCCAAGGGTGAACACGGTGAAGCCTTTACTCGTCGCGGAAAGTTCAAGAAGGCCTCGAACATGAACTACGCTCTCTGGGTCAGCAACCGTATCGAAGACAAGATGAACGACACTCCCAAGCATGCCAACTGGACCAACGAAGACGAGGCCGAGATCTATGTCAAGGCACTCAACGAGGTCGTCGAGGAAGACGAAGGCCGCACTTGGGCCGATGGTAACATCCGTCTCGGTGATTACATTCTCCTGATCGATTCCGATACTCGTGTCCCTACCGACTGCTTGCTCGACGCCGCCAGTGAAATGCATCAGTCTCCTCAAGTCGCCATTCTCCAGTATTCTTCCGGTGTCATGAACGTCACCGACAGCTTCTTCGAGAAGGGTATTACTTTCTTCACCAACCTCATTTACACTCAGATCAAGTACGCTGTCGCCAGTGGAGATGTCGCTCCTTTCGTCGGTCACAACGCCATTCTCAGATGGTCCTCGGTTCAGAACATCGCCTACGACTGCAAGGACGACAACCGCGAAAAGTACTGGTCCGAGGAGACTGTCTCCGAAGATTTCGACATGGCTCTACGCCTGCAGAACGATGGCTACGTTGTCCGCATGGGTGGTTACACTGGTGATGGCTTCAAGGAAGGTGTCTCGCTTACAGTCTATGACGAACTCGCTCGTTGGGAAAAATATGCCTACGGCTGCAACGAGCTCCTGTTCCACCCTATCCGCTACTGGCCTACCCGTGGTCCTTTCACCAAGCTCTTCCGCAACTTCATCTGCTCTGCTATGCCTCTTCCTTCCAAGTTCACGATTATGGCCTACATCGGTACTTACTACGCCATCGGTAGTGCTTGGTTCTTGACTATTCTCAACTACTTCCTCATGGGATGGTACCTCGGCTACAACGACAAGTACTACCTTGATTCGTTCCAGATTTACCTCGCCATTCTCGTCGTCTTCTCCGCTCTCGGTAACTTGTCGCTGGCCGTTCTCCGCTATCGTACCGACGAGCAGGGTCTGCTTACCGCTCTCATCACCAACTTGATGTGGATCCCCATGATGATGCTGTTCCTCGGTGGTCTCTCGCTACACTTGTCGCAAGCTCTCTTGTCGCACATGTTTGGCATCGAAATGAACTGGGGCGCCACGAGCAAGGAAGCCGAAAATACGACCTTCTTCAAGGAAGTCGGCAAGGTCATCAAGAACTTCAAGTACACCTTCATCTTCTGCATCATCATGTCGCTCGGTATGATTGCTTGCGCGTGGATCGTGCCGTGGAACTGGCAGATCAGACAGTTCTTTGCCATCTGGCCGCTTGCCACCATCATCTTCTCTCACTTTTTCTTGCCCATTGCGCTTAACCCCAACCTCATGCTCTTCACGTGGTAGAGGGTTTTCCTTTTCTTCTCATCCTTCTTTCTCTTTTTACCTCATGTTATGACGGCACGCGATGCTCTCCTTGTCATCTACACCCCCCATTTCCTTTTTCTTTATTATATCACTTGTTATTGGAAACATTTGAGCGGTGGCGTTTGTGTTATTGCAAGAACCAAAACTCTCTCGTTTTTACTGAGATCATTACCTATAGACAGTCGTTTTTTTCTTAGCTATATACCAAAGAATCTTTCTTTTTAATATACAAAGTATTCATCTAATTCCTCCAACATTTTACTTGATTTCCTTGTCTTGGTTATGTGAAATCGATACGTTTGCATCTTTCTCGGCGAAGTTCACTATGAGCCTCTCGAATCAGCTTTCAGCTAAACTCCCTCGTATAGAAAATCAATAAAAGCCTTGAAATCTAGACCCTTGTTCCCAAGCCCCCGGTTTCCTTTTTTGTGACAAGGTATGTGTCCGTGGCTGGGAGGGGTCAGCAGGCGTCGAGGTTTGTAGGGCTTTCTTTGCGTTTTTCGGGGTTTGAGCGTTTGTGAGCAAAACGGCGAATTGTTTCAAAACGGTTCCATGGATCGGTATATATTTGGCGTTGAGTTTGGGTTTGGGAAACTGTTTGGGTAGGTGGCTGGCAATGACAGAAGGAGGGGTTTGGGGGAGAGTTTGGGGATCCGGATGGGACGGTATAGATGAGGTAACCTCAAGGTCGCTGGTTAGAATAAAAGTTCTTTTTGCAAGCTCGTGGCCAAAAATATGCAGAAGACAGGCAATCATGGATAGGACGAACTGCGATATACACAAAGCTAGTCACCATAGGTCAGCAGCAGTTGTTAACAAAAAACGATACCATTTGATTGCTCGACTCGCTGGATGTAGATGGTAAAGCAAACTCGGGTTCTTGATTTCAGGTACATTCGTGATAAGTCATCTCTAGCTAACGACAGTGTCGCTCCAGCTTGTCATGTAAGGCATAACCCTCTATCTCCTTTCTATCTCGTTGCTGTAAGAGCATTCACACTTCAGGAGCTGGAGGTGGAAGTAGAGGTCTCAGAGCGCTGAACAGCTCCGAATCTCTGGTTGCCCTGATCGAAGACAGCGTAGATTCCCCTGAGGACAACATCACCGAAGATGTCGAAGGTCATGTTGCCACGACTCTGGATGCCGCCGTAGGTCATGCCGTTTCCTGCATCGGCAAAGCCAATGGCATCCTTGTTGATGGTGAACTGGTGATCGCCGATGGCGACGGTGACAACAGGAAGAGCAGAAGCAGCAGTGTTGGTAGGGAAGATCCAACCTTGTTGGCTTGAATCGTACTTGGCTCCAGGGATGGCCTCGTAGATAGACTTGGCGAAAGAGTCGTCAACCAGTGCCAGAGTAGTGCCAGTGTCCATGATGGCGGTGTTGCTGCGACGGTGGATCTGCTTGCCGTTGACATGGGCAGATGTGGATGCAACGCTCCAGAAGCCTTGAGAGTTGTCGACAGGAGCCCAGTTGATGGACTGGCCGTTGGTGACGGAAGTGTCAATGTAGCCGAATGTGTAGAAGCTGTCTTCACCACTCTTGTTTGAAGAGAGGTAAGCGGTGAACAGCTCAGCATCCTTGGGANNCTGTAGACAAATGTCAGCAAAGTAGTACGATGCAGCAGTGGAAGTGAATATGTACATGTCGTCCTGGCTGATCATGTTCTCGACCGGAGTGTCGACGGGNGTGGGCTGGACTGTGTTGATGGAGCCCCAAGCCAAACCCAGAAGACCATCGCCAGCGCTCTGGACGAACTGAGCAGAGATCTGGTCGGCGACTTCAACGGCCTGGTTCTGGATTGCGAGACCGCCGACGGTGACAACATCAGTACCGACAGTACCGCTTGCCGACGACTGGTCTCCGTACGAGATCTGCCAAGTGCTGCCCTGAGAATCCTTCCAGGTGCTGCTCTTGGATGGGTCAAANATGGTGTGGCCAGCACGTTGGCCTTGAGTCTGAATGGTCTGATTGAGGTTGGTAGACCAGACNCCTGATCAGTTAGTTCCTGCATGAAAAGGAGCGATGCAAGGTAAGTCTCACCAGAGATCTGAAGAGCCCGTGTCGAAGTCGAGGGTCAGTGTCTGAGGAGGAGTGCCGATGGAAACTTGACAGAGATACTCAGAGTCGTTCTGCTGGTCTTCGGCAGAGACTTGGCCTTGATGACCAGTGCTGGGATCCTTCTTCATCAGGATGTGCTGCTTGACACGAGCCTTGCCGCCGATATGAACAGCGAACTTGCTGGCCAGAATGGGCTTGCCGAGTTGTTCGACCGCATTGCCGATGAAGTAAGGTCCATCAAGGGTGGGGACGAAGTTGTACTTTCTGAGCAGGTAGACGTAGGATTTGATACCAGAGCGCTGGTAGTTAGGGTTGTGGATGAGCTTGACGCGAGACAGGTTGTGCTTCATGCTGGATGCCATTTTGGTTTGTAGATAATGTGATATGGAGCGATGGATAGGAAGAAGGTTGATGATGGAATGATGGTGCAGGTTGATGGCAGACTTAAATGCAATCGATCATGTCTGTTGGCACCGAGCAGATGACCTTGGAAGGCACCATCCTGTTTCCACATCGATCCACTTGTTGGAAGCCGCATGTTCACCTGGTTGCCGATCCAAACAAGCAACGGCGATTGGGCAGTGCTTGATGAACACGAGACAAGCTTTTGAGTCGCTGATTGCCCCTGCATCCGCTGCTTGGAGAAGCTTTTGCTTGTCATGAAATAAGACATGACAAGCACGTCCTAGTCTATCAGCTCCTCCAGATGGATTACAGAGCGGACAAGGTGGCCTTCTTTGATAGTTTTCATACTGGAGAAGCTGTCCAAAGAACACGCAGCCCTCGATTTGCAGACAGAACAGGAAGGAGCGCCTGCAGATGTGGGGGTGGACTCCGGCACGGTCCCTGCCTCCCTTCTGCCGCAACCCGACAGCCAGCGTCGTCACCATGTGTTCCTTGTAGATGAGCTTCATTCATGTGCCTGTTTGACAGCCCTGGAGATGTCCTGAGAGTGTCCAGAATGGCTATCTACATCAGACAGGCGCGTGGTCGCCTTGTGTTGTTGTTGGGTGCTACGTCATAAATAGGCAGATGCTTCATCGCCAGCAGCGGCAGCAGGTCTAACGCACGTAATGTTTGACAGCAAGCAAGATTTGTGCATTCATGCACCAGGAATGATAATCGGATGATTGGACTCGTTCCAATCCTTATCTGTCGGCGTCACAGGTGCAGCTTGAGGGTGGCCAGTCAGATGATGAAACGGCACCCGTTGTCTTTGGTGCTCGTTTTTGCAATGTATGCATGATTAGCGACTAGATAGCTATTTACTACAAGTTCTTCCAGTCGAAATGACGACGTCTACCCTCATAAACTCCAATGAGTGGATGCAGGTCTGATAACGCCTCCCTGATAGTTGAAACCACAGTTGAATAGCGCCAACCCATGCAAGCTGAAAATCATGCTCGTGCAATGCAAAACAACAAAAGAAGTCCTTCGATCGAAAATGTGTGTGTTGCCACGGTCGTCATCAATATTCATGTCGATATGTGCAAGAGTCTCCTTTCTGGCATTGTCCCTTTTTGAAGTACTTGCACGGCACTGTGAAACGCTTGTCGGTGAACGGCGTTACCTTCTTTCCAGGCTTGCCGCCGCGGCGCATGTGGTCATTGTTGTTGTTATCACCGCCGCCTTCGCGCCAGCGACGACGCTCTTCGTTCTCAAATGGAGGCTGCTGGTTCTGCTGCTGTCCAGGGAATTGTCCCATGTTGGGCATGTTAAACCCAGCGCCAGGATAAGGGAATTGGTTGAAGTTAGCTCCCGGTCCACCGTTCTGACCCTGATTGAGCTGTGAAAACAGAGCTGCAAAAGCAGCTGGGCTTGGATCCATGACAGGCTGCTGTTGCTGCGTAGAAGCGAACATGTTCGGTGCTTGAGCCAGAGGGTTCAAGTTGGCAAAGATGCCAGCAAGATCCGGAGCCATGTTAGGCTGTTGGGGCTGTTGAACTGGCTGCTGAACGTGCATAGGCTGAGATTGCTGTTGCTGAGGTGCTGCCTGTGGTATGGACGCCAGAATGCGTTGGATCTCAGCCATCTGGTCTTGATTTTGGCTAGGTGCAGATGCCGGTGCTGAGGCTGGGGCGGGCTGAGCAGGTTGAGGTGGAGCTTGACCTTGCGGATTGATCAGGGCCAAGATCGCTGAGATATCAGGTGCAGCATTTGACTGTTGTGTCTGCACAGGCTGAATAGGTCCAGCAAGCTTTGCAATTCTCGAAGCAAGCGGCTCCTGGGTACCCAAAGCCCCGAACGCCTTTGTGGTGACTTCTTCGCCGTTGTAAGGCTCTGCTGGCTCTCGAGGACTGGGTGGGATGTCACTTGGGTCCGTGTAGAAGACCATCAAGGTGCTAGCTTCATACTGTTCACGCTTGGTGCGTTCTGCAGATTCTGGCTGGAGCTCACCACCAGCGTAGTGACTATAATTTCTCTTTCGCTCCTCCACATCTACCGAGCTGAAATCGGTCACTGCAAGAATCAGCTTTCTGGTCAACTCCGTCACATCTGCTATAGTCGACTTACGTGTTGGCATGACATATTCTCCAAGGTTCTCTTCGCCCGCAGCAGTGTCATCATCTTCATCAATATCCATCATGTCTTTGTGCTGCTTGAACATACGACCCTCGCCGCCAACATCGCTGACATCGCGAATCATGCTTGCATCGTGACCAAGTTCCTCCTCGGCGTCGTGATGGAAGATCCGGGTCTCGACAAGCTGACTGTCAGGCTTAAAAGTAACACGAAGCTTGCGCCTCTCTTCCTTGCGTAGACGTTTTGCCCGTTCTTCTGGCGTCTCAGGTGTTTGTTTCTCTTCTGCCTTGAGGGGACTAGGTTCCTTCTCCTTGCTTTTGTTCAAGTTTGCCATTGTTTCGGCAAAGGAAAAAGCAGGTTTGGCGGGTGCTGCAGGAGCTGCCTTCTTCTCGATAGATTTGCTATTGCGGGTCAGCATAAGTACGAGAGCGATGGTTGCCAAGACTTACATAGCAGCGGCCACCACAGAGGGTGTCGCGGACTTGGTGACCGCCTTCTTGACGCCAGCGCCCGTAGAGGCAGAAATGACTGACTTGGTGACAACGGGTTTTGCTTTGACAGTGGCGCCGACGACAGGTTTTGCTGCTGCAGCAGTAGGCTTTGGATTACTGCCAACGGGGAGCACACGCTTGAGCATAGATGTCTTCGCAGCGGCATTGCCAGTTGTGGGTGCCACAGACACTCTCTTTGAGGCTTGGTCAGAAGATGCACTGCCAGGAGCAGCACGCTTGACACCAGCAACAGGCTCGGGAGTAGGTCGGTTGCTCGGTGGCGATTTGACACCTGGTTGCTGATCGTTGCTTGCTTGACTGTCGGCCCCGCCAGTAACGTTGCCCCTTATACGCTCACATATATCATGGGTTTCCTTGTTGCCATTTTTGCTCAAGTTGCTGATACATTTGCCCAATTTCGTCACGTCGTACGTTCTTGCGGGGAACGTTTCGCAGCGCACAAGTACCNNTTGAACATGTTAGCATAATACCCAAGGCAAATGATGTTGTATGCATACCTCGAGGATCAGACGCGTAAGAGGTCCATCGTAGTCATTCTTCTTGATTCGATCGATCAGAAATTGTGCAAAAGAAGCCATGATCTGAGCGTGCTGGCCGAGCNNCTGAAATTTATGTTAGCAGGATTTCTTGTAAATGAACGACTTTGCGTGCAATAGTGCGACAAAATACACTTACTGTGCCATGATGTCCCTGTTTCCATGATCCATTGTTGTTTGTAATGCAATTTTCAACATTTCAAGTTGATCGTTGACTCGGCTTCTCAAAAGCGGCAATTCACCATTCCTCTTGCGATCAATCGCGTCGGTCAACGCAAGGGAATCAGCCTTCCATCGATTTTTCACGGTTTGCACAACTTCGTTGAATTCTACCATGCCAGTTCTGATCCTGTCAGCGACAACACTAGTGTGACGGCTCTCCCAAAGAGCCTTGATGGTATCATATTTGACACCTTCACGAGGATCATCTGATCGCTGCGCGGGAAGAGGAGAAGCTTCAGGCTCCTCGTCAGAATCATCATCCGAATCATAGTCTGATGAATCTGTCTCAGAATCTGAGTGTTCCTGCTTGACAGCCTGTGTTGAGCGGCCAATTGAGCCTGGGCCTGTAGGCAACGCAGTGGGTTTTCTCTCCTTCTTTCTCAGTTTTTCTAGAGATCGTCAGTTGTTGCAATGTTTGTGATTGTGATCGAGGAGAAACGAACCTTGAAGCTTGGAATCATTGCCAGCAAGACGGCGAAGCTCGGCTCTTGACTTTCTGCGTGCCACAGGTGCGACAGTGGCNTATGCATTGTTAGTACGGCGGAGAATTTGGGATGGAAATGAACAACACTAACCTCTGTTGATTGAAAGCTCCGCCTCTTTGTCTCCAACGAAGACGAATTCGTTTACCGGAGTGGAAGTTGTTGCTTCGCTAAGCCGAGCGGCATCTTTCACCAAGAAGTTTCCTATGCGAGTGCCGGCCGGGATGGCATTGTGCAGAGCAGTCTGATCTGCTGTGGGCGCCGGAGGAATCACTCTGGTATAGCCAGCAGGATCAGTAGTGCTGGGACGGGAGTATGACGAAGGATCCAGAATCTGGCTAGGTCGAACAGCATGAGCACGTTCATGCTCTAGAGCTTGCGGGGCAATAGTGCCATGCTGCACCTGTTGTGACTGACCGTATGGAGACGGACCAAGTCCATATGAAGAAGGTCCATTGGTGGCACCAGACACCAATGAGGGGTCGTAGGTAGAGTGTGAGAATTGTTGAGAATTGCCGTAGCCGTTATATGGAGTTGTTTGGAGGTTCGATGGGCTCTTTGTGTAGGCTTGAGGATTGTAGTCGTCGAGTCCAGTATTCTGTTGCCAAGACAGGTATGGATCTGCTTGAGGAGGATTTTGGTTTTGGATATGAGCAGCATCGAAGTTCCAGTTGGCAAAGTTATCATTCTCGCCACCATTTGACAGGATGTTGCCAAACCCATTAACTGCATTATAGCCATTTTGGTACGACGATGGCTCATGGCCAAGCGGCGGCATGTGGTGATGGCCGTCCATAATTGCGATACGGCAGATGTGTTCTCAACAATAACAATGTTCTCAACGCGAAGTCGAGCACTGTTCTTTAAGCGGTATGTGCGTGACTGACTGATAGAACCAATCACAAACGACGACAATCTGCCTTATGGCTTGAGATTACGTGAGAGGGCGGCTCAAATCAAGTGGGAATGTCTTGTCGGGGCGACGTAGAAGCGCTGGTGACTGTGTAGGAGCTTGTGTGAAGACGCGTAAAAGTGTATGGATGTCGATGCTCCTCCAAGCTGATGCGTATAGCGCACGTGCGAATGCCTCGGGCAAGAGCGCTCGCTGGCGGTATGCTAGTATGTGGACAGGCAGCCCTTGTCAGGGGGTGCAAATCAACGTCGCTCCGCGCTGCAGCACAAGGACGCGATCAAGGCTCGATGTGGCAACAGAAGGCCGCAAAGCAGAGTCCCTGGCGGCTTGCGCAGTTCAGGAAAATTATTGATGATAAGCACCACTGACCAGAGCCAGAACGGGCTTGTCTTTCACCGTAAGCAAGTAGCAGCCTTCCGGGCGCAGCAGTCACCGTCGCAAAAGAGAGCTTGCGCACTCGTAAGGAGAGCGAGCGCTTATTCTGCTCAGAGTCCCTCCGACTTGATCGTCCGTCACTTATTAGACCACAGATGACAAGCTTTACAGACGGGCGTTCAAGCGCCTTGCATTAGTAATGGCAACGGAGCCAAGGGGAGATCAATTACACAGAAGTATGGGTGATGGAATGGTGTTGTGAGGCGTGGAGGAGGAGAAGACAGACAGGGAAGGTGGAAGAGCGCAATCTTGTTGGAAAGAGAGAGTCGCAGAGGGCGGGCTTGGCAAAAGCCGGCTGTCACCGCCTGCCTCCTCATGACGCTCCGGCTTGTGAATCTGGAACCCTCTTCACTCGTTGTGGGGAGAGGATGCTATGAACGTGTTAACTTATTGAAGCTTGTTGTCTGCCTAGTAATCAGAACAACACACACACACACTTCCGTCTCTGCCTCTCTTGTCCGCTGACCTCACCTCCACCACATACCCCTGTCGAGCTTTGTATGCAGTAGCGTCCACCAGTCCGGCAGAAAGATCTGGCCATCGATCAAACATGGCATCCCAGCACAACTCCCTTCGCGACCGTCAAGTGGGTGGGTGAAGCTCTCGTGCTCGATACAGATCCAGACACTCACACTCCCAGNCGTCCATCGAGAAAGTCCTGAACCTCAATCACGCTTCTCCCGAAAGCGCAGATACACAGCACGATGCTACTCTTGCCAACGGTCTCGTCACCAAAGCCACTCCCATCCTCAATGCCGATGGCGAGCCGATCTGGAAGGTCCTTGTCTTTGACAGCCTAGGAAGAGATATGATCAGTAGTGTCCTTCGCGTCTCAGACTTGCGCTCTTGGGGAGTCACCATACACCTGTACGTCGCCGAAATCAGCTGCTTGCTCATCGAGCCCTTGCGCATGCTGAGTCTTGCTACAGAGCTGCTGCTGACAGCAACGTGTCAGANNCCTATTGCCTCAAAACGTCATGCCATTCCAGACGTTCCTGCCCTCTACCTCGTCGAACCTACCCCTGAGAACCTGAACATCATCGCTTCCGATCTCGCAAACGGCCTCTATTCGTCCGCATACGTCAACTTCCTCTCATCAATATCTAGACCTGTCTTGGAGGACTTTGCCGCCCAAATTGCCGCAGGAGGAACATCGGAAAGCATCGAGCAAGTCTACGACCAATACCTGAACTTCGTCGTCAGCGAGCCCAACCTGTTCAGTCTGGGAATGGGCAAGGATGTTTACTATACTATGAACAGTGCGCAAACCAGCGACGAGGAGATTGACGCAAAAGTCGATCGCATCGTGAGTGGTTTGTTCAGTGTGGCCGTGACCATGGGTAAGTGCCCGTAAAAGCTCTTGCAATCCTTGTTCTGACCACATCAGNGCTCTATCCCTATCATTCGATGCCCGAAAGGCGGCGCGGCAGAAATGATTGCAGCCAAGCTTGACCGCAAACTGCGCGATCACATTCTGAATGCGAAAGACAACCTCTTCTCCGGCGCCAATGCTCGCAACAACACTGCAGCTGCCACACCGGCTTCGCGACCTATTCTGATCATTGTCGACAGAAACCTTGACCTCGTACCGATGCTCTCACACTCCTGGACATATCAATCATTGGTACACGATGTGCTCAAGATGCACCTCAACCGCATCACAGTCGAGTTGCCAGGAGATGACTCAGATGCGACCAAACCTGCGACTAAGCGATCATACGACCTGAACACAAATGACTTCTTCTGGACCAGAAACGCAGGAGTGCCGTTCCCACAAGTCGCAGAAGACATCGATACTGAATTAACGCGCTATAAAGAGGATGCCAACGAGATTACCAAGAAGACCGGAGCTTCTTCAATTGAGGATCTGCAAAACGATACGTCGACCTCGGCCCAGCATCTCAAAGCAGCCATCACTTTGTTGCCTGAATTACGTGAACGCAAAAATATTCTCGACATGCACATGAATATCGCGACCGCTCTTCTGAAGGGCATCAAGGAGAGACAGTTGGACAATTTCTTCCAGCTAGAGGAAGACATTAAAAAGCAGACCAAGGCACAGATGTTGGAATTGATTTCGGACTCTGATAAAGGCAAAGAACCTTTGGACAAACTCCGAATCTTCATCATCTGGTTCTTGAGCACCGAGCAGGAGGTATCCCGAGCAGATATGGACAAGTTCGAGGAGGCGTTGCGCAACGTTGGAGTCGACACCACTCCTTTGACTTATGTGAGACGGTATGTGACTGTTTTCTGCTTCTCTTCCTAGAAGTTCGATGCTAACACTCTTCCTAGTGTACGAGAGATTACGCGCATGACCATGATCTCGTCGGCACCCACTCAGCCTGCCCAGTCATCAGCATCGAACGACCTCTTCCGAGGATTCAGCTCACTCTCCAAGGGATTGACGGAAAAGTTCAAGGAGGCTGGAATCGGTTCGAACTTTGAGAATTTGATCTCGGGTGTCAAAAACTTCCTGCCTGCCAACAAAGACCTGACACTGACCAAAATCACGGAGTCGTTGATGGATCCGTCCAACGCCAGTACGAGTGCGCTCCAAAAGACAGAGGGCTATCTCTACTTTGATCCTCGCAGTGCCAACGCTCGAGGCACGATGCCCCCGTCAGCAGCTCAGGCTAGAAACCCTGGTGGCAGCAGTGTGACAAGAGGCATCGAGGCAAGCTTCGGTCAACGGAGACAAGGCTACAGCGAAGCCATTGTGTTCACAGTCGGTGGTGGCAGTATGGATGAGTATGGCAACTTGCAGGACTGGGCCAACAGAACGAGCGGCCAAGGAGCAGCCGGCTCAGTAAGCAAGAAGCGCATTGTGTACGGCAGCACGGAGCTTGTGAATGCGGAAGACTTTGTGCTCGGGGAATTGACAAAGTTGGGCAATGAAAGCGCATAGGCAGGTCATGACTAGCTGTACGAGAATGACAAGGCTACTTGATCTTGATATACGGAACGAGGCTCCTGCAGTGGATCCTGTAGATGTTGTAAATGCTTGGCCGAGGAGGAGCTTGGACTCCGTTTGCCCCGGGTTTACTTGACAGCCCGATGACATGCACATTCGACGGGAGCGTACCATCTGCGAGAGGAGTCAGTATCTCTAGAGTAATCCTCTCCGACCTCAGCACTCAAACCGTTGACCGCTTGGGTGTCCGCCACATTGCAACTATCCTCCCGTCTTCTGTAACTATCGGGTTGTGTTCGCTCGAGTTCGAACAGACGCCTGCTCTAGCACACGCGTTGCCCGCATTCACCCTCCCCCCGGCCACTGCTTGTTGGATACCTCCCGACGGCCTGCAAAGCAGAGTCCAATGGCACCCCGTACATCGCTCAAGACACTCGCGTATCGACGCAGGAGGGCCGATGGCGACGAAGATGAGGAGTCCGTTGCTGGCGTCGACGACTCACAAAGCGAAGCCTCGGAGGCTAGTGACCTGGACAACGCGATCGATCAATTAGAAGCAGATGCAGATGCCAGCGAGTCTAGCGACACTGGGAGCACTGTACCGCCGCCAATCGATTCCACCGCCGCTCAATCTGTTGGGCCTGAGAAGACTGGACGAACACGCTCGAAGAAGTCCAAAGGCACAAAAACAGACAGGACGCCTCCGAACGTCAATGGCGACGAACTCGTCAACCAGGAATCTGTCATTGGAGATTCTGTTGGAACTGACGTATCGGCCAACGCGGCCGGCGCGCCCATTGTCTCGTCCGAAAGTGGTTCAGCAAGAAGGGGAGAAACAGTAGCAGATCGTCGAAGGCGGGAACACGACGACTACAGGAAGAAACGAGACACAGATCCGACCTTCATTCCCAACAGAGGCAACTNNTTTTTCATGCACGACGCTCGCACGTCGGACCAACGAGGCTTCAGCTCCTACGCTCGTGGCAGAGGGAGGGGGAGAGGCATTCCCCAAGCTCCCAGCAGGTACGTTTGCATCGGCCTAACGTTACACGCAGTCAAGAAAGAGTGCTAACAACCACCACAGTCATNNGTACCACCAGTAGAGCGAACAGCCGATGCGCCATGGACACACGATCTTCATGAGACAGTGAACGAACGCGGCGTTCCACCTACTCGCCAACGACCATCTCAAGGTCCCAGCAACCACCCTGATAGTGTCTCTCGAGGCGCCTCTGCGGTCCAACAGAGAACATTGAACTTCTCCAAGACGACTCAGATTGGCAGTGTGCAGATCCGTGTCTGGCTACCTGGCATGGTCGCCGCTATACCTNTTGCTGCTGTTCCTGTCAAATCACACACTCGACTGCCCGATCACAGACCTCCTCTCCGCCGTGACAAGCCTGTTCGCGTCTCTCTTCCTGACCACCCTGTACGCTATGTCTTCCCAGCCGCCGAGCGCTCTTTCATCTTCATTCCCAGAGCATTGAGGCCAAATCAACAAGGCTTTGGCAAAGCAAGAGGCAGTTTTGGTGCATATGGGGCTCCATCCAGCAGACGGCCTAGCATATACGGTGGTAGTGTATACTCACAGGCCATGTCTATGAGTCGCAGGTCCTCTCTGGCTCGTGAAGTGCCGAGAGACTCTGCCTTCTCCCCCACGGGCTCCTACACTGCTCGTGCTCCTGCTGGGCCCGGTCGACCAGTCGTACGCTTGCCCCAAGCTGGGTCTCATCGGTCCTCAAATCCTTCACCCGCTGGCTCCGCTTACAGCCGTTCATACCCTCATTCTTATCCTCGACCTCAGACGCCGGCCGTTGAACACTGGGCCGAACCAGACACTGTGCATCAGCCTCGCCCACAAAAGACCATATCAATGACCGGGATAGAGTCCCCCGCCGGGCTTGCTCTTCACGCCCCACAGCAGCAAGAGCAACAGCCATTCCACAACCAGCTGCCCCAGCACATTGCAGAAGGTAGTATCAGCACCCTGTCGGCATCTTCTGATATGGGACCCCCTCCACTTGGTCCGCCAGCATACATGTATCCTGGTGGCACACCACTCTCCAACATTCCAGAGAGAGCTATTCACGCACAACCGTTCCAGCCGCCTGCACCTAATTATTATTCATCATTCGCTCCCTCTGGATACTATTACCCGGGCCAGCCCACGCAGTACGGTGCTATGCCGTCCTTTGCCCCACCCACAGCACAAGCAAGCTACGGGCCTCCTGAGCCGCCTATGGCGAGCGACGCTCAGCCAGGAACCATGGCGCATGAAAGTAATGGAATGGTCTACTATACGCAGATGCCGCAGTATGCACCTCAGGATAATTATCTTCAGCCACAAAGTTATGCTGTTCATGGCATGGGTGGTATGATGACACCAAGTCCAGAAGGTACCTACTATTATGCACATGCCGGTCCGATGTTTTACCCACAAGGTCAATGAGGCCTTCATTCTTATTGTCGACCAACGTCATGGGCGCATGTATAGCTGCATGATTATCATCCATGTCAGAGCTTGGTTCACAATTCAATACCCTCTTTTTATCCGTCAGTCTTCAAAAGTGCACCAGATCCCAGTGATAGTAAAGCAGCGTGCGGTGAATTAGACAGAATCCCAAATGGCATTGTTACAGCGATATCTAGCAGAAGTAACGCGTTGATTGAATGCATGTAAAACGTCAGCAGTGATGGGCGCACCCCAATACAAGGCGATGATTGGAGCCTTGGAGCTAGAAGCAGCGGCAGGTGGAAACGACCAGACGGCGCGGGGAAAACCAAACACCGTTAGCTCCGACAGTCTACCAACCAACCCGCGACAACTCACTCACCTCCACATCCACACGACACCTCGTCGCGGCTGACCTTTGTTTCTCTCTTCCTCCCTCATACATCTCGTGTCCATCACAGGTGGCCATCTTCCTGCGCGCTTTCCTTCTACAGCTCGGCGTCTCAGCATTCTCACCGCCACTCATCCTCGACCCATCGCCTCCAGCCGAGGCTGTTATACGTCACTAGGCTGCCACCCACCACCACACGCCGCCCGACATGCCTTCGTCTACAGGCCCCGTGAATGAGGACACTCTCATCACCATCAAGATCTCGTTCGACGACTGCACCAAGAGGCTCAAGCTGCCCCTCAAGGATCTCGGTGCAAACACCCTCCCTATCAAGGTACTATCAGCTTATCGTCACATGAAAGGCGTGCATCTCGGCTGACTCTTGCACAGCNTCCGCAGCCTTCTCTGCATCGCCGCCGACCAACCCGTCGTCTTCGAGCGTTATTCCGACTCGGCCGGCGGCTATGTCGTCCTCGACGACTCCAACCCTGCCGTCTTCAAGACTCTCATCCGTGCTGCCAAGGCTAAGCTCAAGCTCAAGCTGAGAGCTTCCGCTCCTCCTGACCACTCCAAGGTGGATGCTCCTGCTTCGGAGCCATCTATCGCTCTCTCATCCGCTGTCGCTCCTTCCAGAAGTGCCACTACCCTCGATGAGCACTCTATCGGTCCCGGCATCTTTGAGTTCCGTGAAGCATTCGGCTCAATGAAGAAGACAGTCGAGGAGGCTCCTCTCCCTCGGTCCTTTGGTATCTCGAACATTGTGCCTCTCTACCCAATGCGCGCTGACGTACCAGACTTCACGGCAAACCAAGTTGCTCAGGGCTCCAAGCATGTCCTGCCACTCCGTGTTGTCCAGCCCGTCGAGGTCGCCAAAGGACCATGGTCCATCTTCTGCAATGCTTGCGAGAAGATCATGCACAACGTCCACTATCACTGCAGCGCTTGTGATGGTGGCGACTACGATTTCNTCTGCGAGGCTTGCGTCGAGAAGGGTACCTCCTGCCTCGGAGACGGTCACTGGTTGGTCAAGCGTTCTGTCCAAGACGGCAAGCTTGTCAGCAGCACCACGGAGCGCTTTGCCCCCAAGCCTAAGACGATCACTGCACCTGCGCCTGCACCTTCGTCCAAGCCCGAGGCTACCAAGGAAGTTCCTGGTGCCTTCACCGACGACATCAAGACCTTGTCCGAGTCATCCCGCACTTGCAATGCCTGTGTTGTGACCCTCCCCGACCACGACTTTGTCACATGTATTCAGTGTGATGACTACGACCTTTGCTTGAATTGCCACACGCTCAACACACACGGCCATCACCCTGGTCACCACTTCAAGCCCGCCGTCGAGGGTGCTGATCTCTCACTTGCTCAAGAGGCTCTTCTCCCTGCTGGCCGCAACTTCAGACACACTGCCATCTGCGATGGCTGTGATGAGATGATTCACGGTGTGCGCCACAAGTGTTTCGACTGTCCCGACTTCGACTACTGCGGCGAGTGCCTCAAGAACGCTCGTCACACTCACCCTCGTCACCGCTTCGCAGCCATCTATGAGCAGTTCAAGGGTCGACCTACCTCGTCAGTCTCCCATCATGGCATTTATTGCGATGGTCCCNTCTGCAAGGGCAAGCCTCACCAGTCTTACATCCAAGGTGTGCGTTACAAGTGTGTTGTCTGCCACGACACAGACTTCTGCCAGAACTGCGAGGCTTTGCCCACTTCTTTCCACAACAAGACTCATCCTCTGGTCAAGTTCAAGACCCCTGTCAATCACTTGACTATCTCGACCGAGAGCGAAACCAAGCATGGAGTCCGCAAGCTTGGTGACCGTGACCCCGCTCGCAACTCGAACACTCCTGCCATGTTGAGCCGCAGGCAGTCGTCTAATGCTACTGCCTCAGTCAAGACTGCCTCAGTCAAGACTTCTGCTAACTTCGAGCCATACCCTCAGGCGGAAGAGAAGGTGCTCGACGAGAAGAAGGTTGAGGAGAAGACGCCAGTGTCTCAGCCTGCTGTGGCTGCTTCCATGCCCAAGGCTCCTGTTCAACTGCCCGAGGCTGTCTTTATTGGTGACCGTGTTCCTGATGGCACCGTTATCGCTCCTAGTGCCCGCTTCGTCCAATCCTGGACTCTTCGCAACTCTGGGCCAATTGCTTGGCCTGCCGGCTGCAGTGTCCGCTTCGTTGGTGGCGACAACATGCTCAACGTAGACAACACTCATATTGCTGCTGCTTCTGACATCGCTGAGGCTAGCGAAAGCAACGTCGTTGGGCGTGCGGTTCTGCCTGGTGAGCAATTCCCTTTCACCGTGACAATGAAAGCACCTGCTCGCGAAGGAAAGTGCATCAGCTACTGGCGCCTCAAGACTGCCGATGGCATTCCTTTCGGCCACAAACTCTGGTGTGACGTTGATGTTAGAAAAGCCCTCCCCGTGCCCACAGCTGCACCCATGCCTCGCTCTCCTGTCATTGCTCAGCCTCCATCCCAGGCACAGAGCTACTTTGCTCTTTACAAGGAACGTATGAATGCCTTGAAAACTCACCTTGATCAGACCAGCGCAGGGCCTGTTGCCGCCCCTGTTGTGGCAAACACGGTCTCGCAAGAGGTTCACAAGGAACAGGTGATCGGAGCTCCTAAGATTTCCGCTGAATCAGAGGTTGAGGTTCCTGAGTCAGAGCACGAAGAGGATGAGCTGAAGAGCAGCCAGATGGTCTTCCCTACATTGGACAAGGAGAGCCCCAGCAGCTCGACCTACCAATCTTTCAGTGGATCAGGCATGAGCAAGAAGGTGCAGGAGGAGACTGAACAGGCTTCCCAGACTTCTGAGGTTGCCGACAGTGTTGCCAGCGAGGACGAGGGCTTCGAAGACATTAGTGACGACCTCGAAGTGCTCAGCGCCAACGAAGATGAGGACGAGACCGAGGACGACGGCTTCCTCACTGACGACGATTACGACATTCTTGACGCCAGCGACCAAGAGACTGTTGCATCCATGAAGTAAAAAGCGGCGCTTTGCTAGACTTTGAGCACCGCATTTGCTCAACAAGATCAACTCCCTTGGCTTTTCTTCTCTTTTTTTTCTCTTCCTTTGTTCTTTCCGGGTCCTCTTCGCTACGAATTGCTGGGTGCTGGGATTTGATGGTCACTCTCTCTACGGGCAAGGATTTTTCTTCTTTTCTTGTTGGAGGGATGGGAAGGGCGCAGGGTTGATTACGGACTTTCCTTCAGAGCAATGGTTACCTAGTGCAGGTAGTTTCTTCTATTCTCCTAATGTCATTTTTCTCAATGATTGTATTTGTCCATTATTGAGTGTATGTGATATGACGTTGATGAGAGTTGTCGCGATGTGATGACGGTGAATTTCATATGTGGCCCAAGTCAAGGTGGTATGGGGTAGCACCCTGTTCATACCTTCTCTGCACTTCTATATCATCAACCAACGACATGTATACCGTTTCCCTCTGCATATCACGAATGGATCACGAGTAACAGAAGACTATTCGATAGTGCCGTAGTTATTTCGATGCGATCTTCCATCTCTGTAAGCTATACCGTAATTTTTTCGTCCTCCGTGGCGAGCGGACATATCAATCGATACGCAATCGAATGCCCGACATCCCTCAACAAGAAAAAGGGCTTAGAGGACACGAAAGACAATCAGATAGAACACGAAAAGGGGGTTTTTACTTCATAGCTTCGTTTGTTTTTGTTTTTTTACAAGAGTTCTAGCTGTTGTGGACAAAAAATCGTTGTGTTGCATGAGAGACTTGGTTGCATTATACTGTGTTGTTACCAATACGCCTGTATGCTCTGCGTCAGGCATCCTCTCTCAATTCCAAGATTGTTTTCGTAGTGCCTTCTTCTTAAATGTCAATGTCGATGCCCAAGTCCATGTCGGCAATGATGTCTTCGTCCTTGGGCTTCTTCTTGAATCCACCGAGTGTGGTCTTCTTCAGCTTGTCGTTGACGGGGGTAACGTTGCCAGTGCCGTTTGCGGGTGTGCCGGTCATGCTGATGTCGCTGGCATCACCAAAGAGGTCGTCAGGTACGGCCAGCAGCTTCTCCTTTGCGGCTTCGGCTTCACGACGTGCCTTTGCTGCAGCTTCTTCTCTGGCCTTTTGTAGGATACGCTTCTCTGCCAACTGTGCTTTGCGCACGTCTTCGCTATTGGCTTTGCGGTTGGCGCGGTTGAGAGCAGCAAGACGTTCCTGTTGTGCGAGCTTGCCGTTTTGCTTTGCCGTGGCAGCTGCTTGTGCTGCCTTTGCGGCACCGCTGCCGGATCCCAGAGCTGCGAGTTCGGCATCGCACTTGGCGACTGTGGTGTCATCGCCGCGGGACGCTGCTTCCTCGCGACGCTTCTCGATCTTCTCGCGGCCGTAGTTTGCAAACTTGGCTTGGAGGGCGTTTGTGCGGTTGATCTTTCTTTGGATGTCTTCGTCGGTCCATTGGTATTCGAGGAGGGAGTGAATGTCGTCAAGCTTGGAGACCAGCGCTTTCTTAGAGGGCAGGCGCAAGGAGTCGGCCGCCTGAGCAGCCTTGAAACGATCGAATTCGGCCTCTGTGAAGCTCGAGTCGGAGCAGGCGATGAAGGGCCACTCCTTCTCGGCCTTGCCGTGGGCGACAACTGCGTACTGGTCGGTGACAAAGGGTTTACCGTTCACACCTTCCATCTGGTAAGGCTTGCCTGAAGTAAANGCCTGAGAAAGTCAGCAAGGTCCGAATATGTAGCATAGCTGTAATAACATACTCTTGATCTGAGCCATACGGTACTGCGGTGCTCCAGTGTCGCGATTAACGCCAATGCTTACGCGAGCATAGCAGTTCCTAATGCTAGTCTCGAAAGTTGGGTAGAAGCACACTCTGGCAAAGTTGGTACGGCCGATTCGAGAACGCTCGTAGTCGCGCAATGCTGCGGGAGCTTCATCTCGTGCAGCAGCAGCAGCCCGAGGCTTCTCGTCCCACTCAACTTCGCTGTCACCTTCGGCGTCTCTGTCCGAGTCGGCATCGTCTCGTGAGGGAGAACGGTCTCTTCTGCGTTCGTCTCCACGGTTCCGTTGTTGACCTTTCATCTCTCGCTCTCTCTTGTAGGCTTCCAGAGGACCGCTGGCCTTGACCTTTGGTCTGCTGCTCTTGCGCTGGTCGTCATCGTCCAAGTCGGCAGCAGCAGCCTTGCGCTTTCTCTTATCGGCACCGGCTTGCTCTCGCTTGCGTTGTTGGAGAATCTTCTTGAGTTGCAAGTCCTGAACTCTTCTTTCGACTTCTGCGGCACGTTCTGCGAGGATTTCTTCTCGACGGATTTCGGTCATGGCCATGACTTCAGCGCGATCAGCTTCGGAGCGGAACTTGCCCTCGATGGGGTACAGAGGAGTATCCTGGTCGAAGTCGAGGCCATCTTCCGAGTCGGATTCATCCATGGCAGCAGAGCCTAGCGATCGGGGGGATGAGGCAGCCGAGCTGAGATGGCAATCAGTACGTGGAGTCGTACAGTATGGCAGAGTAGGCAGGTTGAGAAGTTGGCAAGAAGAAGTGTCTGGAAGCAGGTGGACTTACGCTTCACCTTCTTCCTCGGAATCATCCTTTCTTCTTCTTCTTCGCGGGGCAGCAGCTGAGCGCGACTTTTTGTTGGTTGCATTGGCGCGACGAGGGGGAGAGCGGTCGTTCTCCGACGAGAGGGCGGCATGTTCGAAGGGAGAGGAAGGTTGTGGCTGTCTGTTGTCGGTTCTCTCGTCGTCGGAACTGTCGTCGCCAGCAAGAGCAAGAAGCTCGGCATCAAGCTCGTTGTCGGACATGCTCGAAGGCTTTGTGGTTCAGGGGAAAGAGGTGCGAGTGGAGCGAGTTTCGAGTATCAAGGGCCAAGAGGGTGGAGAAGGATGAGGATTGTCGCTTTTGAAAAGGAAGGCGTGGTTATCTCGCAAGATAGTGAATAATGGGCGTGGCTGGGACAATAGACGGCGCAACAATAAGAAGGTGAGTGAGATTGAATAAGTTACAGTGAAGGAGCGTCGAGACACCAAGCACTTCCTCAACTGAAGCTTGCCAAGCTGCTCCGAAAGAGCCTCGAATCGATGACATCGATAACTGTTAATACTTAATTATATCTTGTCGCATTCACTCACCTTCACCTAGTTACCTAGACACTCGAAAAGGAGAAAACATCACCATCTTGTCTAAGAATAATCACAATCGATATGTCGCTCCGTCACCTGAGTCGGTGCAGTAGGGCCACGCCCATGTCGCCTCGTTCGCTGCATTTCGGTTCTCTGCAGCATGCTGCACCTAGGAGTATCACCACCTCGTCAGCCCCGCCGAGTACCGAGCCAAAGCCCAAGACTATCGAGACTGGTACCTCGGGGAAGAGGAAGCGTCCCCTGACCAAGGAACAGGAACGCTTCCTGGATGCTGCTGTACGCTGATCCCACCTACATCCACAAATCTGTATATCCAGTCTTACTGTTTCTAGCNTCCGAGTAAACCAGACTGGCGAACTCGCTGCTGTTCTCATATACCAGGCCCAGACACCGCCGACAGTGAGAGCCCATCCTCATCTTCGCCCCTTGATGAAACACATGTACGACCAAGAGGCCGGCCACTTCAAGTACTTCAACAAGATCATAGCCAAGCATCGCATCCGACCGACAGCCATGACCCCAATATGGGGTGTTGCCGCCACTGCTCTGGGCTGGTCAACTGCCATACTAGGTCAGGNNGAGGCTGCAATGGCATGTACAGAGGCCGTAGAGACCGAGATCGGCGAACATTACAATGCACAAGTACGAGAGCTTCTGGCATGGATGAAGGACATGGAACAACGGGGAGAGGAGCCTGGCGAAGAAATGACAGACCTGCTCAGCAACCTTCGGAGAATTAGAGACGAGGAGCTCGAGCATCTCGACCACGCTGTTGAGCACGATGCAAAGCAGGCTCGTCCATATGAGCTCTTGACAAACGTCATTCGAGGTGGTTGTCGCGCAGCTATCTGGGCCAGCGAGAAGGTCTGAACAAACGGAAGCTCGACCTGTGAGTCCTTCCACTTCCAAACGCTCGACCAAATCCCATCGTAATGCAAGATCCTGTTGCGAAATTTCATCCTGTCTGCCGAGAGTTCCCTTCACTTGGGCATGCCTCTTGCTTGTAAGTTGCCTTGGCGATGGACGTGGTCAATAAGACATGGAGAGCAACAATGTCATTGTGAATGGCTATAGGTTTTAGTAGGTTTGCATTGTGCTCGATCAATACCAGGCTCGGCGTGTCTCACTCAGAAAGCTGTATCTCCTGAGAAAGTCTCCCTCTTTCCACTCCCTCCACCACATATTTCCTCCCGCACCACAGATATCAATTTGCAGCAGTGTACCTCGTTCTCGGCTTTATACCAAGCTTCTCTCCTATCTCTTTCTATCAAACCTCCTTCTATTTCTCTCGTTTGAACATCCGCAACAATTACCCAACACCCACACGTCTTCGCTCGACATCATGGCGTCCGTCGCGCGTCGTCTTTCTGCCAAAAGCCTCACCAGAGACTTGCGCGAGCTCGGGTTCGAGAAGAAGCTGGTCCGCAAGTTCGCGGATGCCCCATACAACGTCGAGCATGCCACAGCCCTGCTCAAGTCTTACTCACCACCAGGCCGCAAGCCTAGAAGGGGCAGATACAATGATCTCTGTCTTCACAAAGGCTCTCGCAACAAACGTGAGTCGATATTCACGGTGCCATGCCTGTGTCTCGTTCCATTATTGATACATTCCAGTGTGGGTGGTCTACGACCCGCTCAAGCACAAGCCGACCCTCGACAGCGACACTCTCCTGCTCACTGTGAGATTTGCCATCTTTCAACCTGGCAACCCACGTCTCATCGAGTACAACACCAAGACTACGTCCCTGCGCATCCGTTCTTCAAGAATCATCGTGGGTCAGCAAATCAAGTACACCGCCAATGGTCCTGTTCTCGAGCCCCTGGACGATGACAGCGACTTTGACTCGGAGCCTGCTACCGTCAAGACAAAAGGACAGACCAAAGGACAGACCAAAGGAAAGAAAACCACGAAACCTGCACCCAAGTCCAGCAGCGATTCTGAGCTCACGGAACTGGAGTCCAGCTAGCTTGACTTTGAAGAGGACATGATTCACGACAAATGCATGCACGAACGCTACAACGAATTCAGGCTCATCAGATGTTCCTACATGGCACATTTCTACCCTACACGACAGCCCCTTCCCCATCTGCTTAATGACTCCTTCCCTTCCACATTCAGCAACTTTCTTCCTTGCATGCTGGACTGTTTCTCTCTTCATTCTGATAGTTCATGCCACTCATAATGCATTACCTTCCACATCCCCTATATTCTTCTTTCTCGCGACCATGATTCTCGACCTTCTAATGCTTCATTTGTTCCCGTGGACGTGTCTACAGGGAAGTTCAAAGTGTCTCATCGTCCCAAAACGTTGCACTGAGGTGTTTAGAAAGATGCCCAGAATCAAGCGATGTACGTCCAAAGTATGCTTGACAAGCTCTCGAGCAGTAAGATGTACCGTACCAGTCCTTCCATGCTGCACACAAACAGATCCTCGCTGTCGTCGAACATCTATTCTTGAACATTCTTACTTTTGAAGCAACCTCCGGTTTCAAGTCTGAATATTGGCACCGGATACCGGGTTCGAGCACAGTGCTGTACGCCCGTTCGATCTGCCGATCGGTGGTGTTCTGGGATCAATACCGAGCGTACAAAGGCTTGATAGAGAACGTTGCCATACCACACCTCGTGGCTTACCTATGTTCCCATCAGGCTTCGCTTTTCGTTGTTCTGGATTCTTCACACTGCGATACAGTGTCAGACGCTCGGTATAGTATTGTCACGTATCTGGCCTCTCTGCTTTAGCAGGGATCAACCAGATAGTCTATCAGTAGCACCGTCCTCGGCTCCGCATGGAAACACGGCTCGATGATTATCAAGCAGAATACCCGTTCGATAGCACAACCTCCATTCGAAAGTCACGTGGACCTGACAGCGGCCCACCATTCCTGGGACCTCAAAAACGTCAGTCTCCCCTCGCGCCTTGTGCGTCACCGAAGACATCATCGAGCAAGACGACCAGCACCGTGCGGTACAGCAAAGAACGCAACGCGCTTGTACGAACATACGCAGCAGCGATCAATTAACTCATACAGCCTCACAACGGTGGTACTTTTGTATACGCGCGCGATTGAATACTCGAGAAGCTTTCGCTGAGAGAGAACACTCCTGGTTTTTTCACGCGATTGAACAAGAACATTGCGTCACCAGCCAGATTCCAAGGAGCGCGACGCATCTAGCAAGCAGAGCCTCAATCTCAAGGGCCTCAGGCAGAGACTCGACAAAGGATATCCAGAATTTACGCGTCGCCGTCGACCGTAGAGCATCTCACCTCACTGCCGGTAAGTTTTTTTGCCACTGAATGCGACAGGAGCGGAGTGCGACGCGATGGCGCGAGTGGGGACGGAAAACCGACTGACAGCCAATGCCGCACGCGCGAACGCTCGTCGAAGAACATATATGTTGGGGTGCCGGACTGACAACGTTTGTCAACAGGAACATTGAATTTCGAAAATTGCTTTTTGACTGAAGTCGGAGTTTCTGGCTTGTCAGTTTGAGAGTTGAAAGTCGGGAGCAACACTTCCCAAAAAAAAAGCCCAGCCAGCCTATCGAACCAGCTGCAGAAAGTGCGTCATCGCCTCTCGCGGCCGCTACTTCCCATCTCATCTTCCATCACAACAACAAACATGTCTTCTCCAAGTGACTCGAAGACCAAAGACGTGTTGAAGCAAGAAGGTAAGCAGCTTCCGCTTTATCATTGTTGTCCTGCCACGGGTTGTCGTTGTTGTTCGTCCCCGCCTGACGTCGCCTTGCCTCTGATGACGCATGGGAGGATTTGATGACGATGAATGTCATTTCATCTACCACGTACTGACGCGACCGTCAATCACAGATACCTCGAGCCAAGATAGGGCTCCCTCTCCTTCGCGTCAAGGTATGTGCTGCTTCTAATCGGACGGTGACTCGAAACAGCTGCTGACATTGGCCTNNCAAGACACTCAGCAGAACATACCTGCCATCAGACAGCCGGAAGACAATAAAGCATCTGGTGACGGCGCAAAAGAATCCAACGCGTCCTCGACCAATGCGCCGCTTGCACCTCCACCCGTTCCGAATAAGGCCTCTAACGGAGACAACGACTATTTCAACGGAGCTCACAGCGCCGCCCACCTAACCAAGGAACCCAATCCTTTCGAAAGTGCCTTTGGAGGTACCACTGAGACACCTGGCAAGCCTCAACTTCCTGGAGTCAACAGTTTGACATCGCCTGCTCCTCTTCTTCCCGGCACCACCCCAGCTTGGCCTGGCTCTCTTCGCTCAGGACCTCTTAGCCCTGCAATGCTGACCGGCCCCGCGGGGTCGTCCAACGACTACTTCAGCAACGACCATCACTTTGGCGGCAGCTTCCCTACCCCTAACGAGTCATCTCTCAGGACTGGTCTGACTCCTGGCGGTGGCGGGTCTATGTTCCCTCAACCTAGTCCCAACTCGCAAGCCATTTTCAACGCTATCCAGAGTGGAGGCGCCACTCCTGGTACCCTGGATTTCCACCGAACTGCTATGCACGCACGCGCTTCGCAGACAAACGTCAACGGAAACTTTGCCATGCCTCAGCCGCCTACTTCCGCCGCTGCCGATCCCAACATCCAGCCCAACCTCGACAGCAAGGGCTTCGGACAACAGCAGCAGAACGACACCTTTGAGCAACACGATGCTAACGACGCAGCCAATGGTCTTTTCATGCTTGCTCAGGCTAGGGGTAACAACCGCAACCAGCCTCAGCAATACCCACCACCCCAATCACAGCCTCAGATGAACTACATGGGCAATCCTCCACACCTTCCTGGTGGACTGGGCCAGCAAGGGCATGACGGCTCCAACAACATGTCAGCTCGCGCCAATAAGAACTCTATTGTCAGTAACCTTTCAGGGTCAACACAAAATGAGCACGGCAACTTCTCCGATAGCGACGGCGAAGATGTCAAGCCCTCCCGAGGCAAGGGAAAGAAGAACAACAATATCAAGAACTCGAACAATGGCAGACGCAAGGCTGAGGACCAACCAAAGGGTTCCAACAAGCGCCAAAAGACCAGCATGCCATCTATGGATGAGGATGATTCGGACAATGACGACATGGATATGGAGAGAGGACCTGACAATAAGAAGATGACTGACGAAGAGAAGCGCAAGAACTTCCTCGAGAGGAACAGGTACGTATCCCAATGAGTCTTGTATCTCGAAGCATACTGACATATAAAANACAGAATCGCCGCCCTCAAGTGTCGTCAGCGCAAGAAGCAATGGCTGGCTAACCTCCAGCAAAAGGTCGAGATTTTCTCAACCGAAAACGATGCGCTGGCCGCTACTGTCACTCAGCTGCGTGAAGAGATTGTAGGGCTCAAAACTCTGCTCCTCGCCCATAAGGATTGTCCTGTCTCGCAAGCACAGGGTATCAGTGGCATGGCTATGCAGAACATTGCCGGCGAGCCTCATCAGTTCTCCAACCCCTATGGCATGCAAATGTCTCAGCATATGCAGCAGGGAGTGCCATCGCAGGCCAACATGCAGAGACGATAGTCTGGTTTCTCGTCTTACAGCCAGAATTGAGTGTTACAGGGGCGTTTAAAAGGCATGACTGCAAGGCAACATGACACAGAGCCTTGGGCAGCGTGCGATGGCTCAGGCAAAACTGGGCTGGAGGCGTAAGGCTCTTTTGGAGTTGGCGCGCTACATTCTCTCACACCAGATTACAGCTCCTTTCTTCAACTTGTACATCTTTCATTGAAGGGACATTTTCGCGCTGCACAAAGGGTTTGGTACACTGTGGGAGGTCACGAGTTCGGAGTAGTATGGATAGGCTTTGTTTTTTAGTTTCTGTAATCTTTATAACCGAATAGTACTTTATTGCACTTTATCTCTTTTTCTTTTCGGTGTGGCAGATTGAGAAGCGTTGGACTATCTTGGACAGTGCTTGGTGAGGGTTTGCACTTGATCGGCCAAATGACTTGACCTGGTCGTAATAACGTGTCTATTGACAACCTCTCGAAGCCTCAAGAATGGTCGATAGCAGGTCACCGGTATAGACTCTCGAGCTCAGACGCCAAGGCGTGACAACAACACGTCCTTCTCAAACTGCGCGTCTGGAGCACAGCACAATTTACGAGAAACGAACTCTTACATCAATGAGCGATGGAAAATCGGGCGCAGCGCGTGGATAACGCGCTGCAACAGTTGCTCTTCCGATTGATCCCTTGGAACCAGGACGACGACGAAGCACTCGAAGACCAGCGTTTTGACGAGGCACTGCAAGCAGCCAGACAAACATTAGGCAGGCACGCTCCGTTCCTCGCAAGCGGAACAAGAACAACAAGCTAATTGTATTACCTCGTGCAGNATGAACAACCATCCTCGGCGACCGCAGACGATGTCCAGCATGCCGCCGACTTGATCAAACAAAAGTTGGTTCATGAGAACAGCCGTCCAGACAAAGCTCTCCATTTCACCAACCTCTATTCGCGACTACTGAGCCAGCCTGTCCTCGATCGCAAATGGGCCATCCTATACTTTTTGTATCGACTCTCGGACTCGGAGGCTGAAGCAGCACCGGATGCTGCTCCCTCGCCTACACCCCGCCCCCAACCTCCCTTGCGACAGCAGAGCAGTGACGCCCCGGCCTTCAATGATGCCTTTTCTCGCAATGGTCTACCTCGAGTACCCGATTCCGACGACCCAGAACCTGTGCGACTGCCACAGACCCGAGAAAGGATGCCCCTACGCGCATCAACACGATCAGTAGAAGCGTCGCCAGAACCAACAAGCTCGGCAGACCCGCTAGATGCGCCGACAGAGGCGCAGTTGCTTCGCGACTTGCCCTTCACACTACAAGGTCTCTCCTCGACCAATCTTGCCTTCTCCGACGCCTCGCTCAAACTTCCCTCAACGCTACCTGTGCCTATCATCAGTCTGCTCCACACACTTGCCGAGCCCTCGCTGCTGTATCGGAGTCTATCGGCCTTTGTCGAGTCTTCAGAAGGTGGTCTGGTAGGCCAAAGTTTGCGCTCTGCGATTGGTGTCGAGTTGAGAGCTTACCTCGGTCTGGTCGCTACGCTCGAAGCTCAGATTAGAAGAGCTTTGACTCAATTACAAGAATCGCCTGGAAACTCGGGTCTGGGAAAGGCCGGCGTGACACTAAAACGATGTGTTGTATGGACCCGTGAGGCTACCATGGGCTTGAGGCTCATGAGTACGATGGTCGAAGAAGCANAAAGGTAGGAACAAGATTGTTGTCTGAATGTGATGAACTTGGCTGATACTCTGACAGAAAAGAAAGGAGGAGAGTTGATATCGTTGATTCACTCATACGCTTCATCGCATGGCGATCCCTTTGTGTACACTTTTGCTGAACGACTTTTGATTCATGTTACCCGGCCATTCTACACTATGCTACAACACTGGATTTATGATGGCGAGCTTGAAGATCCTTTCCTGGAGTTCTTTGTCTATCAAAATCGTGATGCTGACCTGGAATCTGACCCTCGCCGCGGTGGTGCGACAAGTGTCTGGGAAGACAAGTACCGCCTCAAGGACAGCATGATACCTACCATCATCACACAAGATTTTGCANAAAAAGTTTACCTGATCGGCAAGTCACTCAACTTTATCCGCTACGGTTGTGGTGACTCTGCTTGGGTGGAGAACCATAGCAAGAGCTCTATGCGAGAGCTTCGTTATGGTGATACAGCCACGCTCGAATCATCGATCGACTCTGCATACAAGGGCACCATGGCTCGCTTGATCTATCTCATGGAAGACAAATTCAAATTGTTCGAACATCTGGCAGCGCTCAAGAAGTACCTCCTGCTTGGACAGGGCGACTTTGTTGCATTGCTTATGGAATCGTTAGCGTCGAATCTGGATAGGCCGGCCAACAGTCAGTACCGACACACCCTGACTGCTCAGCTGGAGCATGCAATCCGAAACAGCAATGCTCAATACGACTCTCCTGATGTGCTTCGCCGTCTTGATGCACGTATGCTCGAGCTTTCTCATGGTGAGATTGGCTGGGATGTATTCACGCTTGAATACAGAGTCGATTCTCCTTTGGATGTAATCGTCACGCCCTGGGCATCGAAGCAATACCTCAAGGTCTTCAACTTCTTATGGCGTGTCAAGCGCGTCGAGTTTGCACTAGGAAGCACATGGCGACGAACAATGACCGGTGCTCGAGGTGTGCTCGGCGCTGTCGGCGACAAAGTAGATGGCGACTGGAAGAATGCCAGAGGCGGTATCGCAGAAATGATCCACTTCGTCTCACAACTACAGCACTACATCCTCTTCGAAGTCATCGAAGCCGGCTGGGAAGGACTTCAAAAGGCCATGCGTACACCAGATGCCACTCTCGACGACCTAATCTCAGCCCATGGAGCCTACTTGCGCAGCATCACCCGCAAAGGCCTTTTAGCACCTTCAGGCTCCCAAGCTCACTCATCCACAGCACCAGACTTTACAGCCCAACTCCATGAACTGCTCAAATTGATGCTGGCCTACAAAGATGCAGTTGACAGTTTATACTCATACTCCGTAGCCGAATTCACACGCCGTCAAGACCTGGCGGCCAAGATCGAAANNACACGCACAGCGGCAGGCACCTGGGGCGTCACCGAAAAAGACGACAACGAATTCGGATCTTCACACATGAGTGGCCCTCATGCCAAAAGTCGCAACACTCGCCGTCCCAACGACCGCGACGCCGAATCCCCAAATATCCCACCTTTACTTCCCTTTTCCTCTGCAACGGGCAATGCGGCAGCCGACGAAGCTGCCATCCTCTCATCTCTGCGTTCACGGTTGAGTTCTCTAGCCACGGATTTCCGCGTCAGGGTCAATGTTTTGCTGGGGGATTTGGCATATCAGCCTGATGTGGATATGAGGTTCCTTGGTGTGGTTATGAATTTCAACGATGTGTATGCGCCTTTGAGGAGAGGGCATGGAAGAAGAAAACAGACGGGTGCTAGAGAGGTGACAGAGGGTGGAGAGAAAGAGAGAGACAGGGCAAAAGGAAAAGAAAGGGAGAGGGTGAAGAGGAGTAGGGACGAGGGGGAAGCTAATGGTGGTGCTTCTTCTAAGGAGGGTTGAGAGCGCGTAAGTCTTTTTCTTGGGAGGCTTGGATGGAGTTTTCGGCTGTGGTGTACTCGAGAAGCAGATGTTGTTTTTTCGCATCTGTATTGCAATAGGCATCTCTTGAATGCAGAACCATGTTCTCTATTGGATTGAGAGGCTCGCTGTACAAAGATGATAGAAGGTTACATCTAACTCCATTTCTCAAACTTTACCGTCAGTAGACGTCAGAACAGAAGGATATCTAAGAAAAGTCACAAGGCACGTCTTTGTTCTTTTCACCGGTTCTCCAGAAATTACAGACAAGCGGACAAGACACATCCAACATGACGGGATGCAAAAGATGGCTTTGAACAGATTTCCAATTTCTCTCTCTTTTCTGTCTAATCTAGCCACCAATGGAAATCTTTCCGGCACCGTTCTTCGGATTCTAAGGATTTACAAGGGGTGCTCGTCTCTGTCTGTGAGGGAAAAGAAGATGGGACGAGAGGGCGGAGAGCGCTCGTATTCAAATTGTAGACGCTAAGAATCGTGGTCCACCTTTCCATTGTCGTTGTAACAGTGGGATGGGTGGACGCGATAGGATTTACTGATGAGCGTGGCTCAAAGTGCCAGAGAAGGTCCCGGTTGTTCAGTCGATGAAATTTGTAGCTCATAGCTTTGTCGGTTTCACCTCGCATATCGTGATGGCCAGGGAGCAAGACGGCATTGAGCAATGTGGTGTGGAGATTGACAAAGTCCAGGGGATGGGAGGCGCCAGACAAGTTTCTCAATCGCTGTCCGAGTCGCTTGAAGAGTCTTCAGACGAGGAAGAGGAATCTGAACCCGAACCAGACTCTGAATCGTTGTCTGAAGATGAGTCGGAATCGCTGTCCGAAGAGTCAGAGCCAGCCTTGGACTTCTTGACCTTTTTGGCCTTGGACTTTGTAGCCTTGGCCTTTGCGAGTTTGGCCTTGAGCTTTGCGATCTTTGCGTCGGCGAGCTGGGCCTCGAGCTTTGCGATCTTGGCCTTCTTTGCTGCCGGCTTCTCGTCGTCGCTGTCGCTGTCACTGCTGTCACTATCGCTATCGCTGTCACTCTCACTCTCGCTGCTGCTCTCGCTGCTGGAGACGTCGGTTCTCGACTTTCTCTTCTTGCGCATAGAGCGTGCAGTATCGACCTTGGCTTCCTCCTTGGGGACTGGTGCTGCTGCCCTTGTAACTGATTGAGGCTCACCCTTGCTCATAGTGTTCCAGACCAACTGCACACGCTCATCGTAGTCTCTCTGTTCCCGGATGGTCTTTGTCTTTTCCGGATCAGGATCAATGCCATTCTTGCGCAGAATCTCCTTCTGTCTCTCAAGAGCGGAGTCGTAAGCAGCTTTTCTGGCCTCGGCGGTCTCCATGGGTTCGTCTTTGACTTCTGGGATCTCGGAGCGGATGAAGGAAACGATGTCAATGTTTGCGGATTGGGCTGCCTGACGTAGACGCTGGCGTGCGGCTGCTCCTTGCAATCCGTCGAGGTATTCCACAAGAGCTTCGTTGCAAGATGGAGGGATGCGGTAAATGTTCCAGATGTTCTTAAGTAGGTCGTTCTGTTTGGATTTGTTGAACTTCCATGCAGGTCTGTCTGCGTGGTATTGTTCAAGGTAGCGTACGTACTCAGGTACGGGCTTGTTGGCGTTGTCTTTTGGTGTGCGTACTTTGGGTTTCTTTATGGCGGGCGTCGCAGAATCAGAGGTAGGTTGTGTCGTGGCGTCCTTGTTTGTTGTCCCTTCGCCTGCGGCTGCTGCTTGATCTTCCTTCTTCTCTTTCTTTGTCTTCTTCTTTTCTTCCTTGGCCACGCTCTTGTCTTCTTTCTTTGCCTTCTGAGGTGTCAGGTCGGCTTCTGGGACAATCTCGGGTTGGGTAGACACGGCCTTTGCAGGTTCCTCAATCTTGTTGTTCGCAGCGGCCTTTGCTGCTTCTGCGGCGTCGTAGGCGGCGGCTTTTTGAGCGTAGTAATCGAGCTCGTCGTTAGCCCAGGCTTGGAAGTAAGTCTGAGCACTGTCTCCGTCTTGCTTCTTGGTGTCGTTCGAGAAGACGACAGACTTGCGCTGGCCGTGCTTGCTGTTTGGTGTGGCTAGGATGGACTTTTCGGGCGAGGCTCGTCTGTATAACAAGTTAGTACTAGTGAAACAAACAAAGAGGTAGAATTGACAGAGACACAGTTCATGACTAAACTGCGTTTCGTCGAAGTAAAAGATTTATGGAAACAGAAATATGAAGAGCATACAATCTTGAGGGCATTGGACTGGATATCGAGGCTACTGACGAAGTGTGGGACTGCTTTTGCGCAGGGCTAGATACGTTGGCTCCATTCTGGGATTGGTCGAGTCTCTGCTTCTTGAAGCCTTTGGGAGTGTCGGCATCATCTCTCGAACGTTTGGTTGAAGCAGCAGGAGAAGCGGGTAGCGGCGCCGTGTCTTTGGCGTTTGTCAAGCTCAGACCGAGCCTTTTCCAGGCAGGCACGCGTTGTTCGGACATGGTTGCTGCGGTGAGGGATCAATTACATGCGAGACCAAAAAAGAAGGAACAAAAAATATGCGGAAGTCCATCTTCATCCGGGGAAGGTGCGGGAGTGCCAAGGGTCGGTCGGTGTTTCGCAGGAAGCTCCATGACGAGAGGGCAAACGCGCGCTGTAGAGCTTCACTATCACCACAATCCCATCGCCATCCATCACCTCGCCCCCTCTGTCTTGTCGACTTGCATCACCTGGAGTTTCTACACGGTTAATCTCGATACACAAAACACTTGCCCATCATGAGTGCGTTTTGCCTCGAACCTACAACTCGGCGTAGCTAACTCCCGCAACAGGCAGCGCAGGTTACGACAGACACATTACCATCTTCTCGGATCAGGGTCGCCTCTACCAAGTCGGTGTGTCATCCCGTCCAACATACCTCAACCGCGCATTCTCTGGCTTACACTGAGTAGAATATGCATTCAAGGCCATCACAGCAGCAAACATCACCTCCGTCGGCGTTCGCGGCAAGGACTGTGCAGTAGTCATCTCGCAAAAGAAGGTTCCCGACAAGCTCATCGACCCCTCGTCCGTATCGTACATTCACCGACTGTCGCCTTCGGTCGGCTGTGTCATGACTGGTTCCATCGCAGATGCAAGAGCTTCGGTCATGAGAGCGCGCGGTGAGGCCGCCGAATTCAGATACAAGAACGGCTACGAGATGCCCTGTGATGTCTTGGCCAAGCGTCTTGCAAACATCTCCCAAGTCTACACACAAAGAGTGAGCTGCTCAACCCGTGCTGGAACCCGGACTCTGTGCTAACCCCGCGCAGNNGCATACATGAGACCCCTGGGCGTTGCCACAACGCTCATCTCGGTCGACTCTGAGTTCGGTCCTCAGCTCTACAAGTGCGATCCCGCAGGCTACTTCGTCGGCTACAAGGCCACCGCTTCAGGTCCTAAGGCACAAGAAGCCATGAACCACCTCGAGAAGAAGCTGCGAAACAAGAACTGCGCCGACGGCAACTGGGAGGAGGTTGTTGAGCTCGCCATTACCACTCTCAGCACAGTGCTGAGCGTTGACTTCAAGAAGGGTGAGGTTGAGATTGGCATCGTGGGTGGTCCCCGTCCCGATGGCAAGGAGGGCACCACAACCGACTTCACCACCCTGACCGAAGAGCAAATCGACGAGCGCCTGCAGTCGATTGCTGAGAAGGACTGAAGATAACGACTGCCCACCTTCACGACGTCATTTAATCCATCACATGGCATGCCATCGCTCTCGCCGACTCGCTTGCACGTTGCACAGCCAGCCAGCGGTGTGGGTTGGTCCACCCAGCCCGGCGTGCTGAGAGCAGTCGGTAGCGTCATCTTATGAATCGAGCTGTTCTATTACCCTTCCGTATCAAAGCATCATTTTCTTCTTCGTTCGTTCCGCTAAGCCCACCCCTTCGGGCCCTCTGTGTCTGTTGCAAGTGCCGGCCGCCCCGGCTGCTCGATGGTAGCTCTGACCGTGGCGCTCCTCCCCGCCTTTACCACTGAAACGCCCTGAATTCAAACAGCTCTAGGACTCGCCGATACCTGACTCTGCTCTGCGCCATGCGCTAGGCTCTCGTGCATCTACCACGCGTGTGTGCGTATTCTTGGCTGATACCCATGAGCTGTCGACCGATTCACTTCCATACCTGGTGGCTTGTGACGTCTTGGCCGACCACCCCAGGCGTAAAACTGCCATTTTCGATGTAGGCCCTCTTCTAATCGTGCTTGCCCACGCCTGCAAAGACGACCATTTCCCTTGTTGGTGTACTTATTAACGTCACTCCCAATCCATCCACGGCCTTTCCTTCGCTTCTGCACACCCTGCCACAGCCCATTCTATTCGCATCTCCACCCGATCTGCTCGCATATTACCGACTTCGTTATATGTGTGACAATGAACGATACTTTTCTGGGGTCCGCAACCATCAGCCTCCAAAAGAAACACCTGAAGTTGTAAGGGTCGTTTATATATCTGTCGATCACTGCCCATCCAGACCCATCTTCTTACCACAGCTGGATCAATCCTTCCCCTGCTCAATGACCGACGGATGTAAGATGTCCCTAGTACCTACCTTGACCACCATCCCGGAACCCTTCCCTCTGACATGCATTGCCTCAGTGAATGAGGCACGCGCCATGCGTATCGCCGAGATTCTTTCTGATTTCAGACACCTCCAACATTACATCGCAAACATAAGAGCGAATCCGTCAGCCGAAGACTACTACGAGGAGGGCTATTGCGTACTTCGCCAATGTGCTGGAGACGCCCAGGCTCTGCTCGCTCAACCATTCGATTGCCAAGGACCCGAACCAGATGGTGATTGTGAAGAAGAGAAGACGCAACTTCAACGGTGTGTTCCTTGTCACTCTGGAACAGGTGTGGCTTCGATCCTGACATCAAACATANGAATCATGCTCGATGCAAGCATTCGACGCTTCAAAATCCAGCAGATATACCTCAAAGCAGGAGCAGCTCTACGCTGGGTCAACTCGAGAAATGCCATCCTTGGAGCAAATCGGCCTCAAACCATCCACGCGCCAGCACTGCAACAGATAACCAGCACAATGCGAGCAGTAAGTTTCAACGCTCCTGATTTGCTTTTCTTCGGACATTACTTGCATGAATGCATCAAGCTCAGGGAGCGAATCCGAACCATGGGGCTGGGTTCCTAGTACAAACGCAGTCAACTGACACGGCTTTCCTTGCAGGAACTTGCATCGGTGACACCAGCTCGGGTAGAGCTAGCTCTACGATCTCAGGACAGCGTTCAGGGGAAATGGCTTGCGGAGGACCCGACGTGGAGCACCATGGAAGAGAGCATTCGGACCGGCCGATGATGGCATTGGTCACTCGATCCACCGGCACCAAGCGACCAAGCAACAAACACCCTTGGGAAGATACCGATCGGTGGACTACCAAGCCTTCGGGTCTCAAAAGCGTCGAGTCAAGAGTGAAAGACTGACCAAACTCTCTTGGCTCAGCAGAATCGACACCAACGGCGGCAGCAGCAGCGGAACTTCACCCAAACGGTCCTTTACCGCCTTTGCACGCCAACTCGTTTGCACGTGCGGATTACTCGGACAGATCCGTCGATTTAGGTTCAAGCCTCTCGGCGACTCCGTCCTGCCACTACACGCAACCACTTATCTTTCCGAACGCCTACATCAACCACTGATGTAACCAACACCATTTTCTTCTTTCGAAGAATGGTATCAACGGTCCTGGCAGATGGAAGAAGAAATGAGAGCCTCAGAAGATGGAAAGCGAAATGGAACAAGCACGAGGTGAAGTGAGGTGCTGGGACGGGATTGTGGGGTACCAAGAAACGAAGGATCAGTAACCTCATGTCAGCGCTGCAACTACCAGCCTAGGAAACAATCAGCGCGCTTGCTGCATGATTACACCCCCCCTGCACCTGCCTCGTGGTCTGACACAAAGATCAGCATAGCCTACTCCATATTTACATCTTTATCCATCCTGATGGCAGTTTTTACTGCAGAGACCCGATTGTCAAATTTCCTCATCCTGAACACTCTGGTTCACTTACCACATGACGTGTGCACAACAGCCTTACGCGAGCGCCATAGCTCGAGAACCTGGCAGAGCGGCAGTTTGGCTGGTAAGCTTGCGGAATAGGGTTGGCAGACTTCCTCTCACAGCACTCTGTTCTTTCCTTCGAGACACGTTGTGGCGGTGTCTATCGTTATTTCCAGCGCATCTGTCACATGAGATTGACAGAGTCTAACGCCGCAAACTCACAGCGTTCGTCCAGGAGATTCAGTCCGCTGGACAGCTCCATGGACAACTACCAGACCAGACCCAATCCGTGAGCTCTTATCAATTCCGCAAAATTGGTACAATGTATCCAAGCATTCAGACAACTCCTACCGAAACGGCAGACGTTGTCGGGGTTCATTGGCAGCCCTGAACGATCTGACGACAGTGCAGCTCAAGCATACTTTTCACACTTGGTTTTGCTGCTTCATCGAATCTGAATCATCCTCATCATGCTTACCATCAAAAACTGACAAGGGTCTTCTATCTATCAATGCTCATTGGTTACCGCAGCTACTAAGCACGCTCGCTAACACACTCCAATTCTACGGCAGGTTGGCAGGACGCACTGCTCTCATGACGCTCACCGCCCCTCTATGAGAAACCACCACTGCAACAAAAAGACCGCCAGATCATCGCAAGACGGACCCCATCGCTATAAGACAAGAAACAACACTGTACGCATCAGACTAGACTTTAGGATCACAATGCCGCCCAACAGCCTTTGATCCTTCGGCGAAAGCTTTCCCTTTTCAGCCTACGTCCAACCGTCAAGCCAGCGAACGATCATTGGCTCAACTGCAAGACCCTTGCAGTACTTTCATTCTAGGTCCAAGCAACAAGGCATGCAAGTATAGGAGTCACAGTGGATGACAAGCAGGTACGATAAGGCATGTCGTGCCCCAGGCCACGTGAGGATACCTGGTACCTACGAAGCTTCCCCTCTCGTACGTCGTAAATAGTGTACAAAGGCACAGGATTAGTGACGCCGCTGCCCGCACCACTCTGTTGGGCAGGAACTGAGGTAACTAAACAAAGAGACCCCTCGGATTCAGCATTCATTCGAGCAAGAGTGTTTTCATCAACCTTGATCTCCCGATCGCATCGAGCAACAAGATCCCTACAAGCTTTCCGTGGCCAACGCCCTTTCAAGAAATTCTAACCAAGCAAGACGCTCCGTGTCATGAAGTGAGGTGCTTTGCTCGGAACTCACTTACCGGATCTTCATAGTTTGCGTCCTTCTCTCACGTGGAAGAGATCACCCACCATCACCGCAAGAAGCTTTTTGGTGTTTCTTCTGACAACCCCACCGGATTTGGTAGGAAGAAACTCCGGCGAAGGAAGCTCAAGGTCATGTGCTGTCATCCACCTACGCAGTCACATATCGGATGCTTCAACTCCCGTGTTCCGCTCCTTGGAGCTCTTTGCTTCTCTGATAGATCCTTCCGCTATCTTGGAGGAGCATACAGATAGCAAGAACGATCATGCCCTTGCCCTTGCCCTTGCCCTAAGAGCCAAACATTGAAGTTCGGCAACCCCCTTCCGATCGCTTAGTTTTGCCGTACGTTTCCTGCCTTTGTTCAACGTTCAAACCAGCCAAACTTCAGAGCGTGGAAGAGTTGCACGCCCTTTTTGACTCTTGAGACAGAGATACACATCTTTTCCCACGTGCGGGTGTGGGCCGTGCTGCTGCCGGAAAAAAGACAGAAAAGTCTGAATGTAGAATATGGTGGGCCCACCAGGAACTGCTTTCGGATAGACGCCTGTTGTATGCTTTTGACTTGCTGCTCACAGAACTGGATGATATCGTTCGGAGACGGCGACAACATCAACGCAACAGATCTCGGAGACGGCGAAGAATATTGATGTTTGCGCAGGAGAATAGTAGTGGTGGCTTGTTGCTCTTGCTGCTGGATATCTTTAAGCGCTGCAGCCGCTGGTGCGCAGCTATGCGTGCATACATGCGTGCAATAATACTGCTGAGTAAGGACTAATTATATACGTTGGAGTACTCCGTACGGATGCTAATATTGAACCTTGTGTTCTGATTTGCTTCATTTGACCTACTGCAGACTTGTTGAACATCTGCGCCTTCAAACGACTGCGTTCTGGAAATATGGTTGCTATTGGGTTTTTACTGTTCAAATTACGGTGATCGTGCGATAAGCGTGTCGGAAGACCATTTGCAGAGTTCGATGAGCTAGCTGTTGCCGAAGGTAATGTGTGTGATGGGATGATGGCCTTCCATCAATAAAGTAGTGAATCTGAGGTAAGCATTGATTCTTTCGCAAAAAGAGACCCATCCAATTCTCTGAGAGCATCGAAAGTTGTGAACCACATCTCTGTGGATATTTGTGCTACACCTTCTACTTTCCCAGCCAAACCAAGCATCTCACGGTACCTCTTTCCACAATGAGTCTGAACACCACATTCTTATTTCCGTCCAACCCCCTTCTCGATGCGCCCCATCGTTCCCCCTTAACCGATTACCAGACCTTCGGGTCTTCCAGAAGTCTTCCAGAGGTCGAAAACAATACTGCGCATCCATCGATTTCTTCGGGGTTCGCACCGCTGCCTTGATTCGTCCTAGCCCGACCAGCAAGCAAAAAGTCCTAAGCGGTATTTTCCATGCGAGGAAGAAGGAGACGTTTTATGTCAATGCTGTTACTTTTTGCTTCCTCGTACTCAGCCAAAGTGCAAAGTGCAAAGCAGACAATGGGACAGCACCGATATCGAAAGCCATGTTGCTGGGCAGAAGTCAAAGGCGAACACCGATCCCACGGAGCCATGTCCGTTGAAAGGCGTTCAAGAATGGAGCTGATGTTAAACTGCTCGGGACAAGGAACACGTTTGGGAGAAAAAGGAGATGATTACGCAACAACAACTTGTCAACAACAACAACAGAACCAAGTTATTTTTGTTGAAAGAGGCTGCGAGGGAAACGTGGCTTGCAGCAAACAGCCACAGCTGAAGACGGTTCTTGGCGTGATGATTGGATGAACAGCAAAAAGCCATTTTAACACAGGGGGAGAGACAGCAGTAGATGAAAGCTCTTCATCATCTCTGATTGCCGTTTCTGTTGCTGAACGGAGATGAAAATGCGTGAATCGTATTGTTGGGGTTTCTCGATGCATCGAAGGCGCCTGGTATGGTTTCTGGGGCGTCGTCTGTGATGGTTATTGTGGATTGGTTGCCATCGTGAGGTTGGGAGGTGATGCGTTTGCGCTTGTTTCGTGATGAGCTTGATGCTTGTTGTTGACTTGTCATGGCTTTTTCTTGAGCAGACCATTTGGCGAGGATGGCGTCTTCTGATGGATTGTCCAGGTTGTGGTAGGAAGCATGGTGGCCACAGCCGTCGCATTCAAAAGATGTAGCTGCCNNTGTTTTTCCCCCACGACATGTGTTGGTATGAACAAAGAGGGAAGAACAAAATATGAGGATACTGATGAGGAACAAGAAAACTTGACCTACCTTGACAGGATGTAGCATGAAACGAAGGCATGGACATTTGTTGGATATCATGCCGTTTTTGTGGTTACATGATCCGCGTGGGGGAGTGTAGTTCATGGAACTCCAAACACTATTTGCGGGTATTTGCGTGTTCGACATATTGGATTAGGATCACCAGCACAACTTCTCGTAGATTGTGATCATTTGTAGTGCCTGTCTCTGAGAAAGAGAGAGAACACGGCGGCGTGTTGCGATTGGTACACGACATCATCAGATAAGATTGAGCTGGTGCCAAGACTTGACAGAGCCGTCTGGGGTTCGAGCTGTGTTGCATACGAGGACGGACAGTTTGCGCCATCATCCATCTCGTCGCATTGAATACTGTCATCAGATTATCAAGATGCCGAAATATAAGTCAACTCTTTTCTCAATTACTGATCTCTTGCTGACACTCAACTACTCTTCTGTAGGTCTCCACGCGATAGCCAGACGAAGACGAACCGAACACTCATGCGAATACAGGCGATTACTGCGATGTCTACCTTACTCACGACAGTATGAGTGTGAGAAAGGCTCATAACAGCGGTCGCAACCATCTACGAAATGTCGTCGACTACTACCAACGTATGCGCCGCAAACCGGGACCATACAGAAAGAGATGCAACTGACACGCCTGCCCAGAAATCGGCCACGAAAAGGCTCAATCAGTCATCGATAGCATCACCTCCTCATACGCCGCCGAAGGACAAGCAAGCGCAAACCCCATGTTGCCCGGTGGAACCCATGCTGGCGTAGCAGCCATGCCTTTTGGCTTCCCTGCCGGCATGCCCCCACCACCCGGTGGTATGCCATTCCCTCCACCAGGCGCAGGTCGCGGTATGCCGCCATTCCCCTTCCCTCCCAACGGAATGCCTCCTTTCCCTCCCAACGGCATGCCGCCCTTCCCTCCGACACCCGGCGCAGCTGGATCACCACCTCAAGGCATGCCTTTCCCTCCTCCTGGCGGTATGCCGTTCCCTCCACCAGCAGGTATGCCTTTCCCGCCAATGGGTGGCCCTAGCCCTGGTCCTGGCGCCGGTCTCCCGCCACCCGGAATGCCCATGTCGCACGACCCAAGACGCCAATAGGATAGCTCTTGGGAACGGTCCTCGCGCAATCCGAACTGGCCTGAGCAGGAGCAGCAGCAACGTGACCCCAATCGTCGACTTTGGGGAGGCCCGGTAGCGCCAACGCCTCCGCGCGACCCACGAATGCATTAGGGAGTTCTCGAGGGGTCGCGATGCGACATGGACAGGGACATGGACAGGCACGTTCTTGCAATTCAGAAACACCAGAGGATTATGGAACAAGAAGAAGAATTCCGGAAGCGACAGGCAGCAAAACATGCAAAGAGGAAACGGAGCGCTAGCCCTGACATGGGAAGTCGTCAAGACACGAGTGGAGATAGCAAACGAAGACGTTGATTATGCTTGGGATGGCGTTGAAGCAGGGGTGAACATCGACAGGCGCATACGGAGTTGATCGAGGGAACGGAAGGCAAGCACATCAGCATAAAGATATCCCTCAAGGTCATGTAGAATTAAGACGCGCTCTAGAAGCAGCGTAACAAATCATTCTTCGTCTCCATCAATGTAGAGCTACAAGATATCCTGTCCTGATGCCTCGGCTCTACGTATGCTCGAGTCGTGATAGAATTGGTGACGTCTGAGTGCGGCCCGCCCAAGATGCATCTTTCACATGCGAACATCTTGAGAAGTCAACAATCGTCGCCATGGGTCTAATCGAGGCAGTCTACATATTCAACGAGCGCAAGTACAGTAAACCCCTCCACCCTCGCTATTGCCATCCCTTCACTGACCCGCCGTACAGCAATGCCATCGTCTCCCACACTTTCACCGCGCGCCCACCACCCGCTACCACCCTTCTACCACTATACCTCGCCCTCTCAGAGCCCCGGCCGTCATGTATCTACCTAACAGGGACAAACCCGCCGACACTGCTGTTCTCCATGCTGCAGGATGGTCTCCTGTTCCTGAGCCCTTGCTCGACCGACACCGAACCTCTAGTCGTCCTCGAATTTCTACATCGCGTGGCCGACGCGCTGGAAGAGTTTCTGGGTGCGCCTCTGTTGGCGAGCAAGCTGGAAGCCAACTATGATGTTATAGCCCAGGTCTTGGGTGAGATGTGTGATGGAGGCTTGATTGGCGGGACCGAGGCCAATGCTCTCAGAGATATTGTGGATACACCGTCATGGATGGGCAAGTTGCTGNGGGGTGTAGGATTGCCTGGGTATGTGGGCATGCGAAAACGCGCTCTTGTTGCTGCAGCTGACACAAAACTAACAGCTNCTTCTCCCGCCCTAAATGCTGGACCGACACCCTTCTCTGGCATGGGGAGCGGTGGCAGTGGAAGCCTTACTCCTACACTATCGACCGCTGGCTCTCAGATCCCCTGGCGCCGCTCCAATGTCCGTCATACGAGCAACGAGATGTACGTCGACATTGTCGAGACCCTCTCCGTCACCTACGCTCCCTCGGGCCGCCCTCTAGCTGCTTTTGCCAACGGCAGCATCGCCTTCACCAGCAAGGTCTCCGGTGTACCCGACCTACTGCTAAGTCTACGAGCTGGCAGTGGCCCTGGAGCAGACAAGGTCAAGCGCACCATGGAACGCCCCGTCTTCCACCCTTGCGTACGCCTCGCCCGCTGGAGAGATCACGCAGAACTTTCCTTTGTACCTCCAGACGGTCGTTTCGTGCTCGCCGGCTACGACGTCGATTTACTGGATCCTTCAGCCTCGCCTCTATCTGCCAAAGCTGCTGATCTCAATCTACCTGCGTCGATAGAGATACGCACAGGATTGGGTGCCACAGGCTCAGACTTTGAAGTCCGATTGGCAGTCAGCCATCGCTTTTCCAGCGGTGGTTCTGCGAGCGCAGCTTCAAGCGCAGGAGCAGGCTCCGCGGCTGCAACAAGTCTCTCCAACAATCTAGGTGCTCCTCGACCATCCGCTCTCCGCGGCAACAGCGGCGAAGCCAAGGCACCGGCACTCGAAGACTTGTGCGTTAGCATCCCCATCACCTCTGCCGTACGCAACATCAGCGATCTGCGCGCCACAAAGGGAGAAGCACACTGGAGCCCCGGCGACACCTGCATCGAATGGAAAATCTCCGCCAAGGAAGCCGCAGGCATCGGTGGCGCAGGCTGTGTACTACGTTGCTCAGTCGTCGGCTCTTCCTCTGACGACGAGACCGAAGCCCTTTCCAACGGTGGTATGACCGCAAACACGCACGACTACGACGACGAGGACGACTACCAAACCCCCACTACCAACTCTGCCTCGAAACCTCAAGACTCTAGCACAGTGAACAAGAAAAAGAAGTCACAGAACGGTATTCTGATGCCTTCGAGCGCGAGTCTTAGTTTCAGTGTCAAGGGCTGGTTAGCTAGTGGCTTGAAAGTGGACAGTTTGGTCGTTGATACCAAGAGGAGTAAAGGGCTGGGTGAGNGAGTGAGACCGTACAAGGGAGTCAAGTACTTGACGGTGAGCAGAAAGGGTGTGGAAGTCAGATGTTGAGAATGTGTATATAGAGAATAATCATACAATGCTGATGTCTGCTTGACGTTTCTCTCGTTTATGCTAGCAGAGGATCTTCGAATGCAAGGGCGAATGCATGTGCGAGATGTTGAATTGCAAATTGCGCGTTGTTTGAGCAATGGTCTTCGTTTGACCAAAAGATCAAATCTCACTTTGCTTCATCTACTCTTTTTCTTGTCTAGCATTAACATGTACAACAGCCTAAAAAATATTCTCCAGAAAGAAAAGAAACAACCCACCTGACTCTCCCTTCACAGAAACAGACGTCAAATCGAATTCCTCCATCTCTCCTCTATCTCTCTCTCTTTCCCAAATCCATATACAATTGTCTTTTCCCCTTCCTGCCCCCAAGCACAACAGAAGAAAAATCAAAACAAGACAAATTCCTGCCAATTCGGAGTCAGTCTACCGAATGCGTGGTTCAGGAAGGGGGATGGGAAAAAAACAAGGAATTGGCATTGGTAAAGAGGCAAAGTGAGATGGGGGGGGGGGGGGGGGGGGGGGGAAAGAAAGAGGCTGGGTTTGGACTGGAAAGTGGATTTGGGGGGAAACAGCTATGAGTAATGGGGGCACACAGGCAAGGATGATATGCAGGGAGATTGTCGAGCCGTGAGAGTAAATTGACAAGCATGAACACACAGGAATGGTATAGGAGACTATTGGAACAAGGAGGCATTCCGCAGCTTTTACCATGATTCGTGGACGGGGACGAATGCAATGCCCTTATCCTCAGAACACAGAAGCAAGCATGTCACAAACCCCAAGACCAGAGCAGTAAGACAGTCACACAAGCACAAGTGCACATGACCTCAACACTCGGCATCTCATATGGCTTTCAACACGACCTCGAATTTGCCTTTCTCGTTCTAGCATCCATGCCTTGCTGTACGTTTCCCTTTTCCTTCAGTGTGGTATCAAAAAAGATGCTTAGAGCTGGCCCAGGGAGGCGGCACGCTCGTCTTCGAGCTTGGCGTAGAACAGATCGCGGCGGCGGACGGCGGGGACGTGGAAGCCTATTGCTCCATCAGTCTTTTGTATTCTTGCTTTCTCTTTCTTTTCTTGCTTCGTCAAAGTGGCCAGAGAGTGGGTGTCGTGTATAGCGTATCGTGTATCGTGATTCGTGACGTTTCGTGACTCGCAGGATGTTGTGCATATGATCGTATTCGTTCCAAGGGCAAGGAGATGTATCCAGAGATTCGAGAAAGCAGCGAGGAATAGAAAGAGCGTCCGAAGAGTAAGAGAAGAGCGGTTTTACATACCGTACCACCAGAGGTAACCGGCCGAGGTACCGAGACCTGTGAATCATATGTCAGCCATGCCAGTCACCACAGAACACATTTTTTGGACTAGAGCTTACCAAAGGCGACGGAAAGATCGAGGACGAGTCCTCTACGGAGCATCTGTTGTTACGTGCATCAGTAAGCTAGGTTTCCTTGTCTACAAGTCGTCGGGTTGTTTCGCGCGCGCCGTCGGTGTGGGGGTTTGCGCGAGGAGGCGAATCGATTGGAGGCACGTACACCGGTAATGGGCTTGATAGGCATTGTGAAGTGGGGGTTTGTGGCGGTTGATATGGAGGGGGGAGATGTTGCGCGTGCAATTCGAGACTCGCAATCGGTATGCAACTGCATGAGGTGACGACGGATTAATCCGGGAGTGCCAAGCTTTCCGCTCGTGCTTGCCTCGATTTATTTTTCGCTTAATCTTCTTTTTGTTTCCAGGAACTCGTGTGCTCACATCGTAGTGGTGGATTGCGAGTGATGGATTGAGTATATGGTTTGGTTTCATGTACAATATAGAGGTTTTTCTGTCTCATGCAAACAGACGCATAGCCCTGTTTTCCGCCTATCTTACAACAATACACGATGCCTCTCGCGTGACGTCTAGAACAAAAGGGCATATACAAGTCAGACAGCCACAGGCCTCCGACCAAATAGCAAACACAATGCGAGCCCCTTCACGCGCCCTGATAACACCCATGAAAATGCAAATGCTTTGCAACTTTTCCTTTCTTTTTCCTCCATAACGACAGACAACCAGAAATCTACACAGCCTTTCCCCAGCTCTGCTTCCTGGTCTGCCTGTCCTCACGCGCCTCTCTCTTGGTACGTCCCCACTTCTCCTTGATCTTCTCCAGCTCAGCCTGCCTCTCATCCTTGATCGCCGGTGCCGAGCAGCACAGACTGACAAAAAACTGGCTGCACTCAAACTTCTCGGCCAATCGCACTCGGGTCCACTTGCGCGGGTCTTCTGCTCGCAGCCGTCTGATCTCTTCAATGTCGGCTTCCTTGAGATGGTACTTTTTCTCGTAGACTGGTCGCACGGCAGGTGGCAGCGAAGATGTGGATTCTGCAGTGGAGGCAGTGGGGCGGAGGAGGGTGTGCAGGCGGCGTCGCGGGTCGTCCTTGGGCAAAAACTTGAGGGGCGTGTGGTAGACGTTTGGCGCCGACGAGGGAGGGTTGTAGATGATGTGGTCTTGGTTGCCGGTCTTGTCGGTAAAGGAAGGGTCGGGCTGGACGAGCAGCATCTTTTTTGTGCGGCGGAAGGACGAGACGTGGCGGCATTGCTGCTGCTGGAGCGAGCGCAGGCACTGCTGGCCGGTGGTTTGCAGCGAGTGCGGTATCCTTAATGTCGTGTGCATTGTGTGTTGTGTTGTGTGGATGGAGAACGAGGGTGGTGGCAGCAAGTGGTGCTCTTGCGAGTCGAAGCAGCGAAATCGACTGGAAAGTTGCTCCGAAGAGCACAGACCTCTCCCCATTCAACTCTCGACCCTTCAACACAGACAGCACTCGATCACATGTACAACAAGACGATAAACAGAGCAAACGTGTATATATTGCCATGGGCGAGCATGCAATAAACATGGGCCACGTCTGTGACCCGCGCTGTCGCCGTGTGCATGCATTCACGGCGTCGCTTGTATAGAAAATGGAGCCAACATGGCAACAGAGGAAAATCGCTTGTATCGATAGCACAGAAAGAAAACGCCTGTCATATGCCACATCAAACCCTTCGTCCTCGTCTCCCGCCCAGTACTCTACTTCATGACGCGGTCGTACGAGATGCCCTTGACGCTACCGCCTGCCATGCTCGAACGCACATTACGCTTGAATCCATCACGGTCGCGTGCCAGATCCTCAGCGGCCTCCTTGTTCAATGGATCACTAGCGTTGGGTTCGAGGAACAGGAACTGCAGACCGACAATGACAGCGTTCAGGTTGAGTACCGGCTTCCAGTCCTCGCGCAGAATGTTCAAGCACACGTTTCCCTCGAGGTCAATGTTGGGGTGGTAGATCTTTTGCGTGCACTTGACCTTCGGCGGCTCGTGTGGGAAGTTCTGGCTGATGTTGAATGTGAAGTTGAAGGTGCCGTTCTTGTACATGCCCTCGTCGGGTGCGATGGTCAGGCTGAAGTGCAGGATGTCGTCGGGGTCTGGGAAGGTCGTCGTCATGGTACTACCGAGCGACAGTTCCGAGAGATCTGTAGTGCCATCTTTCAGTGTATGCGATGCAGTTGCAGTTCATGTCTACACACCCTTCTGCACACGCAGCTGTGCTGCCGTGACCTTCTTCTTCTTTGCGCCACCAGACGCAGCGGCTTGGTCCTTTTGCTGCTGTTGTTTCTGTCATGGCCGGTCAGTTATGTCTTGTCGGCGGTATCCTCGCATCACACGTACCATAGACCAGATCTTCAACATCTTGAATGTGTGTTTGGGGGTGGTTAGACCGACGAGGCCGTTCGAGGTACGTGGTGTCCTGTAGCGAGAGTGGAGTGGTTCGAGTCCGCAGAGTCCGCGCTGAGATGAAAGGGAAGGCGCCGAGGATGATCGTGAAGGATGTTTGGCTTGGTGTCGTGTGTTATTGCTTGCGAGTTGCGAGATCAATCATCGTCACGTCCAACTCTCAATGAGGGAGGCCCCACGCTTCACCGCCTTCGCTCTTTCGTCATCAGTCTTGTTTCGAGTCTCGACTTCCTCTTTCTCACTCCAACTCATGTAACAAGTCATTGAGACAAGTCAAAGTGATCAAACCGTCGAGATGTAGTGTCTTGAGGTTCCTCAGGATCAAGATTATTCGAAAGTACTTGACCGAGTCTGAGAGATCGGGTTGCCAGCGGTATGACCCTGTTCCACTCTACCATATCCTGCTCTTCTGTTAGATCCAACGAGAACAACGAGACTACTACCGGACACTATGTTGGTTCGTATATATGATAGATTCGACATGGATATATGGTTCTATTGCTGGTATGAGGTCCTGATACCTGATGCATTAGCAAACAAGTCTCCCTGACTTGGCTAAAGAGCTAGATAGAGCATCGCAACACAAGGTGCAACCAAGTAACCCCTGAGACGAGAAACCACGAGGAATAGACAGAGCGATGGAGGTAACAATAGTTTGCCTGGGTATCGATAACGCATCCGCAAATGGAATCATTGATAGTTACGATGTCTGCTTCCCCTAATCTACTGCTGCTGAGCATCAGCAACCTGAACCACCATCTTCATCCTCATCGCACTATTCGCCAACATCTTCACAGCCTTTTCCTCCTCGGCTTCTTTGACGCCAACCAACTTCCTTGTGCCAAACTTGGCCTTTGCTTCTCTAGCTTTGATACCTTCATCCAGCTTCTTCTTCAGACTGTTGTTAACAATCAGCGCAGAGTGTCTGAACAGCAATCTCAACAGAGCTTCCACAAGCAGACTGACGCGTGCATTTTCGACATAGTTGGTGTAGTTTGCGGAATATGGTAAGAAGTGTTTCTCGAAGTCTATCTGTGTCATAGTGTCGGCGTGGTAGGTTGGTGCTTCGGAGGAAATGGTCGGCCGAAGGAGATTCTGACATAGCGAGGCATGGGAATGAGGTTCTAGCCAGGGGGTGGGGGGAGAGACGAATAGAATAAAGGTGTCTAATGGTAGAGGGCGGAGGAACTCTGTCACTAGATCGAAGCAGTCTTCGGCTTCCATGAAGGCGTGTTCGTAGTGGGAGGAGATTTGTGTGAGCTGCAAGAGTGTTAGACGACGGATGGGTTGGACGGAAGGCAAGATTGTACCTACCAAAGCGATCAAGCGCTGGCGCAGGTGCACGGCTTCATAGCCACCATAATCTGAAGATACGCTACGCTCACTCTCTACCTCCGGATCTGGTGTGGCTGAAGAAGGTCGTCCTCTCTTACGCGACGAACGCGCCAAAGTTGATGCTTTAGGGGTCGAGGTCAAGTCTTCTTCCTCTTCTGAATCGTCCACGTCCATGTAGTCACCGTACTCCTCCTGATCAATGTCGATCTTTTTCCTCGGCATCAACTCTTCCACTGTCTTCTGTATCGGAGGTTTGGTCTCGTTCTTCCAGATTTCATGAAACTCGTCTGAATCCTTCTTGCTACCGTTGGCGAGAATTGCTCTCATGACTCTTCGTTTGCCGGCTCTACCGTCACCTGCAGTTAGACAGTACTGTGCGATCATACTGTCTGAAAGGAGTGTGTTGGCTGCTGCTTCTTTGCCATCATCCTTGAGGGGTTCGGCGGCAGAGATCCTTTCTCGCAGATCGTCTTCCATTGCATCAAGCATAAATCCAAGCCAGGGTCTCCATCTTTCCCATCGCTTGGGGTGCTGACATGAACAGTTGAAGGCCCAGCCAACCATGGCCCAAAAGTCTTCGGCGAGATTCCAGAGTGCACTCTTGTCGGCCATTTTGATTGAGAACTTGCCGTCATCTTCTGTACCAGGAGTGAGATCTCCAGTGCGTCGTCGTCTGTCCCGAGAATCAAATTTGTCCAGGAACCTAAAAGCTGAGGTGAAGCGGGCGCTTGCAGCACCGACTATAGAATTGACGTGCTTGAGGAATACAAGTGCATCGTTGGCTGTCTTAATCTTCTCCGGTTCTGTAGCTCGGTTGGTCCAGAGCGGATGCACAGCTAGAGTAGCGATAATTGCTAGTACCTGAGGTGATGGAACATAAGTTGGGAGAGTTCGGCCATCGACAGTGCCGTCAGTGCCTGCGATGAGTGTGTTTAAGAGTAGAGGAAGAGCTTGTGAGACTAGATGGAGTCAGAAAAGCTCTATGCGAAACGTTTGGACAATACCGTACAANAGCTGTTCTTCAATATAGACATTGATGATATCTCGAAGCTCATATGACAATGGCTTGACTGGTCGATACTTCTTGAGTTTTCTTGCTGGTTCTGGCGTTCCAGCCATTTGAGAGCTCGGAATTGGCACTCCGGCCTGTGATGATGGCGGTAAACCAGATCTCGCAGGCATAGTTGTGCTCACTCTTGATGGGGATAATATCAGTCGAGAAGCTCTCTTGGGCAGACGCGTTTCGATGCAACACGGAAGACGCGACCGAGATTGGCATTCAGACGAGCAGGGTCACCCCTAGCAAGCTTGGACCTCGCAAGCGTCACTGCCCACATCCAGTGACATCTCCGAGGCCCTATCGTCGCCCTTCTCTTTGACAGACCAATATATCTTTTATCCGGTACGAGACCTACGTGGCTGGATCACGGGCCTTTGTGCTTACGACTACTCTACGATCTCATTCTGACAGCATTTCCTGCATCTTTGCGAGCGTGTTTCCCTGAGCATCTTTCTACATTGCATATTCGTTAGACACTAATAACAAACCATCATGATGGAGTCTCTCTATTCACGCCTGAGGAGGGTGAACAAGCACAACCTACGCACCCTAAAAGCGCAGCCACTCAACGAACTTTCTGGAGCCCTGGGCGATCTGGGAACTTTGCTGCCTCTGCTTATTGCTCTCACCTTGACAAAGAGCATATCATTATCTGCTACTTTGGTCTTTTCGGGGATCGCAAACATAGCGACTGGAGTCGCATTTGGTATACCGCTACCTGTGCAACCCATGAAAGCTATAGCTGCCATAGCCATCAGCCAGTCCTATACCAAGACCGAGAACATTTCTGCTGGCCTTTTTGTGGGAGGTGTTGTGACACTCCTTAGTCTTACTGGCCTTCTCAAATGGTTCGGCCGCATAGTGCCTATTCCTGTCGTCAGAGGCATTCAGATGGGAGCTGGTTTTGCTCTGGTCATCTCCGCAGGAACCAGTCTTCTCAAGCCCCTCGGTTGGATCAGTCCAAACTGGTCAGACAACTGGCTATGGGCAATGGCCGCATTCTTCTTTCTCCTCGTCTCATCCTTGGTATCCCGAGTCCCATATGCTTTACTCGTCTTTATCCTCGGTCTCACATTCGCCGGTATCAATCTCAACACCTCGCACCCACCACCTCAGCCCTCGTCAGGCTTTCAAATCTGGCATCCCAGGATCTACATCCCGTCCCCTCAGGACTTTTACAAGGGTGCCTTCGAAGCCGGTCTGCCCCAACTTCCTCTCACAACCTTGAATAGCATTTTGGCGGTAACGTCTCTCTCGTCCTCTTTATTCCCTTCTTACCCACCCACCCCCACAAATACACAGATTGGCCTCTCAGTCGGCCTCGCAAACCTCATCGGCTGCTGGTTCGGCGCCATGCCCATCTGCCACGGCTCCGGCGGCCTAGCAGCTCAACACCGCTTTGGCGCCCGCAGCGCGNCCTCCATCATCATCCTCGGTGCCGTAAAACTGCTGCTCGGCCTCTTTGCCAGCGACTCTGTCATCCCTCTCCTCTCCCTCTTTCCAAAATCTCTGTTGGGAGTTATGGTGTTAGCTGCTGGAGTGGAACTTGCCAAAGTGGGTCAATCGCTAGACGACGTGCAAGATGCATGGCAAGCCACAGAGCAAGAAAACGAAGATGCGGATGCCACGGATAAGAGACGCAAACTCAACGAGCAAGAGAAGAAGAATCGCTGGGCTGTCATGTTGATTACTGTGGCTGGATGTTTGGCGTTCAAGAATGATGCTGTAGGGTTCATTGCGGGCATGGTGTGGCATTGGGGTTTGAAGATGTCGGAGTGGGTGCAGGAGAGACAGTGGAGGAGTCAGAGGAGATTGACGCGCTTCTTTACGTCGCAAGAGTATAGGGATGGCGAGGATGCGCCTCTGTTGCGTAACGATGATGCTTGAGGGCTGGGTTGGAATAGGTCACTTGAGCTTCTCTTGGTGTAAAAGTAGGAATTTATGACTTGACAATCATGAAACAAACCTATCGAAACCTCCTCAAAGAAGTCAAGATGCAGAGAATGTGGAAAGATCAAATGCAATGACACATATGTACTGAGACGTGTTTGATGCAAGAAAGAGAAACGCAAGTAAAAAACATTATGATCATTGACCGCCCCCACGCTTGCTACCATGATCCCATCTCATTTCGTGACAAGGAAAAGCTCGAAAAGTCCATGAAGATAGCGATCAACCACCTTACTTCTCCTCCTCATTGATCGAGAAGGCTCTGTAGTGCTGCTTGACAATGTCCTTCAGTCTCTTGTCCATAACATTTCTGCCCTCAAGGGTTCTCCAGACTTCGTGGGGAGCCTTGTTGACGACATCCCAGCTGATCAAGTTCTCGGTCAGCTTGGTCAGGTCGCGTTGCTTGCGCTCCCACTCGTTGTCGCGGCGGTTGCTAATACCACTGCTGATGATGACAAGTGGAACGTCGGGAGTCTGAATAGTACGAGCGCTGGCAACCTCGTTCTTGGTCAAGGACTCGGCGATGAGGTTCTCCTGGAGCTGAGCCTTGATGAACTTGCCACCTTGGTAAGCCGAACGACCGTAGACGCGATCCTCACGGGTGCGTCCGTTGAAGATGGCACCAAAGTTGCGCTGGATACCAAGAGGTGAGATGATACCGAAACCCCAGAGAACAAAGCCTCTGTATGCACCACCAATGCGGTGGAGAAGGTCCTCGTGAAGAGGATCAATCATCATGATACCGGCAATGTTGCGGACGTGACGAGCGGAGAAGATGCGCGAGACGATGGAGCCGTAGCCAGCTGAGACGAGGATGAAAGGTCCTTCCTCACCAGCGACAGCCAAAGCCTCGGACAGAGCATCAGCGGACATGCCAGCACTGTGAGGGCTGGGAGCGCTGTCAGACCAAGCGTAGCCAGGACGATCCCAGTAGCAGTAACGGTCGATAGTGCCATTCTTCCATGCAGCATAGGCCCAGTGCTCAAAGTCGTACTCCGAAGGCACCTCGCCAGCCTCGAGCAGAAGAGTGGGGTTAGCGACACCATCAGCGCTGTAAGTAACGTTGCCCAGGCAGGCCAGGTGGACTTGGTACTTATCGCCATCCACGTAGTAACGCTCGCCATCCATGGGGAGGGTAGCGTCCCAGGCACGCAGAACAAGAGTCGCAGTCATGAGGACGGCGATGATGGCGTAGATGATGAGGATGAAGGTGGCCAGGGAAACGGCCAACCACTCGCGCAATGTTCTGCGTGTCTCGGCGCGACCAGTAAGACGCTCTTCCTCTTCCTTCTTGCCCCAAGCCACGACTCTGTCGGTAATGACACACCAAAGACCGATAAGAGTAGCCCAGGCAATCGAGGCGATACCCGGCCAACCCTCCTCAACCCTCAGGCGAGGGATGGCGAGGATCATGATCAAGTCAATGGCCAGAATGGAAGTGATGATGCCCATGGTGATGCGCATGCCCTTGGAGGGGGCAGCAAAGAAGAGGATGGCGACCAGGAGGTTACCAGCGGTGAGGGTGGTGTAGGAAAAGTCGAAGAAACCGGAACCTCTGGTGTGCAGACCAGGAGGAGAGACGAAGATGCTCACAAAGAGCAGGATCCACCAGATGAAGTTGATAAGGAAGAAGAGAACGGTGATGTATCTCAGGAAGCGGACGGTCCAGAGGTTGTAGGGAGAGACCNNTATGCTTGTCAGTCTAGCGCCATGGTAACAGAGTAGAAAGAGCTGGCTTACAGCCGGGTCATCGGGGTCCAGGTAGCCATCCGAGTGAGGGGGACGAGGTTGAGCGGGCAAGAGTCTGGTTCTCTCATCTGCTTCGCGCTCCCTTCGCTCGTAGGAACGTCTGGACGGAGGACGTCTGGTGTCCTCGGTCGAGCCTCTCGGCGTGGTAGAGCCATCGTCGGGCTGCTCATCATCATTGTTCTTCGAACCCCACAGCGAGACCATGTTGATTGATATAGGTGCGACAGGTACCTTGTACTTGTCTGCCAAAGTTTAATGTTCAAAACAAAAGGAAGGACGAGGGAAGGTCGAGATCTTGTAGGAAACGCTGGTTGAAGCTCCAGGCAGCGCAACGGGAATTCCATCGACCCAGCCACGATGACGATGCAGACCCCGCGAACGGCAAGCGCGATCAACGCCTTCCCTCATATGGGACGCATGTGATTTTCATCTTCGCCGCGTGCCATTCGAGCTTAAACATTGATTGCCTCTCGAATCATGTCCTTGGTTGTTGCAAGAGCTGTAACTCCTCCTCTCCTCATAGTTTTTGTTGCTTCCTGTTTTTGCGTTCTATCAGAGGCAAATGCTCATAGTATTGCAGTGACATCCATGCAATATCTGCAGTCAAGATCTGAGCCGCTTGTCTTGCGCTGTTTAACCAAAGCTCATGTGTCTGCTATCCACTTCTGACGAACTGGGAAATTCACGTCTGTGCTCCCGGGATGCGGGCAACTCAGTCGATCACAAAAAGCTTAGGATAAGGAATGCCAAGGGCGGTGGATGAGCTGTGGTTGAGAATACTGATGCTATCAAGATGTCGACCGTTGTCAACAGCAGCTGGTTTCACGGCTTCCGACAATGCTCCTTTCGGCGGAAAGCCGACTGAACGCCAAGACTCGGTGGATGTTCGCCGCTGGTCAAGCTCTGGGTCGAAGAAACCAATCTACAAGGCAGCACACGCGTAGGGAGCCATCCATCTACGTCTGTCGCCCGCCACCCAATACTACACCCACACAACCGTCACAATGGCCGAAAATGAAGATGCAAAGCGCCTCAACCAGTACAAGTACTCGGCCATGTCCAACCTGGTCCTCCAGGCGGACCGTCGATTCATCACGCGCCGAGGTGATGACAGTACTGGTGATCCCGAGTCGCTCGCTGGCCGCATCAACTTGAACGACATGGGCTCGCGCAATGCCCGTGAAGCCGCCCCTGCCCAACCAGCCGCGCAAGATGCCCAAAGGAAGCGCAAGAGAGCAGAACCCGCGCAAAGTGCTCGCGCCTCTGGCATCCTATCACAAGCAGACCTCAACATCGAAGGTCTACGATATCGTCCTCGCACACCCGCCACCCAGGCGACCTACACATTGATCAACACATTGGTGGCGCAGAAGATGGGAGGTGACTATGGTCTCCACATCACCGCCAGTGCCACCGACAGCATCCTGGAATACCTGAAGGATCAAGACCTGAAAGACTTTGACAAGAAGAGGGAGATTGATGACATTGTTGGTGTCAATCTGTCATCGAAGGAGTTTAACGAGCTCGTCAACTTGGGCAAGAAGATCACCGATTACGACGCACAAGACGAGGACGAAAACATGGGCGATGCAGACGACGCTGGCGAAGGCGATGATATCGATGACCGTCAAGGTGTCGCTGTTGACTTTGGTGACGAGGACGATGAAGAAGGTCAAAACTACGAAGTTCGCGACGGAGAGGGAGAGTCAGATGATGAGGATGTCATCGAGGATCCGGATAATGTTGTCGCAACCGGTGCTGAAGACGTGGAAGATATGGCCGCAGAAGGCGACGAGGAGGATCTCGTTTTCTCAGCCCCAGCCGCCAACCGTTCAGCAAAGGCCGATCAAGAGGACATCATACCCGCACACGAGATCGACGCTTTCTGGCTCCAACGACAAATTGGTCAGCTCTATGAGGATGCACACATCCAGCAAGACAAGACATCACAGGCGCTAGACATGATGTCTGGCTTGAACGAGNACGGCGAGGAAAAGCAATTGCGCGATGTTGAAAACGATTTAATGGAGCTTTTCGACTACGAGCACCCCGAGCTGGTCTCGAAGCTTGTAAAGAACAGAGATAAGGTCGTATGGGCAACGAGGTGGAGAAGAGCTGGCGAAGACGAACCAGCTCGCGTGGCTGTTGAGCGCGAAATGGTCCAGGCCGGACACGGAAGTATTCTCAAAGAGCTCAAAACACGCCAACAAGGCACCGATGGACAAGCCTCAGGGAAAATGCAATTCGACCTCATGGATCTGGACACTGCGACTGGAAAGCCTGTTGCTCCTGAAGAGAAGAAGGAGGGACTAGTCGGTGGTCTTCAACCGAGCAGGACTATCAACCTGGAGAACCTTGTCTTCGATCAGGGAAACCACCTTATGACTAACCCGAGCGTGAAGTTGCCACAAGGATCGACCAAGCGTACTTTCAAGGGTTACGACGAGATTCACGTCCCAGCCCCCAAGCGCAAGCGTGAAGACTTTGAGACTCCCAACCTTCCAACCACTGAACTCCCTGAATGGGCTCGTGTTGGTTTCGGTAGTTCCAAGGAGCTTAACCGTATCCAGACACGATGCTTCCCTACTGCTTTCAAGGATGACGGTAACATGCTGATTTGCGCACCTACTGGATCTGGTAAAACGAACGTGGCCATGCTCGCGATGTTGCGCGAAATTGGCAAGCACCGTAATCCCGAGACTGGCGAAATCGATCTGGACGCTTTCAAGATCATCTTCATCGCACCTCTGAAAGCTCTGGTACAAGAACAGGTCGGCAACTTCGGCGCGCGCCTGGCACCTTATGGTATCAAGGTTTCAGAGCTGACCGGTGATCGTCAACTCACCAAGCAACAAATCGCCGAAACTCAGGTTATTGTAACAACGCCAGAAAAGTGGGATGTTATCACCCGCAAGGCCACGGACACCAGCTACACCAACCTTGTGCGTTTGATCTGCATTGATGAAATCCACTTGCTTCACGACGATCGTGGTCCGGTTCTTGAGAGTATTGTGAGTAGACAGATCCGCAAGATTGAGCAGACTGGTGAGCCTGTACGTCTTGTAGGTCTCAGTGCCACTCTCCCCAACTACCGTGATGTCGCCACTTTCTTGAGAGTCGACATGCAGAAGGGACTCTTCCACTTCGACGGCACGTACAGACCTTGTCCCCTGAAGCAGGAGTTCATCGGTGTGACGGAGAAGAAGGCGATCAAGCAACTCAAGACCATGAACGACATTTGCTACAACAAGGTCCTCGAGCAAGTTGGTCAACAACGCAACCAGATGCTGATCTTCGTCCACTCTCGTAAGGAGACCGCGAAGACAGCAAAGTATATTCGCGACAAGGCTCTCGAGCTTGAGACCATTGGCCAGATCTTGAAGCATGATGCAGCCAGTCGAGAGATCTTGACGGAGGAAGCCGAGAGTGTGACAAATGCAGACCTTAAAGATCTCCTCCCATACGGTTTCGGTATCCACCATGCTGGTATGAGCCGAGCCGATCGTAACTCGGTCGAAGAACTATTCGCTTCTGGCGATGTTCAGGTTCTTGTCTGCACAGCCACTCTCGCGTGGGGTGTCAACCTTCCAGCCCACACAGTCATCATCAAGGGTACGCAGATCTACTCTCCTGAGAAGGGTAGCTGGGTTGAGTTGTCACCCCAAGACGTCCTTCAGATGCTCGGTCGTGCTGGTCGTCCACAGTACGATACATATGGTGAAGGTATTATCATCACCACGCAACAAGAAATTCAATACTACTTGTCGTTGCTGAATCAGCAGCTTCCCATTGAGAGTCAGCTTGTTAGCAAGTTGGCAGACAACCTCAATGCTGAAGTTGTTCTTGGCAACGTCCGCACTCGTGACGAGGGTGTTGAGTGGTTGGGTTACACATATCTGTTTGTGCGTATGTTGCGATCACCCGCTTTGTACCAAGTTGGCGCCGACTATGAGGACGACGAAACTCTTGAACAAAAGCGTGTCGACTTGATTCACTCCGCGGCTCTGCTTCTCGAACAGGCGAACCTTGTCAAGTACGACAAACGTGCGGGCCGAATCGTTTCTACAGAGCTTGGTCGTATTGCATCGCATTACTACATCACTCACAAGTCCATGTTGACCTACAACCAGCAGATCCAGCCATCGATCACACCTATCGAGCTGTTCCGTGTCTTTGCTCTCAGCGAAGAGTTCAAGTATATTCCCGTTCGTCAGGACGAGAAGCTTGAGCTTGCAAAGCTGCTTGGCAGAGTCCCTATTCCTGTCAAGGAGACCATCGATGAGCCTCACTGCAAGATCAACGTATTACTCCAAGCATATGTATCTCGTCTGAAGCTTGATGGCCTTGCACTTATGGCCGACTTGGTTTACGTCACACAATCCGCTGGTCGTATCCTGAGAGCAGTCTTCGAGATTGCCCTCAAGAAGGGTCTGGCCTCAGTCGTCAAGGATGCTCTCAACCTCTGTAAGATGGCCGAGAAGCGCATGTGGCCAACCATGTCACCTCTGAGACAGTTCCCAGAGTGCCCTGCAGACATTGTCCGCAAGGCTGAGCGCATTGACGTGCCATGGTCGAGCTACTTTGACCTTGATCCTCCTCGTATGGGAGAGCTTCTCGGCTTGCCTAGAGCTGGTAGACAAGTCTGCGCCTTGGTCCAGAAATTCCCTCGACTGGAGATTCAGGCTCAAGTTCAGCCCATGACACGAACCATGCTTCGTGTTGAGCTCACCATTTCGCCCAAATTCGAATGGGACGAAGCTTTGCACGGCAAGTCTGAGAGCTTCTGGATTCTCGTAGAAGACTGCGATGGTGAAGAGATTCTGTTCCACGACCAGTTTGTTCTTCGTAAGGAGTACGCCGAGGCTGGAATGAACGAGCATCTGGTTGAGTTCACCGTGCCCATCACTGAGCCCATGCCACCCAACTACTTCGTCACCGTTTTGTCTGACCGATGGATGCACTCCGAGGCCCGCCTGGCTGTATCCTTCCAGAAGCTCATTTTGCCTGAGAAGTTCCCTGCTCACACCCCTATCTTGGACTTGCAGCCACTTCCTATCGCGGCTCTCAAGCGTGAAGAGTTTTTCAACCTTTACCCCGACTGGGAACGCTTCAACAAGATTCAGACTCAGACCTTCAACGCCTTGTACTCTTCGGACGACAACGTGTTTGTTGGCTCTTCTACTGGTAGCGGCAAGACAGTATGTGCTGAGTTTGCTCTGCTCCGTCACTGGAGCCAAGGCGATGGAAAGGCTGTCTACATCGCACCCTTCCAGGAGGCCATCGATGCTCGTTACAAGGATTGGCAATCGCGCTTGACTGGCATTGCTGGTGGCAAGCAGGTTGTCAAATTGATTGGTGAGACTACTGCTGATCTCAAGTTGCTCGGAGAGGGTGATCTTATCCTTGCCACTCCCCAACAATGGGACATGATGTCTCGCATGTGGCAGCGCAGAAAGAATGTTCAAGCTGTAACACTCGTTATTGCCGACGATCTTCACATGATCGGAGGACACAACGGTTATATCTACGAGACTGTCGTCTCTCGAAGTCACGCAATCAGCAAGCAACTCGAGAACGGTCTTCGCATCGTTGGTCTGAGTGCCTCTCTCTCCAATGCTCGTGACCTCGGCGAGTGGTTCGGAGCCAGCAAGCACACCACCTTCAATTTCAGCCCCCAGTACCGCCAAATTCCGCTCGAGCTCCACATCCAGCCTTTCACCATCCCTCACTTCCCCTCTCTTATGCTGGCTATGGTCAAGCCTGTCTACCAATCCATCACACAACTTGCCGCCGGTCAGCCTGCTATGGTGTTTGTCCCCAACCGCAAGCAGGTACGCGCTACTGCTATTGACCTGTTGGCAACTTGTGTCGCCGATGACCAGGAGGATCGCTTCCTCAATGCCAACCTAGAGGACATTTCTTCTGTCTTGGAGAAGATCAACGAACGCGCTTTGGCCGAGTCTTTGTCGCATGGTATTGGTTACTTCCACGAGGCTCTTAGTCCTTTCGACAAGCGTGCTGTTGAGCACTTCTTCAAGGCTGGTGCTATTCAGGTCATGCTTGTGTCGAGAGATTGTGCTTGGGAAGTTCAGACCCCGGCTCACATGGTCATCGTGATGGGCACTCAATTCTTCGAGGGCCGGGAGCATCGTTACATTGATTACCCTATCAGTGAGATCTTGCAGATGCTCGGCAAGGCAGGTAGACCCATGGAAGACAAGAAGGCACGTGGTGTTCTGATGTGTCCTGCTGTCAAGAGAGACTACTATAAGAAGTTCTTGACAGAAGCACTTCCAGTCGAGAGTCAGCTGCAAGCCTTCTTGCACGATATCTTTGTCACCGAAATCAGCACCAAGACGATTGAAGACACTCAGGATGCAATCAACTGGTTCACCTACACCTACTTCTACCGCCGTCTGATGGCCAATCCCAGTTTCTACGGTCTTACTGATACCACTCAAGACGCATTCAATTACCACCTCTCGGAGCTTATCGAGTCCACACTGAAGGACTTGACCGATGCAAACATCATTGAGGTTGACGAAGAGGACGATGGTTCGATCACACCACTCAACGCTGCCATGATTGCTGGATACTACAACATCTCCTTCGTTACCATGCAAACCTTCTTGCTGTCGTTGAAGAAGACCACAAAGCTGAAGGGTATCCTCGAGATTGTCACTGCAGCCACAGAGTTTGAAGACATCCAAACTCGCCGCCACGAAGAGCGCATTCTGTCACGTATATACGATCGCGTGCCTGTCAAGCTTGCCGAAGTCAACTTCGAGTCCCCTCACTTCAAGGCATTCATCCTGTTGCAAGCACATTTCTCACGCATGCAACTACCTGTCGATCTCGCCAAGGACCAAGAGCTGATCCTCAAGAAGGTCCTCGTCTTGCTTAGCGCTTGTGTCGACGTGCTGTCATCAGAAGCCCACCTGAACGCAATGAGCGCTATGGAAATGAGCCAAATGGTTGTCCAATCCATGTGGGACCGCGACTCGCCACTCAAGCAAATCCCACACTTCGATCCCGAAGTCATCGAAGCCGTCAACGCCAACGGCATCAACGACATTTTCGAATTCATGGATGCCATGGACCCGTCCGAGAACCCCAGTTACGAGAAACTGGTCAAGAGCATGGGTCTCAGCAACCAACAGCTCGGCGACGCCGCTCGCTTCACCAACGAGCGGTACCCCAACGTCGAACTCAACTTTGAGCTCGAAGATGCCGAGAATGTCGTTGCTGGCGAGCCTAGCTTCATCAACGTCAGCATCGAGCGCGATGTCGACGAAGACGCAGAACCCAACCTTAATGTTCATGCGCCCTTTTATCCAGCTGCAAAGACCGAGAATTGGTGGTTGGTTGTTGGTGAAGAGAGCACGAAGAACTTGCTCAGTATCAAGAAGGTTACTATTGGACGTGAGCTCAAGGTTCGCCTTGACTTTACGGTGCCCACGGCTGGCAAGCACGATTTGACGTTGTTCTTGATGAGTGATTCGTATGTTGGTGTGGATCAGGCACCTACATTCAGTGTAGAGGCTGCGGAAGGCGAGGAGGAAGACGACGAAGACGAGGAAATGGAGGAATAGGCATTTGATCCTTAACACAACAGGCGTTAGTCCGGCGCTGTCCTAATGATGTAAAAAGTTGGAAAAAAGTAGACATCTCGTTCTGAATTAACGCGTTTCTGTATATTACTGTAAACTTCATGCTGTGCACCGCTACCCACAATACATACTCCCTCCGAACCAAGAAACAAGGCTTGCTCTCAATGGCAAGCAGCACTCTTNGTGACGGTGCCGTTTCCAAAAGCCAAGTACCCGACAAAAGCACCCACGCCCACAGCCAACATGATCCAGCCATTATAAGTCATGAAGAGCAANCCTGTTCACCAAGCCCAATCAGTACATGATCTGGGCAAAAGACAACATCATCCCCAGGAAAGATGAGACGGAACAGGCAAAAAAACTTACATGATGAAGAACGAATAAAACACCTGCACGGCATACAAAGCAGCCTTGATAGTCTTTGATTTGGCCTGCTTGTCGGCGGCAGATTGTCCTGAAGATGCGAGCAATGAGCTTTGTTCTTGATCATCTTTTTGTTTGCACAAATGTTTTAGCCCCCAAGACATCTCAGCAAAGACAAGAGCAAAGGCAAAAAACACACATACAACAAGAGACATCAAAGGAAGGAAGAGGGACAAAAACTTACTGGGCGAGTCATCAATCTCTCTTTGCACTTTACTCTCATACTTTCTCGAGACTTCGCGGATGAGTTCGTAGCCGGCTGTCAATACGATGATGGCGAGTAGACTCCACAAGAGGGAGAAGGTGGAGGTGACGCGCCAGGATTTGAAGACGATGCAGAGGTTTTCGGTGTTCCAGGTGAAGAGCATCTGTTCCGGGGTATCGTGTGTTAGTTTGCTAGTCTTCTCTTCTCGAGTGCTTTGGGGAGGTTGATATAGGCTTACGTTCATGTTGCACATGTTGCCATGGTCCATGCCGCCGTGGTCCATACCGCCATGACCCATGTTACCGTGATCCATGTGTGAGTGATCCATGATATGTTTGGTGAGTTACGAGACTTGAGAAAGGAAAACCAGAGGAAGAAGGTCGTTCGATAGAATCGATATTGGAACCCGTCTTACGATGCCAACTGTGGTGGCTGGACACCAGCCGGAGATATCATTGGCATCTCCATCTAATCACCGAAACTCTTGGCAAGTTGCCTTCTCCACGAATCGAGCACCCCTCCATTTTCTATGACGCTGAATAATTGCTGTGACAATATATCGTCCGTCCTTCCCGAGTTGCTGTTTCTCTGTTTCTTTTTCGCATCAATCACAGAAAAAGCATGCAGACATTCAGAACACTGAACAGACAAACACTTCGCAAAGCTTCAACACTACGCACACCACTCACTTCACGCATCATCTCCATCGCTGCCAGACAAGCACAAGCAACAATGTCGACCACAACCACCCCTCAACCACCAACCACAAAACTCGGCAACCCCCTGAACATTCCAAAATGGTGTGTTCACTTTTCCCTTCCTCCTCTCCTCTTGCCACATCCTCCCTAGTCTCAGCTCTCAAAACTAACACCTCTCTTCCTCAATCCACAAGGCNTAGAACAAAACTCTCACCTCCTCAAACCCCCAATAAACAACTACTGCGTCTACTCGGACCCCCTGACCGTCATGATCGTCGGCGGCCCAAACGCACGAACAGACTACCACATCAACAGCACCCCCGAGTTCTTCTATCAATACCGCGGCCGCATGCTGCTCAAGACCGTAGAGCCCAGCAGCGGCCAGTTCCGCGACATTTACATTGATGAGGGAGAAATCTTTNTGCTGCCGGGCAATACGCCGCATAATCCCGTCAGGTTTGCGGATACGGTGGGTGTGGTTATCGAGCAGCCGAGGCCCGAGGGCGAGCAAGATGTGTTGAGGTGGTATTGTGGTGGGTGTGGGGGTGTGGTGCACGAAAAGAGGTTTGTGTGTACGGATCTGGGGAGTCAGATCAAAGATGCGGTTAATTCGTTTGGAGAGGATGAAAAGGCCAGGACGTGTGGGAAGTGTGGTGAGGTTTGTGATGTGAGGCCCAAGCCAGAGGTTATGGAGAGGATGAGAACGGGTCCACATGATGATTGAGGCTTTGCATGCAAGAACGAATATGATATTGGAGGCTTTGTATTTCTCGGTAGTGCATAGATTGATACTCTATGCTATCAATCATCTCCTAAACTCCCTTCCACGATATCTTCATGACGTGATCTGCCTTTTTCCTCGTTCCTCTCACCAAGCCCAGATATCGCAGTTCAGCCAACGAACGCTGGAACAGAGCACTNGCTCACTGTGTTAGCATATCTCATTCTCAAGACGCTTTCAAAAACACTCACTTTGTCAACACCTCATCCTGATCATCTCCCAGAATCGTCACGAATGCAGTCCGCAAATCCGCAACATTCATCAACGCTCCACCCTCGAGATACAGCTGATACAAGATGGCAGTCGATGGCTGGGTAGAAGCCAATGTATTCTCTTCTCCTGTGCCCACATCTGGCGCACAACACTCGCAGTCCAGATAATCGTGAGGAGAAGCCAATGCACGCTCAATGGCAGCCCGAGGTTTGGGCGTAAACACATCGCGATGGGGTGACTTGAGATCGTACACAAAGATCTCGTTGAAGGCCAAATCTTTTGGATCAATGAGTGTCGCGTCAAAGTGCGTTTCCAAGGCTTCGACAAAGCGTCGCAGAATGCCAGAGTAAGCAGCATCACTTTTGGTAAGCGTGGATTTTTGCTTGCTCAACTCCACCTTNTTGGCGACGACTGTTGTTCTTAAAGTGGCGTTATGCACATCCTGTTCACTGCGCAGAGCTGATCCATCTTTTTGCTGGGCTTGAAGTTTTTCGAGTTCTTTTAAAAGCTTTGCACATAGCTTGTGCAGGTCTCCAGATGTGGTTGGTAATACGTGCTGTATTGTTAGCAACAGAGCTTCCGAGTTTGACTTCTTGAGATACATGAACATGTTTCTCTCAACGTTGGAATCTCTGAGTTGACCAGCGAGGGCATCAACCAGCAAGGTCGATTTGAGCTGTTGTTGTAATGCGGGTATGTGTTTTTGCAATGCTGCGATTGTGTTCACTGTGCTCAGCATAGACTCCAGAGCTTGATGTCCAGTCGTAATTTGTTCTTTGACATAGTTCAAGAGGTATTCGTCACTGTCTAATAAGCGTTTGGGGGTTGAAGCTTCGCCGGCTTCGAGCAGTGTTTCTACTNNTGTCTGTCACTGTCAGAAAGAAGAAGAAGAAGAAGAAGAATACGAGTGGTAGATGACGTACTGTTGGAAAGAAGGCAGGTTACGCAGCGCTTCGATGTGTTCGGTCGAGATATCGGCCGGTGGGACAGTGTTGTCTAGGAAGATACTAAGAGCATTGGCGTAGAAGTGTGATAGGTATGCATACNNTACGGTCGATTAGCACATGTCTAGTCAACAATTTACTGGGCATCATACTTGAACACTATCCACGAAAGCATCGAGACTCTGAATATGCTCTCGTTGACGTCGTAGTGTGGCAGAACATATGCCGGGGCCCATCCAAAGACTAGGCGTGTTCGTGTCAAGGGAAGAGTAAAGCGCATCAGTAATCTGTTCAAGAGCACTTTCTGCCTTGACTACATCGAAGCGTTGACCTTGGATACAGCGAGTAGCCTTCTTGGACAGTTTGACGGAAAAGTTCTCGATGGATGTAGCGACACCAAAGAAGAAGACGAAGGGTATTCTATCCTGCCATCGGCTATGATAAGATCAGCTACATGTCATGAGTAGGGTCGAAACCAGACTTACNGTCAATAGTTCGACTCCATCTGACAAGAGAGCACCATCAAAGGCTTCACAATCCTGGAAGGCAACGACTACCCGAGACAAGCCTTTCTCCTGAACATAATCGTACAGGAGTTGAAGGTCATAGTTAAGTAGACGCGTCCGTTTGCGAGTCGGTTTGACAGCATCGACCTCATCCTCATCGTCAGATTGAGCGTCCGAAGAAGTTCCCTTGGAGATGAGGATTTTCAGCAGAGTCTTGAGATTTGGAGCCAAGGAAGAGGTCAAAGGTACAAAGATGCTTCCATCAGCTTGACCAATACTGGTGGCTAGTTGGGAAAAGAGTAGAGCGTGAGATGCAATACTCGGACCTGTGAGAATGATTGCCGAAGAGACTCTGCCAGGTGCTGGTTGAGGATCAGTAGTTTCGACGAAGGTAGTAATCTGGTTGATTGTGGATTCGTTTATTTCCAGGAGTAGATTCTGATCGATCTGTTAGGTGATATTGTCAAAGAGGAAGGCACTAGCCGACNNCTTCAATCGTGCCTGCTGTTTGGCCCACAGTCGTTGGTACAGGGAGCGACGGAGCGGCCAAGAAGTTTGAAGACCTTGTAGAGGCTCGGTGCGACGTTTCTTTACCGGTCTACTCTTGTTACGCGCGGACGGATCATGTACATAGCAAGTCTGAAAGTCCATAACGTCTTGAGGGAACTCTTGATGGACGCCCAAAAATGTAAACAAGATTCGGGACAGGCTAGACCGAGTGGAACGTGTGGAAGAGAGATGGAGTTGACAACGGACCTTGAGTGCTGTTGGCAACAAGAGATGACGGAGTTGTCAGAAGCAAAAAGTTGATGATTCTCGACGAACAATTCACGACGACTTTTGCTTGTACACATATTAATCTGATGCACGTCTTTAGCCTCCGGAAGAAAACCCTACAACCGCGACTATTTCAGCAAGCATGTCGCCTTGCTTCTACCCGAATTAGTGGACGCGTCTTTACCCAACTCCAGCGCAACAAACGACTCGCCGCTCAGAAACCCCCACCCCCTACCCGATCCAGCGATGCACCAGCAGACGAAGAGGACGAAGCGATCCGCTGGTTCGAACAAGATGTCGAGACGGGCGCCACTCGCCGCATAGCCGGCAACCCTGAGGAGATCGAGGCGGCTGAGCTGAGACAGAAGATTGCTGCCCTGGAGAAAGAGCTCGCTGAATACCGCAATGAAGATTCGGACGAGGACATGCTGGCTGCTCTTGAGCCCGAGGATCGCGCAAAGGTCGAGAAGGCGTTGAAGGAGCGTGACCAGCATGAGGCAGAGCTCACCGACGGACTCAATGTCAGCCTGGACATGCCACCCTTGACTGTGCCTCTTCTCAAGAAGTTCAACACAGCTCTCCGCGACTCTGCTCTCAATCCCAGTGCTGTCATCCCAAGAAAGGATCTCTGGAGATGGTACGGCCGCGCAAAGCACAGCATCCCCGGACTGGCCAACATGATCCCCAAGAAGGCCTGGCAGCTGATCTGGAAGGCCCAATCCATTGAATCGCCTACCAACCCTGACCGCTTGCATCACATGGAGCAGCTTTTACACGACATGGCTTCAGTGGATATGGAGATCATGCCAGATCAGTCTCTTGTACTCCTCGAAACACTACTCGCTCTCGACAAGACTGAAGACGCCATCCGCTCATGGCAACGCGCTTACGATGCCACGAATACACCCTCCGAACAGCTCCTATCCCTTGGAGTGCGTCTTTTCTCTCAAAACGACCACCTGGACAAGGCCAACTGGGTCTTGATGCGACTTTTCGAACGCTATCCCAAGCATGATCCTCGTATCATCGTTCCCCTTCTCACCGCCGACCTTCGTGCTGGAAAGGACGAATTGGCCTTTGGATGCTATGTCCTCATGGGCCAGAAACTCGGCGAGGATATGAAAATGGAGGATTACGATGTTGTCTCACTCACCTTCCTCGAGCACAACAAGAAGGATTACGCTCTGGCCGTCTTCCGTGATATGATGCTCCGTGGTCCCAACAAAGAAGTCTCGGAAGAATTCCTCGGCGCTGACGGACAGAACGAAGCCTACGAAAAGGTCTTCGAGCGCATGGAGCGTTTGACCGATGGCTCAGTAGATGCCAATGAAATCAATGCCATGTCTCTGAAGGCCCTGAGTGCTTTGCCTTTACCATGGCAGAACAAGTTTTTCTACGGCAGCTGGCTCAAGAAGCTGATCGGAATGCAGCAACTCGAAGCCGCTACAAAGGTTGTCGAGTTGATGTATGAACGAGGTATTGAGCCTGATGCCAAACACATCAACGGATTGATTGGTGGATTCCTCCGCTCTGCCGTTCCAGCACTCCAGGCCCAAGGCGAAAAGATGGCCTGGAAGATGATTCAGCGAAGACTAGAGGCTTCGTACAGACACCGTTGCGAGAAGAGAGGCGAGAACGTCGATAACATTCCTTCTATCCGCGATTTCGAAGAAGGCAAACAAGTAACAATACCTGCTTACATCAAACGCCCTGTGCCCATCGGAACCATCGAAACGTTCAACGTACTCGCTCTTCATTATTCCATTCATGAGAAATGGAAACTTATCCATCATCTCAACTACTTGAGACGTCCGGCCGCGTTCAAGATGAACACCGACTTTTTCAACCACTACCTAAACATGATCTTCAACACTTTCCACGATGAAAAGAAGTTGTGGCAAAAATTCCTCTCCGAGGCCAAACATGTTGTCGGCGGCCCCGACATTGAGACCTACAACATCCTCTGGACCGCTCAACTCGAACACCTAAACCCGAGAATGAGGGTTGGCAAGAAAGCCACCGAGGGCTATCCCACCCCTCGCCAACTATTCGGCCTCATGACATCTTGGTACCACAGCAAAGATCTGCTCCACCGCTCGTGGGTCATTCCCAAATCTACCAATGAAATTCACACCAAGATCATTTCCAGTTTCTGCCTGAACAAAGACTTTGCTGGTTGCTTGGTTGCTCTACACGGTATAGCACGCATGTACAAGGCATACCCTGATCCAGAATTGGCTCGCATAGTCATCGTTGCCGTATCCAACATGTCAGAGCTCAAACCCCTCACCGTCCGCGGCCGCAGAGGTCGCCAACAAGTCCCCGCTTCGACTGCTCGCCTTCAAACCACATCCAAAGTCATGGCCAGCCTGGCACAAAAGCGCGCAGAAACTGCTGCTGCAAAGGGAATCGATATTACGCAATTGCGTTTCTGGCAACGCAAGAAGGAAGCACTGAATTTGCTTTCTGAGTTTATTCGATTGGTGTTGTTGAGGGTGCATGGGGATGCTGATGTGGCAGAGACTAGTATCCGAGAAGCTGCTATGGCATGCCAATTACCGGATCTCGTGACTGGAGATAAGGATTGTTCGAATGTTGGATAGAGGTGTGTTGTGGATATATATTTGCACAAGGGATCAAACTGGGCTCTTCTGTGGCCTGGGTATCAGTATTGTATAGTAGATTCATCTAGTTGTGTATAAGAACAACACCACTCTGCCCTGTTCTGATCTTCGTTGTTCCGCTCCGTCCTTGAGTTTAATCATGCTCTTCCTCCGTCAAGCCAGGACAGCCCTCCATGCTCTCATCAGCATACCGATACTTGCACCAAAAGCAGTAATGGTAGGTAACTCTCAAGTAAGCCACCAATTTCTCTAGTCTTTCTCCCACTGGAAGTGCGTTGAACTCTTCCAGTTCTGTGTCTTGCTCGTCTTCAAACTCTTCGACTTCTGTCCCCATGGCCACTTTATCGTCTGCATCAGCTTCATCATCATTCCAGCGTGACGATAACGAATCCAAGGCTCCTTTTCTTAGCACTCTATCCTTGTCTCTCTGTTGTCGTTGCAATGCCAGATTTCGCCAAAGCACATTGACCTCTTTCGGATCGCTTTGTATGGCTTTGCCTTGCTTTTCTGCCTCTTCCTCGGTATCGAGTTTCTCACATACTTTCATGGCGCCCCAATACATGCCTTCTTTGCGATGTTCCTCTCTTTCTGCAGCAACACGTTCGCGATATTCTCCTGCCTCTGCCTTTTGTTTCTTTTCTTTGCCTTGGAGTTCCTCCATGTGTTCCCTTATCTTGCGCTTTTTTCATTGTCCATGCCTATTCCTCCTTTGCCTTGTTTGATGCTGATCTCTATCGGTTCCGTGCGTGCGTTTTGTGTCTTGCCCAGTGCGCCGCCCTTGAAGCCCATCTTTGCCATCATTTGTGCGCCTTTGGAGTTGGCGTTGCTGAGGGTGGATGTGGATAAGGCGGTTTCGCGGGCCAGGTCTGCTTCTGCTTCTAGCTCTTTTTTTTGTCTTTGGTTGCGATTTCAGAGACGCGAGACGGCGGCGTTCTTGGGTGCGTTGGAGGGAGGTTTTTGGTAGGGAGGGGGAATGGTCGGCGAAGGACATGGACATGTAGTCGTCTTCTGTGTCGCTCATTGTTGTGGATGTCTGTGGGGTGATAGTAGAGTGTGTTGGTGGCTTGGGTGTGCAGACTAGTGAGGTTTCTGGTTGTTGGAGTGGTCGGAGTGGGTTTGGTTGGTCGTGTGTGAGGTTGAGGATGGAGAGCACGAGTTGGTGGTGACGTTGTTGGTATACAGAGGTCAATTGCTGATGACCACTATGACTGTCTTGTGGTATGGAGAGATGTGTTTATTCGACGGTTGCGAGTTGTTGACGCTGGTCGCAAAGTGCTCGATTGGGAATGTGCTAGCTTGCACTTTTGTGCAAGCCTTCACAAAAGGTCGCATACGGTTATGAAACACTATGGTTGCCTGACACTACTATATATCCTACTTTCCTTCATTTATCTCTTCTTTTCTCCTTTCTCCCGTCATCACAAACTCTTACAAAAACAAACAATCCTCACAAAATATGGAACTCAGATCTGGACGCTCAACTTCACGCCCAACACCCCCAGTAATCCCAGCACCTGCATCACAACCTCCAGATCCAACACATCAAACCACAAGCACATCCACCTTCTACCCCTCCCTCTCTGAGATCGTCGAACCTCACATCAAATTCTGCATCTTGGCTCGCTGCCAAGGCAAAAACAACCACATCTTCACCTACCCACGCACCCATTTCTACACCTCCATTCCAGCGTCACCAAATCTGCTCTCCTACATACCCACAGAGCTAGTCTATAAAGTCTTGTCATTCATGCATCCAGAGGAATATCGAGGACTATCTCAAACCTGCACTTGGGCATTGCGAATCACAAACAACCACGTGCAGCTCGAGAGACCTGGGTTGTTAGACGAGTTCCCCATGTTTGTGAGTTATACAGGCATCTGTGGGGCGATAGAGAACGAAACGATCTTAATCAGTTTTGAAGAAAACATGAGTTGTGGTGGTGGATATATGTTGCCGATCCCAGATGAGGATCAACAAGATCTATAGAGGGTGGAAGAAAGAATTCCTTTGGGATCGAGGCAGAGGGAGAAATAAAAGTAAAAGGGATGGAAAAGGCCATTCCATATCTGATGATGATGACTCAAGGGGGGTATATATATTGCTCTTTTGCCGTTGTGTTTTCCTTTCTCATACCCATTAACGCCGTTGCTCGCTAAACCGTCCTAGAAACCTGAATTTGAAGAACCGCAATAGAAAGTTGCACCTCCAAAACCCACATCATCCTTCATCATCCCTCATCATCCAAAGCACCACCCCAGGACCACTCAAACAACCTCGACCCTTGACAAGCCATCAACGTCGGTCTCCCATCCTGCGTCTTTACAAATCGAAGTCGATGAATCCTGCCCAAATCCTTGCGCGGATTGGCTCCTTGCAATGTACCCATCAACCTCCCACTACACAGTGAATGCAATTGAATCACATTATCGTCGTCAGAAGTAGCCAGCAAATTCGCATCAGCAAGTACATCCATGGCTTGAGAAGGAAACTCTGTTTTTGTAGGTGCGACGCGCAAAAGAGCTGGAGATGGAAAGCCTGAGTTTTTGGGGGTGGAAACCATGCGTGTGTCGTAGATGGAGGTGGAAGAAAAGCCGGAGACGAGAACGCGGGAGCCGTCGTGGAGACTGCGGACACCGGTTACGCCGCTGCTGTGCTTGAAGCGGAGGGAAGAGCCTTGAGCTCGTGCGTCCCAGAGGTACACAGGTCCTAACTTTGTGCCTCCGACAGCCACGTTCGGGGTTAGCCAGTCGATAGAGCGTATGTCTTCGTTAAGTGGATGATGTTGCAGCAGATCCCCAGCAGAGCTCATCATGTAAACTCCCTCACTGCTGCCAATAGCAATGACATCCCTTGCCGAACCTACAGGACAAGGACTCGCTGTCCAAAGTGCCGTTTCCGCTTTACCCAGCATGGAGTAACTCGGCGCCGGCGAATCGAGTATAGGTGGTCCACCTTCTGTATCGACACTGCCCGCCATCCCTGCCACAAACACATTGCCAGGATGTGCTCTGTCATAGCTCGTCGCCACCAGCGTCCTCTGCGCCGAAATGGCAACACTACTGATATCCGACCGAAACGCCGCAATATCATACGCATTGCTCTGCTGTCCACCAATAAACTGCACCCTCCCAAAATTTCTACTACCCAAAGCCATCAGAATCGCATCCAATTCCTCATCAATGAAAAAGTCATGAATGTTGTCGCGTTTACCACAACTTTCACAACTTTTGAGTGATAGTGTTTCGTAGCCGGAGAATTGAGAACAAAGGGCAGAGATGCGGGATTCGTAGGCGGAAAAGTGGGAGCTGCCTTGTTCACGCCAGAGACCTATGCCGGCGGAAGATGGCGAAGAGAGGATTTTGGAGCGACGCACGGTTTGTGTTNNTCGCGCTTTTTTTTGGTAGGCGGCGGAGCGTTTGCGTTTCNNTGTTGGAGTATGTATTAGTTTCTGTTGGTTTTTGATGGAAAAATCCTTCTTGTTCTGAAATGCATGAGTAGGTAGCGGTAAACAAGAGACCAAGACGGTTGATCAAGGCAGGACGATCGGATGCAATCCTCTGGAGGTGCCGTCCAAAGTAGCCGTAAATCTAGAGTCCAGTCCTAGTCGACTCAATCCCTAGATATCCAGACATGTAAAGCCGTTGAAGCTCAAGAGTAGTCCCATGCAATCCAGAAGATGCTTCAAGCTGTTTCCTCAATCTCATCCAGATACAACAACAAAAACCACAAAACTTACTCTAGACAACTCCTTCTCCTTCTTCACATTCTCATGCGAGTGCTTTGCTCCCTGCGGCGCTACATGATTCGCCTGCACTCTGAAGTACTTGCCCTTCTCGGCGTCTGTGATAAGAAACCGTCAGAGTTGTGGCCTTTTCACCGTCGAAAGACTGAGGGCTTAGGAGTTGGGCTCAGCAGCACCCACCATAGTAGAATCCGGGAATCTCTCTTTGCGCCATTTCAAAGTGATGCCGATGGTGAGGACGGAGGATGAAGGAAGTGCAAGAAGCAATGCGGATTGTGGGTCTCGGCGCAAGCGTCATTTGTACGTGCCATGTCACAGCGTGCAGCGGGTCGGCCCGTGCTCCCGGAGGCGCGAGAAGCTTGATGATCAATGCTCATGTTCTGGACGAGCACTGTGGAAGATATTCATACAGTATCAAAGACAATCTTTGCTGAGAGGAAGCATGTGAGTCTGGGTCGAGGCTAGCGATAGTCTTATGATCAAAGTCAGAATGCGACAGCATGATATTTGTCTACGAATTGTAGAACAAGAGGGGGTATCAGGGTAATAGCAAAGCAGTAAAACGACCATTATAACATAAAAAAAAAGAGGAGAGAAGTGCATCTCCTAAACTCTTGTCTGCGCCAAATGCTGTAACCTCCATTGTGAAACCACCATATTAAGATATGTCCGGAACGCCTTGCCCACCAAACTCCGTGTTATGCTTCCCCTGTTGCTCTGAATATGAGGATGTGAAGCAATGTTTTTGCCTAGAGCCCAAGCTTCATCTCATATTTGAGTCCTTTACTGACACACCATTCTCTCAGCAGTGCGTATCCAATCCGGACTGCGATGAGAGGCTCGGTGTCCATGCCGAGTGGTAGAGTAATGTCCCCAACATATCGACCAATCTTGACGTCTTCCTCAGCTCCCGTCGCTGGGACGTTGCTGTTGATGGCCTTCTTCCAAGTCTTCGGGAAAGTGGACACGATCGTCGATAGAGGCAACTTCGAAGTGCCTTCTTTGGAAGCCTTGAGACCTGCTGATGCGGCATTGTGAAGTGTACGCGTTTCATCGGGCGTCATATCCTGTGATCGTTCGCGTATTGTTGTCAATCGCAACATGATCATGGCGTTGCACACGGCACCTAGATGGCATGCCACACCATCGAGAGCCGGGAAATACTGGCAGCGTGTACGGACAAAGTTGAGGAATGCTGGAATGGTACCCCAAGTACGTCCACCATCCAGAGGAGCAGGAGGGTTGCGAACGGCAAGGCCACGGTCAGAGCAATAGAAAGAAAGCATGAACAACAGAAAAGACTCGAGGGACATGGCAGCCGCAGTTTCGCGAGATCGTGAATCGGCGTGACTGCTGCGGGTGTTTGGCTTGTCCAGGTCCGAGGCGGCATGCTTGAGTTCACGGCCCAAGGTTCCAAGTCGTGCTGCTTCGATATCCCAAGCTTTTGACTCGGCCGTCTTGACGTGACCTGACGAGGGAGAAGGTTTGGTGATTCCATTAACGTGGCGCGAAGATTGAGGTGTTCCATTGACCATGCTGTCTGTTGACTCAACACGCTTCATAGCAGCGGAGGCGCGTAGATCTTTGGTAGCGTTGCGCGCGATGGGTGCAGCTTTCTGCGCCGCAGGAGTCACGGGTAAAGGCGTAGTGGGCTCTTGCTTTATGTTCGAGGGCTCTGTTCTGAGAGCTTTCTTGCGTTTCGAATCTGGAAGTGGAGTGTCTTCCTCTGCCGGTCGAGGTCTTTTTGTTGCTTGCGGTGTAGCTTGAACTGGAGCTGGGGGCTTTTCCGGAGGTAGTACACGAATGACTTGAGTTTGCGGTTGTGGCTTCATCTGTAAATATCGACAAAGATTCTTGCGCATGCTCTTGGGGATTTTGAGCTTGACAATAAGTGATGGACGCGCAGAATCTTGATCCT